CATGGCGTGCTAGTCAGGAACGCGCTCCCAAGTCGTACGAGCGGAATCGATGACAACAACAGAGAGATAATCTTGGGGAATACCGACCCATTAAATACAAGGTGAAATCAGTTGGGCATCAACTTCGGGGAAAGTGAGGGGAAAATCAAAAGCCGCTTCTGGGAGAGCATATCATGTGGGACCTTGAGTTCGCGACGAAGTGAGAGGATAGCAAATTGCTGCTGTGGGCCCAGGATGTAGAACGGCTTATAATCCCTCATGTTGCTTGATGCTTTCTATACTGATTATGCCATCCTTGGAAGTAATGGTGCTATAAGATCCCTTAGTAATTAGCAAGGGATCTTTCCAATAAAATATGTTATCCAATGTCAGAGATAAACCTGTTTAGGAAACTTTTTTTCGAAATCTACTGTCCAATTACCCTGCCTACATTTCGTGAACATGTTCTTATATGGTGTATGTCTAATTCGCCTTTGGGTAATTGCCACTGACTTGCAGAATGAATTCTTTCTTACCCAGTCCTGGCTATCTGTGACCATAGCTTTGCATTAGTTTCCGAGACCTTTAATACATACGTAACGATACAGGGCTTTACATACTGATACCGGCCGTAAACAACCTCCGAACCTTCTCCCAATTTCTGAAACCCGTTTAAAATACGAGTTCCCAGGTAGCCGGAGAAAATCAACGCCAAGGTGGGCTGGATATCTAAATTGAGATTTATATCGACCCACTTGGTCCCCGGACAGTGCCCGACTCGGTCCCCGACACACCAGATGCAGTTGTTTCACAAATGTTATCAGATCTTGCATACAATACTGCTTACAAGAAGGATAGTCGAAAACTACTATCGTCGAATTCTAATTGATGGAAACAAGAAATCGGATAATACCTTTCTGCCTAGTTGGCAATGTTCTTTTTCATTCCCTTCGAATGACGGGCTTCAAATACCCAAGATTCGGTTTTTTGGCAGCCTGAATGATATTCAATGGGATATTCAAATTGTTGAACTATGACTGAAGCTGCCATGGGAGGCCTACGAGGTGGGGTGGCCGCCTTTTGCGTATGGCATTTGTAAAGGGGTTTGCGTCTATTGAACTCACTCTTTTCAACCGTATTTTGAAGATGCCCGACTCAGTGTAAGAAAATGTAAAAGAAGGAAAGAGGAGAGGGACTATCAATCAACCTCACCTCTAACTTGACAACGTTCTAGATTATCTCGAAGTTTTTACATAACGAAATATATTGTACAGCCCTCGCTCTGTGAAAGCTTCAAGCATGAAAATTTCCATATTCAAGGCCATTACGAAGGAAATATGTACATAACTCAAACAATATCCCAATCTATTCATCAACAACCTTCTTTGATGGATCTGTTCAACAGGAAGGTAAAAGTGACAATTGTCTTGCCAATGGCACAAAGGAGAATAGTAAATGAAGAGCCCACAGCAGTCTGCGCAAATGTTCCAGCAAAGCAGCCGGCCGTTAACATCAGCAGAAACATGACCCGTCGATTCCTTTGGCGATTCCTGAGGCTCAGCAAGCGTGGATCTATTACAATGTCTACAAACGCCGCAGTAGCCATCGCAGTAGTAATATCCGTCACTTTCAAAGACCGACCGAGAGCGACTTGTGCCCCTGAAGAAAATGCCAGCAGAAAAATCACACTCAAAGCTGTTGGGCTGTTTTGGTGGGTACTGCAAATGTGTTGAATTACAGCCGCGGCATAGACCAGGGCTGTCTGAAGAGCACTGCTCGTAATTAACCAAAGTCGCTTTCGGGCGCCGAAGAAATTCCCAATCTGTCCCACGACCAATCCACCTACAACGAATGCCCCAAGACTCATGCCCACGTGAGACATGCTATATTCAATGACTTTTGGTTGTGCGGCACCGATGGCGAGAAAAAGCATGTTTCCAGTCTGATTAGATGCGAAACATCCATAATCCATCCAAGAAGCAGCATCTTGAATGCCAGTAGCAAATGATAGAAGCACTAGCTGGCTCTCTAGCAAAAGATCCTCTTTGATATTTTCCATCAAGTAATGCCACAATTTCGACATTTGCTTAGGCTCCTTTGTCACGTACGCAGTGGGAAGAGTGGAAGTATCGTATCCTGCAAAACAATTTAACAATCTGGGGTACTGCATATAGTCAAATGGCCTCGTACCTGAGTCTCTCATTTTTGTTTCTTAGGTTATAGATATTGAATTCGAAGTAAAGGAAAGTGTAAATCCTGGTTACTGTCTCAGCATGATATTAAATTATAATTCTTGCCAGTACGGTCATCTCAGTGGGGATAAAACGATGGTGTATAATATGCGAATGCGTAGGGTAAGTCTTTCATTTCAGTCTAATAATGCCATTGACTAGTATTATGGGATTTGTATGGTTGGATGTCAGATGAACGCAAATTTTGGATCGCCGAACCTGCCCGGGAATTGAAATTTGGAACACAATCCAGAACATTCTTTGAACCGCAGCGACAGATTTTAGTCCGAATCATACATAGTATGCAGCTATCAGACTATTTTCGAAGAATTGATTCCCGAACGGAATCACTCAAGTCCTTTGTCGTCAGGAGCTACCTAGGCAAGTCGCAGACTGAGTCCTTGTTGAATTCGAGACGCAATTATATGTCTATGGCTCGCTGGGAGGCCAAAAGGAGAAAGACACACGAATAACATCAGACTCTGTATCCCCTTCAACAATGATAGGTACCGAAACCATTTGTTTTACACATTTCTCAAAACATGACGTGAGAATAAGTTTTACCCCAACTTGAGGGTCATACCAAAAATTCCAAGCGAACCAAGTGTGACAAAGACAGGCCCCCAGATTGAAGGGACATATCGTCCTAACAATAGATTTCTCCGAGTGGAAATATACCGGGCTAGTGAATACCCAAATGACCAAATACTGATGACCTGACATACGCGGCTAGCGACGTGATCATTCGCGTACTCAAGAACAAATGGTGTGTTCTCTGTCTGTCTGTTTGATAAAGTTCTTTCGGAGTTGGTTTCCGATGATGTTTTGGAAGCTGCGGCTGTCTTATCGCGCTGTTGTCGGTTGAAGATGTTGTCGATGATATCGAGTCGAGCGAGAGCTAGTGACATAGCCGCAAAGGCTAGCCCAAAACGGTTCCAAGATAGAAAAGTTCGTTCGTTAGCCTGGTGATCGCGTAGTTCCGATCCGTTGTTGGCTACCGGTCGAGGCAATAAACGGCGGAATAGGTGACGGTTCATTCTGATCTGTGTGTGGTTTGTATGGGGACAAATTTGAAGATTGAAATCAATGAACTGGAAGTTATTTGTGGTCAATTCTCGAAGGGTCCGCGAGGAAAGTTCATCTGAAAACAGCCGAGGGGGCTAGATCCGTATTCTGGGGAATTCGTCAGTTAGAAATACCCCTTGGCACTTGGCATGACAAGCCGGCCGAGAAGAGAAGCTAATGCACGCCACCAGTATTATATGGTATTATTTCAAAGAAATACAGTTAATATTCATACTAGAAATTAACTATTACTAATAAATGGTATTAGTATTACTGCCAAGATAATTGGTATGCATACATTAGCTCCCGTTCTCGGGCTGTTGTGGGTCTGGAGATCCACTCTGGTTTGACGATGTTCGCATCGGCTTAATCGGGGTTCGGTGCGGGTCTCGGGGATTCTCCCAAACGCCGTGCCATTGTATTTCGAACACCGAACAAATCAAGCTGAACATAACCTAATACCGAATAAAGTCATTTGTATATTTCTCATAGTTCACACTATACCAGCACTCTTATATAGGATCTTTCATCTGAAGAAAAAGAAAGCGAACGAGATAATCTTGTATAAGGCAAGACTATCTATAGGAGATCTGCCAGTATACGGAACTAATGAATGGGCCATATAAGAGTCATTCCATTATTAATTTGAAACGGCGATTCATCGTGTATGGCCGGACCATCTGCCATATTGCCCTATGTAAAGCGATAACGAACTTCGGGAGTTAGGTGATTGATGTCATTGTTCTCAAGCTACATATACCTTTATAATCTCTCAACATGCAGATGTGGTAGTTGGTGGACATGTTTGATTTACAGGTATTTTCAGCGGAATCAAATATCACAAGATTTGTGCAGCCAATTCCAAGAGGTCCCTATGAATGAAGCCATTACTAATTTCCTAATTCTTCATATATTTGCTCTTCTCAGGTGCACTGGGTCAGAACTTCCTGCAATCCAAACATCAGTCCTAGCTTCCCAACTGTACTCGTTGAAACAGCGCAGGGAAGACGGCACTATGGAATTGTTGTGAATCGTTCAAATTGGCAACATAGGGCTCTATGGATCCTTTAGAACCCAACTCAAGATATCCATACCGAATACTCATCGCTGGACCTTCTATAGAAATTAAATTATTTGCTCCTTAGGTGTTTACACAAAATGCACTTACCAAACAGGTCGAAATATCTTCTCCAATTTGACGGTTTTGGCAGCCCTCGGCGCCTCGGGGACTAACCCCGATCAATCCCCGAAGCCCTGAACAGCTTTGACTTTATTGGGTCGCTCGACAAAAGTGGCGTCCATGTGGTTTTCTTTCCTTTGGAAAGTGGTAAAGAAACCTACTGGCGAGCGAGAGTTTCTTTACATATTTTCCAGCGCCTAGAGGACTAACTACAACTTCGACTTCAAGAAATGAATTCCTTAAAGCTTGGCAACCGCATAAGATTTTTCCTCTAATTCAAGGCCTTTCTCGCAAGGACCATGTTGATTCCACCATCTACGAATCCAAGAACACGTCCTTCATCGCTTGCCTGCACAGAATGCCGAAAACACCACGTCAAGTGTGACGGCAAGAAGCCCACTTGTTCCAGATGTGCAACTGCTCGATCTACTTGTATCTTTCTTCCCTCCCGCCGAGGCGGGCGGCGAAGGCTGGATAACAATGTTCGTGCGACACCCAATACATACATAAGTACAAGTCCTCAGAGTCAAGTCATCTCTGGACTAATGAGCGAGGAGACGGCAATCGGTGAAGACATCAACCACCAGTTCTTAGATATGGATCATTCAAATGGTCTTCTAGCTTGTGGGAACTCATCCGGATCAATTGTCCCTGAGGGTCGACTCGTTCGTCTGTTCTATGAGAATTTTCACTCAGCTCATCCAATCCTCGTCCCTGCTGCACTTTACGAGAAATGGAACTATCCGCCTTGCCTGCATCAGGTTGTCAAATTCATAGGGAGTCACTACTCCATGGTACTTGACAATGATGTATTGAACGAATCTACCTCGCTGCTCCTTAATCAAACCACAGAGAGAACATCTCAGATGGTTCAGGCTCATCTTCTATATTCAATTATAATGCGTGCTCGCAATGAGACATCTAAGGCAGAGTCTTCTCTGACCCAGGCAATCGATATTGCCATTGAGCTTGGAATGCACCGAGAAGACTTCGCCACCGCATTTTCTGGCGGTAGAGAGCACGAGGCAGAAAGCCTGCGACGGACATGGTGGGAGCTCTTCATTTGGGAAGCCTACATGGCCACATTGAATAAAAAGAGCATTCTACGCTGCAGCGATATTTTTTCTGACGTTTGGTTACCATGTGAGGAGTCAGCCTATACATCTCTTCAAGCTATTCCACAGCCTCATTCTCTCGCCTCTTTTAGGACGAGGATATTCACAGAGGATGAGGAGATTACCAATTATTCATCGTTTGCCTATCGCATTGAAGCTGTTCGCATTCTCGCCCGTGTCTTGGTTCTCAACAGTCTACCCGAAACACATCATGATCACTTGCAAGCTGTCGCAAACACCCTCGTCAGCTGGTTACACCACCTTCCGCAACAAAAGATCGATATCATCGACATGTATGGAAACATCGACGAGATGCTGTTCCAAGCCTATTTCACAATCCACTATGCTGCTATGCTACTACATTTGCCCCGTGGTAATCTTCGACCAAGATTTCCGGACTCAATGTTCTCAATCTGCCCTGTCACCCTGTTCCGGCTCTCGCCATCTCTGACGCGCCATGTACACGACGTGAAAACCATTGAAGCCTCTAAGAATCTGTCTAATCTCTTATCTGTGCGCTCTAGCGCACAAAGCTACAGTCCTCTTGTTGTCTTTGGCTCACTACTATGTGGCCTCGTTCAGCTTACTGCCATCGATAGGCATGGGCCAGATTGTTATGATCATCATCAAAACCGGATAGTTCTCGTTCTTGGATGTCTCAAGCTTCTCAGGTCCAATTGGCCTTTAGCGCAAGAGGCCTTCTCTCATCTCAGGAACTCCGTTGCTCAGCGGGCAACAATTACCTCGGAGTATTCGCCGTTTGAGAGCAGACTTACGCCGCAAGGGAACCAAAGACCCAATACGGCTGCAATCGAGACTGCCATATCTCTTCCCACGGGAGACGATGTCATCAATGGCCAATTATCCTCAAGGCTCTTATCTGAATATCTTGATCCGATCTGCGGTGATTCGTTCCCGTTGTTTCACATACCCGATCCCGAGGGGTTTTCGGCCTCTCTGGGTCACCAATCTACCTAAGGATGAAATGTCATATAAAGGACGGAAGACAGATTAGTTCTGTACCGAAGGAGATTTTGAGTAGACGCAGAGGTGACAAAAGATCCAGATCAGTGAAAATTTCATGGGCAACTGTTCGCCAAATAACGATTAAGCCTCGGTTTGCAAAGGCAAGGGCAGGAGAAGGTAAACACACCCTATACCAAGAAGGATACGTCGATTAGGTTCGAGGCGAACAGTGGAAGAGTATGCAAGCTTATCCTTGGCAGCATAAATGGCAGCGAGCATGATCTTCTTCTACGGCACCTTCTTTCGTTGGAGCTATCCAATCGACTTCTCCAGATAGTCAAAATGCATGTTGAAGATGTCGAACATTAGATAAGAGTCACATCCCTTTACTTCGACAGTGCGGTGGTGAGCTTGAAAAATGGCCGAGTAATCCACGGGAGGTAGTCAATCTAACGCCATTGCTCCTGGTCCAACAAAATGTGACTGCCCGTACTTCAAGCAGTACTGATAGACGAACTATAGCCGCATAGCACGACCAAGCATCAACAACGTTGAATTCCAACGTTTCCGAACATCTTGGATAGGTGCAAGCTTAGGTGCTTCAGTCTGGGGCTCGCAAAATTGTTCTCGGCGCTGAGAGCTGGCATTAAGAAAGATAGCCAAGCGCCAAACCTTCTACATGTTTAGTTGACTGAGCACCAGTGAAGTGGGGTTGACGTACTATATAAAGGCTATCAATGATCGCTGCTTGCTGCGGTCTATTGGGGGGAGACTGATTTTGCGGGTCGGACCAGTCTTTCTATACAACGCCATTTTTTGGGTCCTCTTTCATTTGCACAAGGAGCTATTTCAGACTAAGCTAAATGACATGGACAAGGCAAGGGACTTGAACAACTGTGATTTCCTCACCAAGGTTAAGCGATTGGATGGCGTCTTGGATGCTTTCATCAAGGTATTGTTGTTGGATACATTATCCGTGGTGATTGTCAGCGCTTTATCAGCAAATGATGCTTTTTGAGGAGATCCATGACAACTACCCTAAGGTTAATACTTGTATGATTCCCGTTCAGAGGCTCAGATCCAAGGAGCATCCCCCGATAGTCCCAGTGATCACCAACAAAAGTAGCCAGTGACCGCCATAAATGCCTACTAGAATGGAGAAGTCCAACAGTCTAGAGCAAGCGATATATTGGCCCCTTTTGGTAGCCTAAACAGAACTTCACGCTGACGGGTAGCAATGCTCGTATTGATTCAATGCTGTGCAGTCTGGACCAAGAAATTCTAGTCTTGAAGTCATACGTTGGGCCATCGTAATCAACTCGCAGAATCTAGCATGGCTCAGTAATCGAAATGGCAGTTGAGATTTGGTGAGAAACCGAATTTGTGTAGCTTCCCAGGAATCTTGCGAGATTGCCGACAAGCCCGAAGGGAACGATGCCTACATGGAACTTTGTTCATGCAGTTAGCGCGTGTTTCGAGTTGTGAATATCATTATATCGTGTCTGTTGTTGCATAAAGTCCTTGATACTTGCGCTCTTGACTTTCCTCTGGTATCCAGACCCTTTTGACATGCTTGACCATGGTAGTTGTCCTATTTCTAAGCTGTGCGCGAGATTTATAATTGGCACGGGCACCGACGGGTCGTAGTCTGAGAGGTGCTGTACATCCTCATTGCTTCGCGAACGGACTTCTTACTCCCTGAGAAAAGTTTGGCTTCCTACTTATGCTAGCTTGGTGCACGACAAATGATCGAGTTTCGGACGTATACAGCAGGTAATGAAGGTGAAATTTCGTTTCATTTACTCCTAGCTCAAGTTGACGGTGAGATATAATCATTGAAAAACTCTCCATCGTCAGTATAACCATGGATGACAAAACGTAATGACTGATTGGGCAGAAAGAATCCGTTTTCCTCGCAAGAATCTTCATGAACAAGGTGCATGGCAAAGACTTTGCGTCCGCGGGCATTCTCGGTATTCAGCATTTCTATTACCAAATCAAAAAGCAGCAAAGCCCCTGCAGAGTCTTCCATGCAAGGCCGAGCCATCCTGAGGCTAGGGACGAGATTTTGAGTGAGGTAGGTCAAGATATCAGCGTTGGGCCAGCGAAGACAAAGCAACTCCACAATCCATCCTATGTTCATGTTATACGTCTCCTCGTATAAGTATCGCGATGGATCCCATCCTTTCGCAATACCAAGGATCACCTTAGCCCACCGAGTTAACGGCAAAGTCATTTGACTAGTCTCCGCAAGAAGCAAATGCTTAAGTGTTTGACGGTCACAATAGATCTGCACCAAGGCATACATCGCGCAGGCAATTGCGTCTTCACGACTATCGAATGTGATAGGCAAAATGGCATCTTCTGAGTAGCTGAGGTCCGTTCGCTGGAATACTGGATGTCCAGTACATCGAAGGAACGCATTATAAAGCGAATTCGACTGAGCGAAGAGGAAATCGACGTATTGCCTAAGATCATCTAGCTTCCGGTAAACTTCGGACTCGCTATCATTGCATCCTGAAAGATAGCCTTCTCCATCTCCAGGGGTTGAAAGCTTCAGGCGAAATAATTCCAAATTATCGCAGCGGGACTGTGAGCATCTCTGAAGAAGGAGGATAGATGACACACGGATGGAATCTGCCATCGCGAGAAAGAGAAGTTCTTGTTGTGCGCAGATCCGGCGCGCAAGAAGGTCGAGCTCTCGGTTAGCAACTTGGCTGCGAGGTGTTGCATGCAACGGCCCTAAAATGAGAAACCCTTTTGCACGGATAAAAAGACTCGCACGCAATACCAGTCGGCCGTAAGGTGTTCCGGATAAAGCACGGTAGTGCCGAAGGATGAGGGACTCTAGCCCTCGTAAATGGCAGTAAGAGGTCCTGACGGTCCCAACTACATTTTCGAAGAGTATGAAGAAAATCACCGTAGCAAGGATATCCTCGATCTGGCTGGTGTCTTGCTTAACCAATTGAATCGCACGACTGAAGTAGTTCAGCGATTGAATAAAAAGTGGTGACAAGTCCTTTGACCGTGGCTTGCACGGATTTCCAAGGGTGTAAGCAAATCGAGCAGCAGAGAAGGCAACCGTAGCTTCCCTAAGAGCGGGCAAGTCTAACCCCTTTGACACAACCAGTCGTACGCTTTTAGGTAGAAAGTGATGATATGGGAAAAGTATTGGTGAAGAAAGAGTCCGTCGGAAACAGCGATTGCGGGCTTTCGAGGAATATTCAGTCCCGTAGAAGTGGGGGCCTTAATATACTCCGCCTGGGAGAAGCTCGCCAGAATCTGAAGTTGGCGGCCCCTGGTGGAAGTTGGATTCGGGAGTACGTCGTCTTCGTTTGTCGTGCCGTGCTGGGAACGTCGATGATTATGTAGTTTAGCGCGAGATACCTCACTGTAATCAAGATTCCGAGTATCAACTTGTGCTCTCCGCCCCAAATTGAAAGACGACTCTTGAAATCGAAGTGGAGGACTCCGAAAAAGGCAATGGATTCCTAGACGCGAACAGAGCCGACAGCTAGGTCTGTTCTCGTCACACTAATGTCGATGAAGTGTCATATCAGTAACTACTCGAACCGTCCGCGGGGTAGGCTTAACTTTTCGTTTTTTCTGTCTGCATGGGATGCATCCATTTCTGCTGCGGGTAATATTGGTCTTTCTATACCGAGGTGGTACAGGTTCGTACATGACTGACGGCAGAAAGGAAAGTGGCGCCTAGCGATACTGTGAGGTGTAATTTCAGTAACGTGATAATCTTCGAGTGGTCCCTCCCGGCCCTTGAAGCTAGTGTCTGAGGGTCTGTCATGATGAAGAGAGGTAGTGGAAACCGGCGAGCAGCCAGCACGCGGGTGCCGAAACTCTTGACTAATCTTGGGACCGCTCCAGGGCTCAGGTGCCAAAGCTTAACGTATTTTACTACCAAACCGCCACCATTAGCAAGTTCTTAGGAGGTTCCGCGCCGGACGGAGCAACAGTCCGACTGGAGCGGGTTCAATAAAGGTTCGTGCTAGCGCACCTGTTCTGCAAATCGAGTTAGCCTGGCTGATAATTAGGTAATGCCTGCCGAAAGTCCGACTGGAATGGGTTAAAAATTAGAGTTCGTGCTAGCGCATCTGCTCTGCAAATCGGGTTAGCCTGGCCGATAATTAGTTAATGCCGAAAGTCCGACGGGAACGGGTTAAATTAAGGTTCGTATTAGCGCACCTGTTCTGCAAATCGGGTTAGCCTAGCCAACAATGCCCTGGAACGACCTCAGGAAGTGGAAGGGGTTACTAACCCAGACCTGTGCAAACCTGACTATTAGCGCTGGCAGCTAACGCTGCGAGACAGCTATTTGTCGCGCCATGCTTCTCCCTCATACATCTTTGGCTTATTCCTGACCATATGCTCATTGCATCGTTTCAGGGCCACAGCGTGCGCAGCGCGCGTCACCAGTTGTTAAGGTCGAGGAAAGTGGTCTTTTCAAAATTTAACTACGCAGAATGGTTTAATTTCACCTGTGCCGTGATCCCTTCGTTTATACTAGAGATTCTCGACAGTCCGAGAATCCCGATTTCCAACTCCCCTTTTCCTATTCATGTAAGCAAGGACATCAGGGCTAACCTGTCCTCGCGTCCTCCGCTCTGTTCATCGTTTCTTCGACTAATCCAATTCAACTCATCTTTTTGGATTGGTTCCCCTTGGTTTATTAGCCTCGTATCTCAGACAAAATCTCAATAAAATTCGATGAGCTTACTTTTCACGCAATCCCTCCCATATATAGAACAATTTTGGCAGCATGACTTAAACCAGCCCAGTCATTCAGTTTCCCTACTAAAAGTGAAGCATATGGACCTCTAAATAAGGCTAGTCAGCAATACCGATTCGTCAAAATTGACCTTGCAAACGCTCTCGAAATGGTCGAAATTAGCGATCTGAATTGGCCCCTTGAACAGTTTGCCGGAATTGACCGTCAGGATTCGGTAACCAGTCCAGGTAAATTCTGGTAGCTAATTCAGCGGTGAATTGACGATCATATTGGGGCCTCTGGATTCACCCGAATTGATCAAACTCAAAGGCTGAATTGATCTCTAGTAATAATTGACCTGGTAATTCGCGAGTAGAAAATTTGAGCTGCATTGAACGCATAAACTAGCTGTAGCCCCACTGACTCTGTGCAAGTACAGTATCGCCGCATCAGCACCACTAACTAGCAGTCGCTACTCTATCTAACTGGATACGCACTATCCCCTCAACTCCAACTGCTGATCCAGAAGGTCCGCGACCTGCACCTCCATCCCCTGAAACTCAATCCCTAGCTCTCGGTGGGCCCTGGTCGTATCAACCTCGTAGCTTAACGTATCCAACGGAGGCAGCTTAATAGCAAGACCAGGATACCGACTTTTCACGAAATCATGCACCTCGTGCCACGGGCGCGCTTTAGACGAAAGAAGGTACGGCTGTACACCCTTGATAGAGGTACAGCTTCCCGTAAGGGCGCTGACATGCGCCGAGGCGACATCGCTAACGTGTACTCCGAGGAATTGCTTCCCAAAGGGAGTGTCTGACATAAGTGTTTGGAAGAGCATCCCGTTGCTACCGGATAGTTCTTCGGCAGTTTCTTGAACGAGGCTGCGGCCGAAGACGAGGACGGGATGAATGGTCACCACATCAAAGGACGGGTTGTTGGTTGCCACAAAGTCGATCACGGCCTTGTGGGCGGCGATTTTGCTCGCGTGGTATTGGCCTATTGGTGAGAGGGCAGCGGGACTTTCCGCGTCGAATGTGAAGTCGAAGTCGTTGTCCTCTTGATAATGTTAGTGGGTTCGCACTCTTAGAATCAATAGGCAGCCAGGAGAGGTACCTGTCACAACTGCGCCATCCGCGGGGGGTGTTAACGGTATGATGGACAGAATCGAGGCCGTGATGACCACCTTCCGAATACTCGGAACCTTCACTGCTGACTCCAGTACCGAGACTGTCCCCTTTACAGCAGGGGTAAGCAGATCCGACTCCCCCGAGCCAGCTATGGGTGAAGCCACGTGAATTACGTAGTCTACACCTTGGAGAGCTTCGTCAAAGCCGCCTGGTGCGGTGATATCGGGGAGCACGGCGAAGGATAGTTTCTCGTCATATTTCGAGAAAATCCGGCGAAGCTTGTCGGCTTGCTCAGGGCGACGGACGACGAGGTGGACATTGTAGCCGGCTTCCAGTGTCCGAAGGACGACCTGAGAGCCGATAAAGCCTGTAGCTCCGGTAATTAAGACAAGAGACATCGTGGGAGTTGTTTGGTACAGTGGAAGTCAGTTCAGTGTTCTACTTATATAGTGCATACTGGGCAAAAAACGCTGATAAATCAAGGTCGAAAGAAACTATTTGGATGACGTCTAATTACCGATTGATAATTCTTATAAATGCCCAACCTCTGAGGTCTAGTCGTATCATAGTCTGCTTCTTTTTAAGTTTTCGGGGACGGACCTCGGGAGATACTAACTACATACCTTGGTAGTTACCTAACTAAGCTTACTTACAAAGCGACCCGCCCTGCCCACTTACCTACCTGGTAGGTAACTAATTGACTAACTACCTATGTAGGTAACCTTGGAATTCCCAGGTGATGAATAATGCTTTGTAATGAGAGAGCCACTGACATAGATGACCAAGCTGGTCATGGTCATTCCCTACATCTTCCTCTCGATCCACAGCAGCTCTGATCCACGGAAATTAGAAAACGATCCAAACCTTAACAGCCGGGGATCTATACGACCAAATGAAGCGGAAATTTGTTTTCATGCTCGGAGGGAGCAGGCGTCTCAAAATCTATAAAAGCTGCTTTGCATATCACCTTGTCCATGGGCCTCATTCCTCAAGCTGGAACATCTAGGACACCATGCTCAAATTTCAGTATATGAAGTTGGCACTATGCACTCTCTTCATCTCGTCATCACTCAGCAAACTCTGGGATAGCCCTGCTAATTGCTCGGATCTCGTCATTCCCATGCGTGTCTCTTCTTGGAACCGTCAAGTTGAAGACTCGGTCCTCACCAATGGCAGCTCGGTGATCACCCTGGTGTCCGAGCTGGCGCTGTCATTCAACAGCTCAACTTGGGCCTACGAGTCCACTGCGCTGAATATCAGCGCCCGCTACTGCGAGCCAATAGGCCCCTCCCCCCGTCGAGACGCAATTCAACTGCTCGTGCACGGCATCACGTACAGCAAGGATTACTGGTCTGCCCTGGGAATATCGGGCGTCCAGTCGCGGCTTTACTCCTGGGTAGACTTCGCTACCCGAAGAGGGTACGCCACGCTGTCTATCGATCGTGCTGGTGACGGCGCTTCCTCCCGCCCCAATCCATTCCACACCGACCAAATTCCTCTGCATGCAGCGGTGGCCAACCAGATCGCCACGCAGCTAAAGCGGGGACAGATTATCCGCGGACGGTCGTTTGAAAAGGTCATTTATGTCGGCCATTCGCTCGGGTCTATAATTGGCGTCGACCTGGCTGCCACGTACCCCGATGCCGTCGATGCCCTGGTGCTTACGGGGTACGCCGCCGCCGAGTCGGCCTCGCCGCTCATCTTGGAAACCGGGCTCCTGCCGGCAAAGGAGGCACTTCCGGCCAGATTCGGCAGCGTAGATGACGGATATTTGGTAACGTCGTCCCTGTCTGGCAGACAAAAGGCGTTTTACGGCCGCAATGGCACCTTTGACCCCCAGGTGTCTTCGCTCGACTTTGACATCCAACAGACGGTTTCTGTAGGGGAAATGGCCACGGCCAGCCTGGCAAAGGTTGCCACCAACTATTCCGGACCCGTGACGGTGATTACGGGTGATCAAGACGCGACCTTTTGCTTTGTCAATGAGACCTCGGATGGCTCAGGGCCGGGCGGCGAATGTGGACAGGGGAAGACCTCAGGCCCCGCCCGTGTGTCGTCTCTGTTTCCTGCTGCCGCCAACTTTTCAGTCACCGTGCTCGACAATATCGGACACTGCATTAATCTCCATTACAAGGCGATTGTAGCGTATGCGGTGGCGCATGATTGGATGGACGAACACGTGTGATAATACGGAGAATCAAATCATCAATACCTAGGTACTTATGAGAACTATGGAGCGGTAAGTTACCACCTAGAAAGTGTTATACTGAGTAACTCGCTTTCCTTTATGTTTTGTATTATAAACTGTTATCCTTGGCATCAGAGTTACCGTAACACCGTGTACCTTAGCCATCTCTGCGATATTTCAACTTGCCTCATGATATTCGTTCTTTCTTCAATCAACCTTTGGCATTCAACTTTGAAGATTGGTTCCGCTTGGCCCTACTCTTTATCTTATTTGCCTATAGATATTACTAGCCTATACTGTCTCAGCTTGCTCCGACATTTCTTTTGCTTGGTTCTATAAAACTCTAGAGTTTGATTGTGGACCCATGTTCCGAGAAGGCGTACGGATATCTCCATATGATGGGAAAGGATTTGGATTGACACACTCCCAAAGGGTAAGTGAAATGCCTAAAAGTACTAACTGGTCTCTTACAATATTGATGTATTCAGCCAAAGCAGGGCGATTTAAAGGATAACTAATAGACCGAAATGAAGCAACTTGATTAGCCAATACAGAAAGCTATACTATTTTTTGAAATAACCCTTAGCTTTGCAACTCCTCTTCATCCGGCATAACCTCCCGCTTTTAATACAGTTACAACTTCATGAAAGCCTTTAGGTCCTAACACTTTTTAGAATCCTGTATGTCCCCTGAGTGCAGTTCATTGGTAAATATTTGTGAGCTCAAGATTTTTTAAGAGAGTGATCTGTCTACCTTTAAGTTACATCTCCAGAATAAGGATTGCAATACGTAAAGTTGGGGTAACTAGTTCAGGTACGCAATTCCAGTATATGTTACAGGAATAAATCTGACACCACATCGAATCCACCGCGTTGCACACCGAGCTGCCCGGTCTGCAGAGAGTACAGCAGACCCCATGGAGTGAAACAAGGACGGAACGACATGGCGGTAAACAATATCAGGATCATCGAAGTAGGAACGAGCGTGCGGCAGGAATCTTCGTTTCGACAAAGAACAACGTTGAAGTGATGCAATCCCCCAGGATGGATGAAGCTCAGCTTCACTGCCAATTTACCATACCTCCGGAAGAGTTAGGCAGGCGGCATTGGTAATTCTGCACTTCTTGAATAATTCCACAAGCCGGACAACTGAATCACAATTTGCTTCAACTGCATCCTGGCCCTTCGAGCCGTTCTGTGTACCTCCAGGACTAATATGCTCTTCTTACTATTCCACCGAGACTCCTACAGTTTGTGACACCTCACAGTAGAGGTAGGTACTACTAACTCCTCTATATCCTACTGTCACAGACATTGTCACGAGGGAAATGAAGATATTCTCCAACCCTAAGACTGGCTTGCGTGCCAGAATGAGCACTATCAATTAAGCAGATTCGGATCCTTGGCGTAACAGCCCATCTACTATTGTGCACCAAACCTGTTGAGCGATAGTCGCTAATCTTTGAAAACTTACAGGGCAACAGAGTTTGGAAACATGTGAGAGCAAAGCGCACTGTTGTCCACAACCTATAACCTTAAGCAAGCAAGAACAAAGCGAGTCGTTGAAAGCCAAATTATTACATGTCCAATAATCACACTACAATTGTGTCTTCCACATGTCCCCAAAAAATCCAAGTTACTAAAAGCCTATACGAAACAATCAAACAATCATCAGTCATCGCCTTGTATCCCGAGTCCATACATCACACCAGGTCTTTTTCCTAGCAAGTCTATGGCACAATTGAACTTCTAGCCTTTTCAGGATCATCCCCCAAGTCCTCCTCCTTGGTGTTAAGGCCACGGTGAGCAGCAACCTCCTGGAGATCCGCATCATGCTCAGCGTCGAAGTTACGACCCAAACGCTCCGGCCCAGCAATTGTGACCAGAATAACATAAGCATAGACACATCCCATGAAGATGCAGATAACCTTGCCGTACTCGTATCGGTGGGGGGCCTTTTTCGTCGGAGGCAGAGGGAAGCGTTCACCGATAGTTGATTCAATCGTCGAGCTAGCAGAGGAGACCAGATTTCCGAGCTGGTAAGCAGTACCGACGGCAAAGGTACGGATAGGTCCTGGTGATAGCTCCATCAGATGAATAGGGATAACACCCCAAGCACCCTGTACCATGAACTGCTCGAAATATGCTGCGGCAATGACATTCTTGTTTTCGACAAATGTGTAGGGGTAGAGAAGGGCGCCGCCGATGGTTGAGATGACAATGATAGAGAATCGACGACCGAAGATCTGACTAGCCCAGCCGCATAATACGCCACCTGACAAAGCGCCCAGGTTGGCGACGACTTGTGTGACGGTAACCGCATTCTTGGAGAATTTGAATTGGTTCTCCAACATTGTCGGGTAAAGATCCTGAGATCCGTGCGACTAGTCCCCATGTTAGCTTCTTGACTCGAATAGCAAGTAGTACACATACCATGAAGTTAAACCCAGACATAAGCAGAACAAGGTATACGAGCAACAGCCAATGGCGCTTCAGTGCGACCTTCCCTTCTGACATGAACGACGCCGCGACACCTCCGCGCATTTCCTGTCGCGCTTCCTGGCGCCGACGGAAAGTCTCGGTTTCACCTAGGAACAACCGGAAAATAATAATCAAGACTGGTGGACCGGCCGCGAACCAGTACAGCGGTCGCCAGCCATGTGGGGTCGTATTGACGAGACCTCTGGCGAAAGCCGTAGCTAACAAATATCCAAAAGCGTAACCTTGCTGTAAGAGTCCTGAAATGATACCGCGGGCTTCGGGTGGGCAATCCTCCAGAGCGGTAGCAGCCGCATTACCGTATAAGCCGCCCATGGCAATTCCAAATAAGGCGCGACAGGCCAGGAACTGTTTATAAGTTTGGCAGAAACCAGCGCCGAGCTCGAGGACCACGAAAAGCAGCTGGTTGACGATGAAGGGCCATTTACGGCCCCATCGATCGGAGGCAATTCCGAAGGTGATTGCGCCGACGGATCGCAGCATCAGCACTAGGGTAATTCCCCATGTGATGTCAGTGACGGATTTATCGAATGTTTCGGCAAGTTCAGAGGCAGTGAGTGAGACGGTAAAAAAGTCGAACGCATCCCAGGACCAGCCTAGGAATGCAACCTGTAGGGTTAGGTTGGTTAGACAGAGGTTTTTATTTTTCTTGTCCGTCAGCGCTACAGGGATGTCGACATACCGCGAAATTAAGCCATTGGGCTGTGTTTAGCAGTGTCAGTGCCTTGAAGGGGTTGGGGGCTGGGTTCATCGGAGGGACGAGAGATGAAATACGAGTTGAGATGTAGCGGCCTATACTCATATGCTCCTCGACATCTGGCGAGGGTGTCGCCCCATACTGAGGCTTTGCCTCATCTGCCATGTCTGCTGAGAATTCTGGAGCACCTTTGAATAGGAAAGAAAAGTCTGATTCTGGCGCGGAGTCCGAAGGAGGAGAAATAAGATAGATCAGAAGCCAAACAAGGGGGTCAGCGTAGCCCTAAATACGACGGAAACCATTCTCCTTCTCCCCTCTCTATGGTTACCATATCTAGTGGACATGCCGAGGATAAGGAATCAAGTGACCGACATCTGTGGTCCCGAACGCATCAGATGCGATCCTATTCGCTTGCCATGTCGGTCAGCAATCAGGAATCGGGAGCAGGCAAATGAGGAAAATGCAATCTCTGTCGATCATGGTACATTTATGGGGTATGGGCCCGCAGAAAACGCGAGAACCCCCGTGGGGAAAGGAAAGTTTCAGTGACTTCGGAATGGTACGGTGTTTCTGCGATAAACGCAGATGCAAGGTAAGTCATATCTGGGTACTTCGCAGTCTATCTTCTACAGACATCTTTGTACTTCTCCGACGTTGGTATTGGAATTTTTCTTAAGAACATGTTGTATACTCTCTTCTGAGGTGCAAAAGGAGGGGAAAGTACCATGTAAGCCTTGACATACTCCGCATCCTTCGGGTGGAAATTAAAATGGAGAAAAAGGTCGGAGTCCATAATACTCCGTTGCCGGCCCTTTGAACTTCCATAAGCCTATATGATAAGCCCTTGTCAGTTCCAAGGTTTCGGTTTAAGTACTTTATTCTGCTGGTTTCTTGTCCTCAATAAGGTAAAGCTCTAGACTTTGGACTTTTCACTGGACCTACATAATAGCTACTCCCGAGCACTCATAGTGAGACAGATTAACCTTTGATTCCGTGGCTTGGCAGGGCTTCTCTGAAGTAAGACTTTTTCGATAGATTGCCAAGCATTAGACAGTGCGTGTACGGAGTAGTGATTGGCTTATTGCTACGGAGTACTTAGTAAGTACTTAGTACTTCCCGTTTGCGCTCGAGAAAAATACATGTAATGATCCGTATGGAATTAAGACCGGTTCAAGTTCTCAGCATTGCATTGACTTGTAGCCCTTACAGCCAACTCGCCTATTGTCGTTTTTACGTTCCTTTCTGATCTTTGTTCTATGCAACTTTCGTCAACCGTCTTTCTATTCGAGTTATTAAAATACAGTTGTAAAATATATCTAGAATATCAAAAACTGAGGGGAAAAGAGAAAATCTAGGAAAAAAGAAAAAAAAGAAAAAGAAATGCTCACACCCGGGATCGATCCGGGGATCTTTCGTTAAGACTTATTTAAAGTACGAGACGAACGCCTTACCACTAGGCCATGCGAGCTAATTGTTGGAAAACAAGAAATTCTCATTCTATATGAATATATCAATAGTATCCAAAATAGAGACTTGCGTCCCAACAGGAGGTAGAGTGCTTGAGCATTAAATAGTATTTTGCAAAAGATTCATGGATATTGTTGGCTTGTGCTGACATATCCTATGAGAAATCCGCCTTAGCTAAACACTTCATAACGTGATGTTTCTTTTTCAAGGATCAAGACCAAAACTGTCTGACAGGCGCTTTGTGCGATATCCACACCAAACCCTGCGTACCGAAACAAGCTATTGTTGGGTTCGAAAAAGAGAAGGAAAAAAAAGCGGGCCAGATTTGGAAAATGCTATTCAAGATGCCCAGGTAAAATGTGTTATCATAGAACACTGTAATACTCCAAGTCAGTCTGATTTTATCCACACCCGTCAAATATATATCACCATTTCCAACTACATATATCCCTGCCAACATTACCCCTTCTTGCATACAAAAACCATCATTAAATGGATAATCTACGAGAGAATTCAAATAAACCAACACAAAATGCAATAACCCGCTGCCTGAGGCACAGCAAGCAATCTCCTAGGTACAGATCAGAGTCGTCAGCTATAGTCTGATCAAGTGCATATCATGTAGCCCACATATAACGCTTAAAACCCGCCTAATCCGCCCCAACACGACCCAATATGACCCAATATAACCCAATACCATCAATTCGGGGTACATATTCAATAGTTTAACCGTTAATAGCCACTAGCATAGCATACTAAGGCATAAATTGATATGGAGTTGCCATCACGTATTCGTTCCCCTCAGTTGGCATCTCCACCCATCTAATTAACGAGATCCGAGATCCCAGTTCTTGTCTACAGTACCGATGAATGTCATGGTGTATAGTCGATTCTATCGCCACTCAAGTCTCTTTGATCTATAAATATTACCAAATCAGGAATGCTCCTCGGTTCCTTGCAGCAGCCTGTCAAATGCGGGTCGACCGTCTTGGCATTGACTGGCTTCTGCATAAATGCCGAATGCCAAATGCCATAGAGGTCCACAATCAAACAAGTAGAGACATATTATTTGTCTACCTAGTCCAGCTGAAAGGTAAAGCCACATCTCAAGATGACAAGGAGGCTGTGTCGATGAACCCCCCTATGAGGCGGTGCTCAATTTCCCGCTCAGCCCGCTTGCCCCGCTGGTGCCGTGTATTTATTGTCAGGTCATCCCCAGATCTCACCTTCAGCTCATCCTTAGTATTTCCTACATACATATCCCTCTTAATACTTACCGAACCAACTTTCATAACCTCTGAGATCAATATGTCGTACGGTGGACCCCCGCAAAACCAATACGGCGGCGGTGCCGGTTACTATGACCAGCAAGGCCAAGGATACCCCCCTCAGGGTCATTCTCCTCAACCACAGCAAGGCTATTACCCACCAGAGGTGAGTCTACACAATAAGCACATAACCTACCGCCACATAGAACCGAGTCGCACAGCGCTCAAACTTCACTCTCCTCTCGCATTCGTACCGCGGCCGTACATAACTAACTTTCCGCGCTACAGGGCCAGCAGGCTTACGGCCAGCCTCAGTATGGTCAGCCCCAATATGGCCAGCACCCAGGACCTTATGATCAACATGGTGGCCAGGGCTACCCCCCACAGCCCCAGCAGGGCCAGTACCCTCCCCATGATCGCGGCCACTCGCCCTATCCTCCCCAGCAACAGCAGTACCCGCAAGGTGGTGGTGCGAGCTCCGAGTACTATGGCGGCGCACCCCCGTACCAGCAACAGCCAGGACAGCCTGGTCCTGTAGGACAGGAGGGCGACAGGGGCCTCGGGTCTACGCTGCTCGGTGGCGCGGCTGGTGGTTTCATGGGTAACAAGCTTGGCCATGGCATGCTCGGTACTGCGGGCGGTGCTGTTCTGGGTGCTGTTGGTATGAACATGGCAACTAATAAGCTGTGAGTTTTGTCCTTTGCACTATCTCTTTTTTTGGTCTTTTGGTTGAGACGAGACTGACTGTTCGTACTCTGGTTTAGTGGGAAGGAGGCTAAGAAGCACAAGAAAGATAAGAAGCATAAAAAGGACAAGAAGCACAAGAAGAAGGGCTCGAGCTCGAGCTCCAGTTCCTCGTCTGATAGCGACTAGTTGATCTCGCCTGTTTTGGACTGGATATGATGACTGGTTTTGTCCTTCCAAGTTTGTATACCCTGCCTTTTTCTCTACTGCTTTTTTCCCGTCCGGTAGCGCTCGACCCTTTTGGACTTTTCGTCTTGGGCGACTCGAGGACCTTTATGCGTTACGTCTATATGCATTTGTATTCTTAATGAGATGAAAGCTCATCAACAAAGTTGAATTATTGAATCATGCAATTATGTCTTATTTGGTTAGATATCCTGGAGTGCTTGTTAGCCTGAATTTCTGCCCGATGGATAGTCCTTTGTTTCAGTTCATAGCGCGTGAACATGGGACCAGGGCCATGAGTGGATTTCAAATCATGTATTATTACATTGGGTATTATTCTTTTATTGAGAGGTTTGACGCGCCTCGGCCTTGTCTTCCTTCGCCTGGATTGGCTGTTTGAAAAAGGCCTCTGGGTCGATGCTACTGTCCAGACTGAAGGACAGTTTGGGGATTGGTTTTGGTGAATCCCAAATAAAGCGCCACTTTTGTGATATCGGATTCCAGTACTGTCGTGGCACAAGAGCAGAAAGGCGTCTCCATTGACGACGCATAAGCCGGAATGTAATTGTATGTGGTCGACCGTTGGCATATGCCGCAAAGGTGGTACCCTTTTCAGGACCCCTAGCCAGCAACTGGAAGAGCTCACCACTAGACTTGGTCTCAGACCTGGTCTGGGAAATCTGGGGAGTTGAACCCCTTCTTTTGACAGGCTCCCATGGCACATTCCCCGATATAAGTCCCTCAAGCACCTGGAGGTCCTTCTCTGGCAATGGAGGAAGGAGACTGCTCAATGTGGCGTTGTACCATTTTCTCCGAATATTTTTCTTCCGAGATTGGCACACTTCTTTGCCCCAGCTGTCCTGCTTGGGGATTGGGGGTTCCAATTGTTTGATCAAGGGCCTGATGCGGACTGATGCAACCACTGTGTTCTGCATCTGAGAGGCTGCGAGACTTTTCACGATAGCTGATGGTTCCCAGCCATCACTGAAATCAGTAGGCCGGGAGATTAGCTCCTTGAGAGCCGTAGAATCATTGGGGATTTCCGGCGTTAACATTTTTGCCAGGAGCTCATGTCGCCGTCTCCCAGTGCGACCATATGACAGTAATAACACCTTCTCGAGAGGCCGTGAATAGCCTTCATTTGCTCGTCGTAGAACTGATAAGGCATTTCTTGCCGCGTGAACCGCCTGAGGACCAGCCTTCGGAGAACGGGAGGAAGCAGTACGATATCGGGAGATGATATGGTCTTTCATGTAGTTGCGGGCGATGGGGTCAGGTAGATAGGTACATTCGCGCAACGTAGCGCGAAATAAATGGCGCCATTGCTGTGGTGTTGAGAGATTGTGGAGCCAATGCTGAGGTTGTGGTCTGGCCATTAGGAATATTCACTTTAATGTAATCGAGAATGGCCAAAAAAAAATAGAAAGCCCAAACCGGAGAAACGCGAAATCCTTGGCGAAATGCGTGTCACGGGAACTCCGACGCGCCATTTTCGCCGTCTTTCCCCCCAAACCCCGCGAACATTGACTTACCTTGCATTGTACCTCGGATCTTACTATCTCAATTTCTATTTGACACCACTTTCGGTCGCTCTGTGGCCTTGAATGGTATTTGGTCTGGCCTGCGGTTCCCCTCCAGAGGGTTAGCCACGCGCCTCCTTGAGCTCGCGTCATTCCAATCGGCATCCGGTATCTCCCTCCTTGCTACTTGGTCTACCCTATCATTACCCGATTTGTTGGTTAACATTTCCTGAAAGGTTCAGCATGTCATACTCACAGGGCAGCGCAGGGTCGAATGGAATGGCATACAACATGTTGAATGCCTCGCAATCCCTCAATTCCACCCCTCGCGCAACTCCTCCACCCCCGAAAGGATCTCAGATGTCCTCTTTCGGTTACCCCAGCGGACTCGCACGAAGCTTTAGTGGGTATGATGGAGCCAACGACTATGGGTCGGTAATGTCATATCAGGAGGAGTACAAACCACAGATTTACCGAGTTCGTGGTCTTTTTCCACACCCCCAGGGCATAGCACTGATCAAACTAGGCTGTCTACTCTAATGTCGCTGTTTATGAGATGGAAGTGAATGGTGTCGCTGTTATGAAACGTCGATCCGATTCATGGTTGAACGCTACGCAAATTTTGAAAGTCGCCGGTGTTGTGAAAGCGAGACGAACAAAAACCCTCGAGAAAGAAATCGCGGCTGGTGAACACGAGAAGGTACAAGGTGGTTACGGGAAATATCAGGGGACGTGGGTCAACTATCAACGAGGCGTCGAACTCTGTCGAGAGTACCACGTCGAAGAATCACTCCGGCCACTGCTCGAGTACGACATGTGCCCTGACGGCTCTGGAACTCCTGCCCAGGGATCGATGATAGATACACCCACCAAAGAACAAGCGATGGCCGCGCAGCGCAAGCGGCTTTATAATGGCGGGGAGAATCGCAGCGCATCACAGCCGCAGCAGGGAACTTTCTTCCAGAATATCTCACGAACAGCCGCAACCGCTGTTAATGCCCTCAGCAAAGCACGCTTCGACTCTCCCAGCTCCAACAGTCGTCGACCCAGCATGGCTCGCAAACCCTCACAGCAGATGAGCAGCCAGGAATCCGGGCTTGCGTTCAGCAGCCAGCAGAGCATGTACAGCATGTCCGACAGTGGGTTTGGCAGCCTGCAAAACCGGTACCAGGTACAGGATGACACCGATGATCTTACGGAACCTCCGCGCAAACGCATGCGCTCCACTTCGCATCAGGGCCCACCTATTGGTCTCACTCGAGAACCATCCAATCTATCCATGCACGAACCCACACCCACAGAACCTAACGACTCATTTTATCAAGATATGGACCTTCCTCCCCCTCCCATGGATGATGGCTCGAAACGCGGCGTCGAGTCCCTTGCGCCTGCTTCTACTCCTGAGAGATTCCAGAAGATGAAGCTCATTATGACATTGTTCCTCGATAAACGGACAAAAGACTTTACGAACCACCCGGCCTTGCTGCAGTTGACTGGCGATGATCTTGAAATCCCTCTGGATGAGTACCGAAACAATGCCCTGCACTGGGCAGCCATGCTCGCCCGCATGTCACTGCTCAATGCGTTAGTAGCCAAGGGTGTCAGTATCTCGCGAGTTAACGGTGCCGGAGAAACCGCCCTGCAAAAATCTGTGGGCACTCGGAATAACCTCGATTATCGAAGCTTCCCGCGTTTGCTGCAGGTGTTGGCCCCTACCATTGACATGGTGGATTACAGCGGACGTACCATCCTTCACCACATCGCCATGATGGCTGCGACCGGTGGCGGTGGACATGTCTCCGCAAAGCATTATCTAGAAGCCCTTCTTGAGTTTATTGTACGACATGGAGGTATGGCCCCAAGTGCGAATGGAGACCATGCATCAAATGGGAACTCTGGCGGTGAAGTCATCTCTTTGGGACGATTCATCTCTGAGATTGTCAACCTCCGCGATGATCAGGGTGACACGGCCCTTAATCTGGCAGGTCGTGCGCGCTCAGTTCTTGTCCCGCAACTCCTGGAAGTGGGTGCCGATCCTCACATTCCCAACCATACTGGCCTCCGACCTGCAGATTACGGTGTTGGTGTCGACATGGTCAATGGAAACTCTCAATCTCAACAAGCGGCCAATCGGAATGACACATTCATTGATCAATTGGCGAAGTCAAAGAAAGAGATTCTTGATGGTAAGTGTCTCCCCTCCAACCATCTTCATTTTTGTTAACATTAAGTCTAGCGGCAATGTCCCAAATCAGTGCAATGGTCGAAGAAACCCTTGGGGGAATTGACCGAGAGTTGGCTGCGAGCTTGGCACAAAAACAAGAAAGTTTCGATCACTGGCATACGAAGATTCGCGAGTCTGCCAAAGCTCGGCAGATCGAACAGAAACAATATGATGAGCTCAGACGCAAGGGTTCTGAGCGTGTGGAACTAGAACGGCGCATCAAGAATCTGGAGCGTTCGTCTGAGGGTCTGTTGGTAACAGTGCAGAACACACCAGGACTGGACGCGACCAAGACGGTTGTTGTGGGTGATGCTGACAGAGATTCTGGTGTTGATATCGCGACTTTTGACGCCCTATTCCCCGAGGGTTTCGACCCAGCGTCCGGGTTTTCAGAACAGCAAGTCGCTTTCCTGGCTTCATTGCCAGCAACAGACCTGCTTAGACGCCAGGCGCAATGCTACAAAGAATTCAATGGAGGGATACTAGCTGAAGTTGATAGCCTGAAAGCGAAGAACGCAGTTCTTGGTCAGAACTACCGTCGCATGGTGATGGCATGCACGGGATGGACAGCAGAGCAAGTGGATGAAGCCGCGGAGGGGCTCACGCAGTGCGTCAAGGAACTGAATGACAATCCTGTCCCTGAGGATGAAGCCATTGAGATCCTGATGCGGGATCGCGGGCAGGACTGGTAGTTCTGATGTGTTGCATTATTCTCTGAGCGTTTGGGCGGCTTGTTTGGACGGCGTTGCTTCACTTGTACACAAATACCCTGGTGGCATGCATCCATGCCCGTTGGCACATGTCTTGTTATTTATGTGAAATGCAATTGTACAATTATCGGTCTTGGCTGCACATGTAGGCTAAATGTGAGATTAGCCGGTGGAAGGGCTGGGCTTGGTGGCTTGAAGCCCCCTGTTAGTTGCCAAGCTGGATATTTACCCCATCCCCCGCGTTTTGCTTACTGCATTTTTGGGTAAATAGCCTGACGGATAAGTACTTATAGTCATACGTAGCACCTCCAAAATAACTCTTGTAGACATTATTGTAGTTTTTGACTATTCCATCACCGGACAATATGGATACCGGATTCTTGCACGTGAAAGGCGATACTATCGTTGACGGCAATGGGGAGGGGGTTGTCATGAGAGGAGCTGCCCTTGGAGGATGGATGAAGTATGCAGAGAATCAAATTGCTATATGCTATAGTATTTCCTTGTTCCCAAACTGACAATTTTGAAGTATGGAGAACTTCATCACAGGCTTCGCAGGCCACGAAGCCCAGCACCGCGCCGCCATGCGTCGAGTCCTAGGACAAGAGAAATACGAATTCTTTTTCGATAAATGGCTCGAGTACTTCTTCACCGAGGCGGATGCCAAATTCTTCGCCGAACTAGGTCTGAACTGTCTGCGTCTGCCTTTCAACTACCGCCACTTCGAGGACGATATGAACCCGCGTGTGTTGAAGGAATCAGGGTTCAAGCACTTGGACCGAGTTGTCGACCTGGTAAGTCTTTCGCATATCTCTCTACATAGAGTGGGTAGTACCAGGAAACAGGCTAATTATAATGGCCGTATAGTGCGCAGCACACGGTATCTATACCATCCTGGACATGCACGCCGTCCCAGGTGGCCAGAACCCAGATTGGCACTCCGACAATCCCACCGCATATGCCGCTTTCTGGGATTACAAGGACCACCAAGACCGGACTATTTGGCTCTGGGAACAAATCGCCACCAGATACAAGAATAATCCTTGGGTTGCTGGGTACAACCCGCTCAACGAGCCATGCGATCCCGAGCATGTGCGGCTGCCCGCATTCTATGCTCGTGTTGAAAAGGCGATTCGCAAGATTGACCCAGATCATATCCTGTGGCTAGATGGGAATACATTCGCAATGGAATGGAAGGGATTCAACGAGGTGTTGCCGAACTGCGTGTATGCCATGCATGATTACTCGGTGAGTTTTGCATTTATTTCCCGTGAGAATAAGAAGTATTCTAATACGATATCTCTAGTCAATGGGTTTCCCCACCGGCGATCGGTACAAGGGCACAGACGAACAAAAAGAACGCCTTGAACGCGTGTACCTGCGCAAAGCACAGTTCATGAGCGAGAACAAGACCCCCGTATGGAACGGGGAGTTCGGTCCTGTCTATGCGGACCAGGTATTCGACGTCGATGCCGAGACTGTAAACCAGGAGCGATACAATCTCCTCGGTGACCAGCTGCGCATTTACGATAAGTATAACATCAGCTGGTCGATCTGGCTCTACAAGGACATTGGTCTGCAGGGTATGATCTATACTAATCCTGAAAGCAAGTGGAACAAGACGCTCAAGCCATTCCTGGACAAGAAGAGGGCCTTCTGGCTTGATAAATGGGGCCGTCGGCCTCAGTCTGAGCCTGAGGCGGCTTTGAGGCCTTTGCTCGACTGGATTGACCGTGTTAGTCCTACTGCTAAGGATACTTATCCCACCTCGTGGAATACGGAGTTGCACGTCATGCGGAGTGTCTTTTACACTTTCTTGGCAGCTTCGTTCGTGGATGAGTTTGCTGAATTGTTTAGAGGAAGCAGTGAGAAGGATTTGGAAGAGTTGGCTAGGAGTTTCCACTTTGAGGCTTGTGTGCAGAGAGAGGGTTTGAATCGCATACTCAAGGACCATGCACACTCGTCCCATTGATTTTGAATAACAGTCAGCTTAATATAGCATATTATAACAAATTGGACACCCATGACTTGATTTTTGTGCCCTAAACCGTTGACGTGGGGAGAGAGGCTTGATTAATAATAGATGTGATGCTCTATAAGCAGAGCGTGGCATTAATTTCGTACCTGACAACACCGGGACTTCCTTGTAATACCACGCACTTATGTTATCCACACACTATCGATAAGCCCGAAAAATCGAAAAAGATCGCGGGGCACATTTTCGACTTCAAGATCATTAAAGGTTACTAGAGGGATTTGACATGGCTGAATCTCCTGTGTACCCGTCCAATTTGGACAGCATCTTTGATGCCAGTTCACCTCTCAAGGACCGTATCGATCCAATCCGATTGACGTCAGACAACATCCTCCCGATCCTCAATCTGCCCCTCAGTCACAAGGTGCTGGGTCACGATGCCTCAGAAGAGTCTCTTGCACAGGTTGCAAGCGGCGAGATCTCATATACTACCTTCGTTGCCGATCAGGCCCGCGCCGCCCTTAAGTCTAGCGATGACTTGACCACCGAACAAAAGCAATCGCAACTCCTGCACCTTGGACTAGCCGCCTTGTTCAGCTTCCTGCAGTCTAACGTCACTGGCCCTCCCCTCGAATACCGCTCAGCCGAAGCTGTGTTGCCTTCTAGCTTGCGAATCGAACCTACAACCCTGAAAGCCGTGCGGGCAAAGATCATCCGTGACCTAACCCTGGACGGAGAATATGCCTACAAGCTCACACCCAACCCTGAATTGTTTGCTGTCGCCAAGGCTTTGTTGGCCGATGCGAGTAGCGAGGGACCGCTTGTGGCAACGACTGCGCGTATGCGTACCAACTTCCTTCACCAAAAGATGCTTTCTGAGGTCACGAGTACTCTCCAGGATGTGATCTACAAGGATGTTGAGATTCTGGACAAGGCTGAGCTGAACCCAGACGAGAGGAGTCGGTTCCTGCTGGAAAGGGCCACTATCCACACTCACCACGGGTTTGATGTCAAGGCACGGGAAGATATTGATCAGGCGGCCAAGGTGCGGAGGTTCGAGTTCGCGCTGACTGGAAAGATGGGCAAGCGCACAAAATTCCAAGACCGTGATATCAGTCAGTTGGTCGTGTTGGCCAAGAGTGCTGATGAGATCCCACAATCTTCGGAGCCTTCTGGACCTAAGAACTTGAATTTGGACGACGACACCCTTCTTGAGGCCATCTCTTTCTCAGACCAAAAGCCCGACGAACAATCCCTGGCAATTCAGGATAAGGTTTCCGCAACTTTGGATGCCATTGATGCCAATAACCAGCCCATTCTTCACCCCGTTGACTCTGCTCTCCTACTCGCACTTGCATCTGCCATTACTAACACCTCACCCGAGAACGGCCTTACCCGAGAGGAGACAAACCCGTACGCCACTCGAGTGCTCGATGGCGGCAGCTCCAACTGGCAGATCTATACCCAAGCACTTCTCGTCCGCAGTCGGGTAGAGGGATACCGTTCCCGTACTGTTGAGAGAGCTGTGCTGCAGATGCAGGCTTTGGTCGACCAGGTCATTGCGGACACCGCAACTAGCGACGACGCAGCTCAGAATGAATCAGGCGACCCTACAACCTTCCTGCCACGCCCTGAGCAATCCGAGTCTGCCCCGGCCGCTGACCGACTCGAGCACATCTGGATCTTGAACTTCTCAACACGCTGGAGCCTCGAGGCCGAGCTTGCCAAGCGCTGGGTTGATCTCGGTGGTCTGCGCACCGCGCTCGAGATCTACGAGAGACTGCACATGTGGGCCGAGGCAGCGCTTTGCTACGCCGCCACCGAGCGCGAAGACAAGGCGAAGAACGTCATCCGCCGCCAGCTTTACCAAGCCACCGGCCCAGATGAAAATGATGAAAATGAGCAATTTAACGGACCAGAGCGGTCACCACTGCCAGTAGATGCCCCACGTCTGCTCTGTATCATGGGAGATATCGACAAAGACGAAAAGATGTACGAGCGCGCCTGGGAGGTCTCCGGCGAGCGATACGCCCGCGCCCAGCGCTCTCTAGCCCGCCACTACCTCACCTCCACACCCCCGCAATTGGAAAAGGCCGAGGAAGCCTATAAGAAGAGTCTGCATATCAACCGTCTCAACCAGGGCGCATGGTTCGCTCTCGGCTGCGTGCAGCTCGAGCTCCAGAAATGGCAAGAAGCAACCGACACCTTCACCCGCACTGTGCAACTCGATGACACCGACGGCCAGGCCTGGAGTAACCTTGCCGCCGCGATGCTACGCATGCCCGACCCCGAGCCCGCCCCAGAGGTGATCGACGATTCCACCGGCGAGGTCTCCGTCGCCGAAGTCGATCCCCACAAGCGCAAGCGCGAGGCCCTATCAGCCCTCCAGCGCGCAGCGCAACTCAAGGGCACTGACGCCCGCATTTGGGATAACGTCCTGACAGTCGCAGCGTCCATCCCACCGCCGGAAACACCATTCCGTGAAGTGATCACCGCGCAGAAGCGCATCATTGAGCTTGCTGGCCCGAAGCAGGGCGAGAAGTGTGTCGATGTGGCGATCTTGGGCATGCTCGTTGATTTCCTGAACGTGGCGTTCGAGTATGAGGACTTACTTATTCGCACTGACGATCCATCTGAAGCCCCGATTGTCCGCACCGGTACTATCCCCGGTCAGATCATCTCGCTGGTTGATCAGAATGTCGTCCCGCTTATCACGCACTCTTCGGTGCTGTGGCAGATTGTTGCTCGCGTTGAAGTCTTCCGTGGTCGGCCTTCCAAGGCGTTCGAGTGTCACGAGAAGGCATGGCGCGCTACTGTTGCTGCTAATGCCCAGGGTGCTTTCCAGATGGGTGATGAGAAGCCCTGGCTCGAGGTTGTGAAGGCCACAGAGAAGCTTGTGAGGGATGGATATGCTAAGTTTGGTCCCATGGACCGTGAAGATCAGAAGGTTGAGGATGGCCAGGAGGCTGAGCTTGTCGCGAAGGACTGGCGGTTCAAGTCTCGAAGTGCCGTGAGAGGAATCATGGGCAAGGGAAAGGACTTCTGGGATGGCACGGAAGGCTGGGACCGCTTGAAGCAATTGCAGTCTGAGGTTACGGGAAATTAGTACATACAACCCCTTGATGCTGTTTATGAATCATAGAGATTAGCTGTGCAAATTTTTACAAAAGTCATATACCAAGTTCAACATTATCTTTCCTGTTGATAACAATAGAGGTTTTCCGAACAGATATATGGAATCATTTTGATTCCAACTTCCTCTTCACCATCCCACAAAAGCTCTCGAACAAGACAGTGTCAGTCCCCTGCGCCCAGCGGACTAAAACCCTCACCTCTCTCTCATCCGGTTTCTGCCCCCGGACCAGCCGTATCTGCACACGTACTCCCAGCGCAACCTGGGCTGGAATCATCTTCAACTTAGCGGCACCCTCCTCACCGGCCAGTTTCATCTTCCGACGGGCGAATCTCGACCACACATTCTCACCAGCGAATCCCATCCCTGCCGAACGGGCCTGATCCCAAGACCAAAACCAAGGCAACGAGCTGAGTTCTGCATTTATTGTAGCAATGGCTGTGTCGATTGATGTATCAGGTGGTAGCGTGAATGTGAAATCTGAAGGGAAAGGCAAATGACTCTTCGGGCAACCGGGGATTCCCCGCGCAATATTCTATATCACTGGTTAGAAATGATACACAAAACACAAGCGTGAATTGAATAATAGATGGAAAAATTTGACTCACCATGGCTGGCCTTCTGTCTCCCCACGACCACGCTATAGCCCAGCGCTTCGTCTTGCTTCCCTGTTCGAACTCGGTGACTGCAAAATTGTGGTTCTCGTGCTTGAGCAGCATCTCAACGAGTACGTTGATGCTACTCAACTTGCCGAGCATGGACGTGTACCACTGGATGCGGTCACGTAGTTGGAGACTCTCTTCGATCATTTTCTTCACGAAAGCTATTTCTCCGCCGCTGGTCACCATTTCGACTTCGACGCCAGTGCAGGCCTTCATAAGTTAGTACGGTACAAGTAAGCATATAATGACACTCACCGAAAAGGGATCTCGTTCTTTCTGCTCAGCAGATTTCTTCAGATCCTCGGCCGAGGTGTAAAAGGGTGGGTTGCACATGGTGAAGTCGAGGCTAGTGAATAATCAGTTCATATTCTGGCAAGCCTTAACTCAGAGGAGAATCACGTTTGGCGGCCTAGCTTCTCTAACGGAAAGAGCGGTCCGTTGGGATCGGAATGTACTATCTGAATCCGTGATTCGAGATTGTTCAGGGCGACATTATGTTGGGAAGTGCGGATATTGTTTGAGTCGATATCTGTTGGGTTGATGAGTAGGTGACGAGAATCTTGAGACTCAAGAACGTACCTGTTGCTACGAAGTTCCACCGTGGTCGCGTCGCGCATCCTAGTAGGGGGTAGATACCGATGCATCCCGTTCCGCTTCACTTCGTCAGACATGATTCTGAACTTGGGATAAGACTTATTACATACATGTCGAGGCCCACGACCTCCCGATCTTGATCGTACCTCTCATACAGCCCTCCAGCGCTGGAGTCAAGGAGGTCTTGCAGCCAGAGGATATAGTTGAGTCTGTACTAGATGTCAGATACCTGCGTATGAGGTCCAAGCCGTCATTCGCGACGACATACCTATTTGGTACCTGGAAATCAAGTCAATACATGCTCATAAGATATGTTCCGTATCTACATACCGGTGGACACAATCGATCCTTGGGGATCTCGACTTTCAGGTGAAAATCTTGTTGTAGGAGGGTGGTGGTGAGTTGTCTGAATGGACGCAAATCAGATCCACTCTCGGGATGTCAGACATTAGAACCCTCTGACTTACCGGATGGCGGCTGGATCAGAAAAGTCCAGCTGGCCATTTGGGTTCAAGCTAGATTCGATTAGTGCTAATATTTCTGCCTGGAGAGAGGCTGTTTCACTTACTGCTTGGCGAAGTCGCGAGATTGCAGCGCCAAGGCTGCAAAATCAATGCCATTTTTGTAGAGACTTCGGGCAGATTCCATGATCAGGACTGGGGTTACTTTGTAGAGGTGATCAGTACTTGAGATGATTAGAATTAGAATATAGTTGGTAAACAAAAGAAAGCAAAGTTGACGGTGCAAGAGGGAAGTTGATGTTGGAAGGGGTTACGGAAGGCAAGAGCGGCCATGCGGAACCTTGCCCCGACGTCACAGAAATGGCCTTACAAAAAAAGTACAGCACAAGAAAGATAAAGTGAAAGATCACAAAAATGTAGCTATCATATTCAATTATCTTTTGTATGTGTAACTGAGTCAAAAATCAAAATAACCAAAAAGTATGAATGAGAAGTGAAATCATATATAAGCACCGCTCTTTACTGAAAATCCAAACTAAAGTCGTCAAGTCGTGATATGCTCATATATCCAAGTATGTACTTTCCCTTGTAATTCTAATTTCATCATTTTTGTATTGTCTTCTTTCAGACCGAGTTTTCCTTTCGAAGGCGCTCTTGACGTTCAAGACGCCATCCATAGCCCCACTTCATCTCAACTATGAGAAGAGGGATCATGGCAATGGTAATGCCAGCAAGCATGACAAATGCAAACTCGGCAGTGAGAGCATCAATGATAGGCTGAACAGCTGCGACACCAGCAGCACCAATCAAACATCTCATCAGGTTGTTGACTGCGGTTGCGCTGGCACTAGCACCGGGGTACAAGTCGATAACGAGGGCGCTATTAATGGTGAAGATAGCGGTAGAGCCATAGGCGATGATAAACTGAAGAATAATTGGGACAGCAAGGTGAGTGCGGAGGGACACTCCGTAGACCGCTACACAGACAATGAAGATAGCAGTGATCCACCAAGTGTTGCGCATGCGGGCGTACTCGATGGGAAAGTCGGGGTGACTCTTTGAGTTGATTCGAGTATCATTTGGAAGATTGTGCTGCTGGCAATATTCGCGCTCTGTTCGCTTGTGGTTGAAGTCCATTAGGTATCCGATTGTGTAGGAGCCGGTCATGCATCCGAAACCATTGCCGAGGAAGGTTAGGCCGACTTCTAGTGAGTTCAGGCCGTATGTTTTTTCAAATAGAGCGGATGTGGAGGAGGTTACCATCGACCAGACTGTGTAAACCATGCTGCCAAATAACAGGGTGATGAAGACATCCTTCTCGGCTAGGAAGGTAAGGGGTGATAGCACAGTCTTGAAGGTGACGTTGACTTTCTTTCCAGATGGGGTTGCGTCTTCCTGTGCATCCTTCTGTCCACAAATGGCGTAGATGATGGGCTTGTGGATGCCTTTGAGAGGAACGGTGCCGTTTCCAGCGATAGAACGGAGTGTTTCTGGGAGGAAGAACATGATAGAGAAAAGACTGATTCCGGATGCAATAGCCAAGAACCAAAAGATAGATCGGAACCCAAGGTACTGAGAGAGGATCCCACCGAATACTGGTCCAACTCCCTGGCCCAACATGCGGACTGGATAATGTCAGCTTAGAACATGGTAGTATACCTTTATAGCGGGTTACTTACCACCACCAAAGATACCAATCAAACTACCTCGCTCTGCTGAAGTGGTAATATCACCAATGACACCAGCACCTAGGCAAGTTAGTCAATGTACAAAATAGGAAGGATGAATATACCATACCAATTGAGATGGTAGCTGCACTTCCGGCTGCCTGTAACCCTCGGAAAACCATAAGTTCAGCATAGTTGGTAGAGACGGCTAAAGCGATGTTCGAAATAATGTAGACAGCAAATGTGCAGATGAAAATCACACGGCGGCCCACCACGTCTGAGAAAGAACCCCAAAAGCTCGGAGCAAGGCCTTGAACAATCATGTATATCGTGATTGTCAAGGTAGCTAGAGACATGGAGACATTGAGTTCCTGTATTGGATTTAGCAGACAGTAGTTAAATGTTTTATTCCAATTGACTAACCTCTGCAACATCCGAAAGCGCAGGGAAGTAGATATTTGAAGATAGTGGTGAGAAGATGGCAGCCAGGGAGACGATAATGACCATCAACAACTTGCGAGACCGAGGGAAGACATGATATGGTGGTGACGACAGGATATGGTTTTCAATGTTACTTGTCTCTGCTGGTGTTGATGGCACCGATAAGACTTTCTCATCTTGGGGCGGGAGGTTAGGGCTTGAGTTGACCGACTTGTCAGTGACTTCAGGGCCCTTGAGAGTTTCCGTTGAACTGAATTGGGACAAAGTCATGATGAAGAGTAATTATAGAATATAAAGGCAACTGGATATATCAACAGACACAAGCTATTGACAAGAGAAGAATATCTATGGCTTCATTCGGGCCAGACAGCTTTAGATATCTGGAAGATCAACATTGGAATGGAGGCACCCTTTTATATTTCAATTCTATCAATATCCCCCTATAGTACCTATTCAAAATTACAAACAAAATATTAGACCCATGCATCTGAGAGTCAACTAAACGTGCTCCACAGTGGGTTCGACCAAGGGGATCATTATACCATCCCCTTGGAGGTAGAGAGCGGCACGGATAGACAGATATGGTAAACCGGACGTCGCTCAATTTGACATGTATGGGTCATGATCCGCACTTGAAATACTCAAGGTTCTATTCCAGGATTCCCAAAAGCTTAGAGAATGAATTATGTCTCTCAGGCGGACGGCTGTGTGTCTATTGCGATATATCTTGATCTTGAAGGCTGACGTCTGCCCAGGGAAGGCGCATTCCTGAAGTCCCCCACGAGTGCCTGCTTGACTATGGGTAAATAGTGCTGATGCCTAAACTCATAGGGCAGATGCCAATACCAACTAGAATTTCTTCCGGACTCCATAAACGCATGTACCATGGAATTGATCTGCACAGCATGTGTAGCACACAGGCCCGGTTTTACCCTCAGGATTCGCAATCGGAGAAAAGATAGCGGGAAAGATCTGTTCGACATCTGCATACGCTCTCGGGGTTCAGCCCCGAGCATGTTTCGTATCCTAAAGTCCCCGAAAGTCTGCAGGATCAGAGATGCATGATTATCTGTTTAACATCTCCACTAATAGTTTCCAATTTAGGCCTTTCCAAAGTGGGTACATATCTCAATTGGGGGAAAAGAGAAGCTGAAACCCGATTTCTGACCTAGGGCCTCATTTTCTCCACGTGTGAATATCAGCCATTGCGATTAATATCAAGCAACTGCCAAGCTTCATCATTGTCCTAGTCAATATTGATCCAGAGGTGATTATTGGACAGAAAATGTCATTGACTTACGTGTACGTTTCCCCCTTGGTAATTGGTATAGGGGATGTTGGCCCTTGCTGCTCACAAGTCACCAATCGGGACCCGCAAAGGGGGGACTGCGTACCCCATACAGGGTTGAGCATCACACCCAATGAGTCTGCATTGTAATTTTAGATAAGTAATGTCATGCTAAATTACCACACTCTGTATATGGATAGGAGAAAGAATGCGTCGAGGACTTTCAGGACAAGGTTTACGCTAGAAAGGAGATGATCGACAGATTGAACGTCTTCTAAAAGTACGGAGTACTACATACATACGTAGGTACTATATACTATGCATAAATGGTCTTAATCTTTGTGTCGATCAGACCCACAAGATGCCCCCCCTATGCAAGCTTTTCTGAATACTATTCTTTCATGCCTTAGCAGGACGGACATCTAATCTTTCCATCTGACTCCACTGATGCGCCACGCGCAACACCCCTAGCAATCTTAGCGGAGCTGCCAAGAACTCATCGTCATCTACAATTGATCAGTAACTTGCACATCTCTTCGCAATCGAGAGTTATCTACACTTTCGGAGTGTTTATCCATCTCGGACCCAATCTTCAGCTCGGTTAAGGCTGGACAGGGCTGTCTACCCTATAAGGCTGATGCAACTTCCTGCCTTAGCAAACTGATACAATATCTTTGATGCCCAATGCCAAGCTTCTAGTTTCACCGCGAAAAAGGTCTCATATCGCCCTATCCGCCACACCCAAATGATGTCGATCATCTAAAACCCGATACCATCTCCGTTACGGAGTAGTACATGTTGGATGGTTTCATTTGTAAATTGACATATCAGCCCGAAGATGCCATAACCCCACTTCAAAACGATACAAGGGTCTGGACCCCTTGGCTGGAGTAGGGTTACAGCTTGATATCCAAGCCTTCCGTATCATAAATGGTATTTGTTGAACAAGGTTTTGGGAGAACTTCGGTCAGACTTGCTGGATGATGAAGTATCTGAGTGTATCCGGATCTGACAAGGTACCCGTGTACGTTATAGTGAGGACCTTCCTGAAGAATATGCAAATCTGTCACATAGATATCGGCCCCACAGTCGCAACGGAGCAGCAACGGAGCAGCAACGGAGCAGAAATATGTCTTTGAGGAGGAAATAATTAATCTATACAATGAATACGCTAAGAACTATTTCATGTGATTGGACTAGGCGTGATCCAGTCTTTGGATGTCATCAATTGCGAATCACATTTGTTGACGCTATCTCTAGCACCATATCTCCCTCGATATACATTATTTTTTTTTTTGCTTTTTTTCTTCTAGAATTCTTGTACTCCGTACGGAGTACACAATTAGATTTTATTCATTAAAACACTAGTGTCTATCCACTTTGGAGTTCGGATCTGGTAGATCAAGTAGATCCCCCTGACAGAAGTGGTAAATCGCAATTCGAAACACAGTCTACGGAGTACGGACCATATGGATCTACTCCATAGCTATAGTAGCGATAGTAGCAAAGTAAACTGAGATGATCATTTCAAATCTATTGGTGTTACAAGCATATGAGGCTGTGCCCGATCTATTTGGCCTGGTGCTTCAATAAACAAGCGCATTGACCAATGGATTTGCAGATCCGATGTAGCCCCTGGCTTTTCCTCCAAAAAAAACTTGACAAAAACATAATGTTGAAGGAAAATTCCACAATATCCTGTGAAGAATGTAGGGCTAGTTTACAACAAGACACCCAGCATGCCGTCATCGCACAAAACGACGTCCTCAATACTCAGTATCCTTTGCCAAAACGCCAAAACGCCGATTATTCCATCATACTCCGCTTGAGTCTCGTTAATAGAAACGTTAAAAGTGCCCCCAAATCGTTAAAGGTCCGTCTCGTTTTTGTGCTGCCTAAAATCATAGGCCGTCTTGGCATGTCGTCGGGTCTAGAACAAAAGTTTACACGGGATGTTGTGGACCGACACGGTTTCCCGACTGTACAACATATAACCCACGGGCCGACCCTATAGCGCCGCTCGGAACGTCCCTGATAGTCGACAAATGGTGTTGACTATCCGGTGATTCCGTGAGCTTAGAAATCTTAATTTGTGTAGCGCTGTGGTGTGTGTGGAGATGAATTTCTCACGATAACGACTGGGCTAGGTTGTTTTGAGGTGAAGCATATCATATTACACTACTCCGTACGGAGTATATTGAGTGAATTAGGTTCTTGGCTGCATTATCTTCTTCACGGGTGCGATTGACTCGCTGATATCAATTGATCAAGACGTTGAGAGCTTGGCGTCGGGAAGTGAGTAAGAGCTTGGCGTCAGCGAGGTGAGTACTTGGCGCTGCACCTCTCGGAGTATCTTCAAACTTAGCGGTGAATCTAGAGGCTTACACAGGTGAAACAGGTTATTCTCAATTTTTTTTTTACACTGTCTATCTCCGTTGAGAGTTGACCTGATTCGAGTATTTGCAAACTCAATATATAACAAGTATAGATCAACCTTGGAAGTCTTTGTTTCGATCACAGAGACCACATGTAGCATAGGTAGAGAAGTATAAGAACTGTTTATATTGTAATGAGTTACTGCAATATGCTTTCATGTTGCGAAATACTGAGTCCTAGCAATGGCTGGCCATATATCCTGGCCTTATATGGATTGAGCAGCCTAGGTACATCTGCCGTTATGAAACCGACAAAAAAAGACTGACCCATGAGCTTTTCGTCTCTAATATCAGGTTCTAGTATATTTGTTGGATAGAGCAGTGTTCGTTCCTCTCCTTTTATATAAAATGTATGACGTATGCTATCCGGCGGAATGTATATTCCGCATAGTAGCTCTAGGAAGATTTAGTGTAGAAATCAAAACGTCTGTACTGTTGTACATGTGCAAGTTCTTGTCGTGAGAGTTCATTTATTACCTCAGTTGAGCGTTACAAAAATTTGTCCAAGAATACACATTCCCAAAGATCTATAAATCGTCACGGGTTCATTATCTCTGTCGATTAAATATGTCGCACCTCCAATACTTCAATTACGGCGGCTGGGGCCAGAAAGCAAACCGAGATTTCTATTACAGCCAAGCCGTCCGCATTGGTGATCGCATTGAATGCGCTGGCCAAGGTATGTGACAAGTCACGAGGCCTCGCTTTCCAAATGAATAGATCGTGCTGATAACATCATGGACAGGCGGTTGGGATCCGCAAACCTTTGTGATCAATCGAGAAATCAATGCCCAGATCGACCAAGCTTTCGACAACGTGGACCTGAACCTGAAGCACGCCGGGGGAAAAGGCTGGGAGCAGGTATTTCGGGTGAACTCGTACCACGTCCCGATCAATGACGAGGCCATGGAGGCGATGGTGCGGAATTTCAAGAAATGGATGCCAAATCATCAGCCTCTTTGGACATGTGTTGGAGTGACGAGGCTCGGCGCGGATGATATGCGGGTTGAGATTGAAGTTGTAGCCCATGACCCATGAGAGATTGAGTTCGGAGTGGACATGGCGTGATGCATTTATGGGGGAACACATCTGGCTCTTATGTTGAAGTAGCGTGGGTAGGCAGTGCCGCAAGAAAAAGCATAATTAGCCTAAGAATGGGAGAAGACCCTTTCTTAAATATCGTGATCTTAGCGTTTGTCGCCTCTGCCACCACCTCTACCACCTCTGCCACCCCTGCCCCCTCTTGTTTTGCCCTTTCCTCTACCACCCATCATGCGGCGGCCTGACGCCTGGACACGAGCGATATCGTCTTTGTTCAGGTTCAATGTGCCTCCTGAGAACTTGCCCACGGATACCCCGGAAACACCGCGCTCTCTTCGCCCATTGTTGCTCGATTTGTTTACCTTGCTAGGCCGTTCGAGGATAATACCGTTTTCCTTGGCCTCTAGGCGGCGTCTCTCTTCCTTTGACTCAGCCTTAGCTTTAATGCCTCGTCGATGCGCAGTAGGCATTTTATTTTGCGCATAGAGCGAAGTTTTGGCTCCCAGAGACTGCATGCGTAGATCCAAAGCCTTCAAACGGTTCTTTCCAGTGGGGGCAAGGTCATCGGCGGAGTCGAGAAGGTGTGACTCCTTGAGTAGTCTTTGTAGTGCAAGATCGTGCTTGAGGTTCGCAGAGTCGTGGGCGTCTTCCTCCTCTTCTTTTTTGGAGGTAGGCTCTGGTTCGGTGCTCGGCTTATCCAGGTTGGACAACAGTTTTCCGCTCTATTGACCTCAGTGTTAGCATGGACTTTCAATGCATTGAGTTCCAGCACATACCATGAACGCCTTCCAAGTCTTCTTGTCCATTCGGTCTTCTGGTGCTGCATAGGAACCCGTGTGTTCGACCACCTCGACGTGGTTGCTTTCATCGCTGACATCGGACATCCCATCCCAGTCACCTTCTGACCCAGACAGATCAGAGTCGTCGCCGATCTCGCTTTCTTCTTCCTCGGAATTTGTAGATTTGGCGGTAGGACCTGGCAAATCGAGTGGCTCGAATTGTGCTTCGAATAATCTGCGGAATACGTCCTGCGCATTGTCCACTGGGGGAGGGCTGTCTTCCTTAGCCTTTGGCTTGGAAACCACAGTGGTTTCTCTCTTTCGTTTTACAACCATGGTGAATGTGCTGTCGACCAAATTGTAAAATCAAACAGTCGCATCTCGGCCCAAAAGTTTTTTGGACTTAGCTCGAGATCACGTGCGATAACATAGATAAGCCCCTCGACTCACAGCTTCACTGAATCAACTTGTTCCCCAATTCGCCAGAGAAAATGACCAAGTTCAGGCCGTGCATTGACCTGCATTCAGGGCAGGTCAAGCAAATTGTGGGTGGTACGCTCAGCCAGGTAGCCGCAGACCTGAAGACCAACTACGTTTCCAAGTTGCCGGCCAGCCACTATGCGGGATTATATCAGAAGCATGATTTGCGCGGCGGGCACGTCGTGAAGCTTGGACCAGGCAATGAAGAGGCAGCCCAGGAGGCACTGAAGACATGGCCGGGTGGGCTGCAAGTGGCCGGAGGTATCACGGATAAGAATGCGCAATATTGGATCGACCAGGGTGCAGACAAGGTAAGCACCTGGCCTCCAGATGAATTATTTCTTCGTCTAGCATTTTTTTGATCGAGAACCCAATGATATCGATCCATTTACTTTAAGTTCTTGTTTTCTTGCGCTCCCTCATAGTAATAGTCCGATGACGCTAATCATATGGAATGCGGGCAATAGGTGATTATCACTTCATTCCTCTTCCCTGGAGGCAAGTTCTCGCTCGAGCGACTTGAGTCCGTTCTTTCTGCCCTGGGTGGCGACAAGTCAAAGCTGGTCTTGGATCTGAGCTGCCGCAGAAAAGACGATACTTGGTTCGTTGCGATGGACCGCTGGCAAACCATCACAGAGATGGAGATCAACCAGGGTATGTCCTGCTTGTGCCCAACCCGGGTTGGTGGCTGGATAACTGACACTGTGTAGAATCGATCTCAATGCTGGAACCATATTGCGCCGAGTTCCTAATCCACGCTGCAGACGTAGAGGGCCTGCAACAAGGCGTCGATGAGGAACTTGTGTCGAGACTGGCTGAATGGTGTACTATTCCCGTGACCTATGCAGGAGGTGCGCGCCATTTACAGGATCTAGAAAAGGTCCACACGAGTAGCAAGGGAAGAGTGGATTTGACGATTGGCAGCGCGCTAGATATCTTTGGCGGCTCTGGAGTGACCTTCGATGAGTGTATTGAATGGAACAAAACACATTAGAATTAGAATATAAATCAAAATGAATAGATCAAAGAAAATTATTAGAATACATATATTTTCATTTTCATACTTCAAACAAACATCAAGGAGAACGAGTCACAGATGTGTCTGAACTTTCCTAAAGCGGCTTAGGGGCTTTTGCATCAACTGGAGGTCCGCCCGCCTCCGTATGTCAACCTTGGAAGTCTTCAACCTCAACTATCTGTATTAGCCGCTTTGCAACTACTTCTTTCTACAACATATTCAGTGATTTTTCAACACTCCTTACCTACCATCAAACCGCCAACATGAAGCCCGTCGTCTCTGCCTTGAACGCCTGGTCTTGGTACGCTCCCCATCCCAGCATCCATCAGGAAGTCCTATTGCTCTAACACCTCATGTCCCAAATAGTGTCGTCATTTCTGTTTTCGCAATCGTTATCCTCTCAGTCCTCGGATCGCTATACAGCGTACGTCTCCCCGACTTCGAACCACCCATCAAACCCCCCAAACACCTATTGTCACAGACCTACGTAATATGAGGTTCAGCCGCTAATACGAAGTTCCCCAATATAGAGCAACAACCACGCATACACCGGATCAGAAGACGGACCTGAAAATGGCCCTGCGATCGCCGCCTCCATTTACACCGCTGTGATCGTCTACGCTGTACGTCACTCCCCCCTCTCTGAGCCGCGACGGGTTCGTCACATGAGAATGGAATCAGTTACTGACAATGCGCTTTTCTGGCTTACAGGGCTTCTTCGTTTTCTGCGGTTTCCAGGCTTATCTTCACATGCGAGACAGCAGGGGAGGTGCTATATCACTCCATTGAAATTACCTTGGTTCCTTTTCCTTCGATGTTTTAACGACACCTTTATCTGTCGATTTTCGATCTTTGAGCTTATATCGCGGGGTTTCTTGAGTGATACAGTGGTTTAGATCTGATGCGTCGGGAGTGATTCGAGGCCGAGAGTATGTTCCAATTCTCTCGAGTATGAATCACCCATGTCTACTTTGTGCAACCCGGATCCATCTATGTTACGGACGAACAGGTTCGGACTGAACTTGAAAGGCGTGAAAGGCGTTAATGGGCAGGTTTCCCGGTCTCCTTTGCTAGAAAACACAGATGGCCGACCTGCTACTTGTACATAGAGCGCTCATAATTACCAGCTCTTTCATTTTTCGGTCCATTGGACGCATCTAAAGATAAATTTTGGTATAGACATTCAATCATTTGTCCTTCGTTGATAAGAAAATCAAGTTTTGATGAGACCGCCAACGCCGTGGATGCAGAATCAGATACCAAGCATCATTTGGATACTCGGATTCCTTTTTTTTTGCGTTTTTTGCTTTTTTCTTTGTTTTCCAGGTTGTTACTCCTCGTCCTCCCATGGATCCAACATCTTGGACATGTAAGGGCCATCAAGGAAGTATCCGAGACGAGCATAGTAGCTACGCACACCCACACCTGAGATAACACTGATCTTGCGACTACCGTGCTCCTCACGGGCAATACGCTCTGCCTCCTCCATCAACAAAGTTCCGAAGCCACGGTGTTGGAACTTGCGGGCATCACGTCCGTGGAGTGGCACGGCCGAACCGTAAACGTGAAGCTCGCGGACAATACTTGTCTGCTGGCCGGTGAACTCAGGACGGAAGGTGTGAGTCTCACTACACTTGCGCAAACGAAGCAATCCAATGAGGATATCCTGCTTCGGGTCTTCGTATGCCAAGAAAGTCTCCCAGCCGCCATTGGCAGCGTAATCACGACGGATCAACTCAATCTGCGAAGGACGGATCTTGTTCTTGACTTCATTGATACCGACTTCTCGCGTGCGGACATCACGGCAGGTTGTGCCGAAGTCCTTCATACGCGCCAACGCTAGTTCGCGCAGGTTTCCGTTCTCCACACCGGAGGTAACAAGTGGCATGGGGATATCGCGCTGGACTCGGTAGATACGGGTCCAGGGGGGAACCAGGGCGAGAATTCGTGCGACAAGGTCGATAAGTGCGTTGGGGGTGTAGTTCTTGTAACGGCCAGTGCGCCACAGTTCGTAGAGACCGGTGCCTCGGATGACAAGTGTGGGGTAGAGTTTGAGACCGTCGGTACGGAAGTTGGGGTTCTCGAAGTACTCCTGGAACTGGAAGAGATCGCGCTCCATTCCAACGTTTGGCAGATCAGGCATCATGTGGCTGACGACCTTGAAACCGGCATCCTTTGCAAGTTTGAACGTCTCAGCTACTGCTGCTACGGTGTGGCCGCGATTGGTGTCTCGCGCAACGTCCTCGTACAGACTCTGCACACCGATTTCCAACCGTGTGCAACCGTAGCGGAGCATGCTGCTCAGATGTGTATCTAGACAGTAATCTGGCCGGGTTTCGATTGTGATACCCACACACTTGACGTTGCTCATTTCGCCAGCCAGCACCGCCTCGTCAACATTGTCCGTTTGGTATCCGCTCAGCGCGTTGTGAAGCTGGGAGATAAAGCTGTCCCGGTAATCTTCTGGTAGCGACATGAAAGTTCCGCCCATGATAATATATTCCACCTTGTCCACACTATGGCCAAGAGCTTTGATTTGATCCACACGTCCTCGCGCCTGCTCAAACGGATCGTAACGAGCGCGGATCGCTCGCATCGAAGTCGGTTCATATCCAGTATATGATTGAGTCGAGTATTCGAAGTCGGAATCGGGGCCACCAGGGCAATAGACACAGATGTTACCGGTATAGGCGATGTGGGGGCATCGATGGGGTTTGCACATAACCGCCACCACGGCGATACCAGAGGAGGTTCCTATGAACGAGGTTAGCGATAGTCCATTACTCCCCACTTATAATATATAAACGTACGGATCGGCTTCGCAATAAGTTTCGGCAGGATATATTTCTTGTAGTGCTCAGGTACTGCCGCGATAATGGCAGTCAGTGGTGGCGAACTGGACAAGCTGTGCTTCTTTGAAAAGGTCGCCCGCAACTTGTTAAGATTAAGATCCTTCTTGGGCTTGGTAGAGTCCCTGTGCGACTCGTAATCTTGAATGAGGGCATTTGCGATATCAGAGCATGCTCGCATGAATCGCTCGTTCTCCGGGACGTTCTTTGCATTCTTCTTGGCGGCCCTTTTAATTTCTTGCGAGGTCATAGTCATGGTAGCCATGATGAAGAGATTAACACCCTTAAGCGGGTCAGTTAACCAAAAAAATGAGAAGTTGCTTGTTTAGTGGGGGTGGAGGTTGATATCAAAAAAATGTGGTCACTGAGGCTTGCGCCCGATTTGAGTTTCTGCTTAAGTAAAATAATTATCCCGAGCGAAAACTCCCGGGTACGTATCCCGAACACCTTGCCCTTTATCCCGTCCTTTTCTTCCCTCAACTTCACCTCTCCCCTCAAAACATACATATCTTGCAGCAATGCAGGCCTTCCGCCGTAACACCCTCTCGGCCCTTCGCAATGTCGGTGCCACCCAGCGTCGGACTCAGGCCACCTCTGCCTACAACGAGACCTTGAACAACCTCAAGATCAACAAGGACACCCGCGTCCTCTTCCAGGGTTTCACTGGAAAGCAGGGAACGTAAGTGCAATCATTGCGCTCTTATTATTATACGCGCAGGATGCTGACAATTGACCTTGATATAGCTTCCACGCTGAGCAGGCCATCGCCTACGGTAAATATTTATTTTGTGATCGCATCTAAACAATAGCTTACACAGGACAGGCACAAATGTCGTCGGTGGTACCAACCCCAAGAAGGCCGGCTCCATGCACCTTGACCGTCCCGTTTTCGGCAGCGTTCGCGATGCCGTGAAGGAGACCGGTGCTACAGCTTCCGCTATCTTCGTTCCGTATGATTATCACTATTTTCTCGAATCCGCAAAACAATGCTAATTGCAATTCAGTCCTCCCCTTGCCGCTGCCGGTATCGAGGAGGCCATCGCTGCTGAGATGGGCCTGGTTGTCTGGTACGTGTCAAATGGAGCTCCCCCCTGCAAAGAACTTTGTCTGACAGCTTCTCGTTCAACAGCATTACCGAGGGTATCCCTCAGCACGGTACATATCGATCGACCACCAATTGAAGCGCGCGAACTAATTGATTCTATGTAGACATGGTCCGCATCACCGACATTCTCAAGACCCAGAACAAGACCCGCCTGATCGGTCCTAACTGCCCCGGTATCATCGCTCCCGTAAGCTACCACTCCGACTTCCTGCAATTCTTACGCGTCAAATACTCACACATCACGTTTACAGGGTCAATGCAAGATCGGTATCATGCCCGGCTTCATCCACAAGCGCGGTCGTGTCGGTATTGTCTCCCGTTCCGGTACTCTCACCTACGAGGCCGTCAACCAGACCACCCTCGCTGGACTTGGTCAGTCTCTCGTCGTCGGTATCGGTGGTGATCCCTTCTCCGGCACCAACTTCATCGACTGCCTTAAGGTCTTCCTCGAGGACCCCGAGACCGACGGTATCATCATGATCGGTGAGATTGGTGGTTCCGCCGAGGAGGATGCCGCCGAGTTCTTCAAGGCCAACAACATCCACAACAAGCCCGCCGTCTCTTTCATTGCCGGTATCTCCGCTCCCCCCGGCCGCCGCATGGGTCACGCCGGTGCCATCGTCAGCGGTGGTAAGGGTGGTGCTGACTCCAAGATCGCCGCTCTTACCGATGCTGGTGTCATTGTTGAGCGCAGCCCTGCTTCCCTCGGCAAGACCCTTCTTGCTGAGTTCGTTAAGCGCGACCTTGTTTAAATTTGTCGCTCCATCTGATGCATCGCGTGTCTTGTCCTGGTTTTGAAGCTAGGGATCTGAGGTATATGTGCCATTTCATACTATGGGGGTTCTATGGGCTGTTCCTTTCCAACTGCTCCTGTATTCTTTTTCTCCTTTGTGTTAGAGATCCTTGAAGTAATCATGCTCGTGTAATTATTACTGTGTGCTGCTTGTGCGGAGTAGATGGTAGAAATATGGAAATATATGGAAACCATTTTCAAGTCCACGAAGTAGGCTCTTGAGCGGTCCCTCCTTATCCATATCAACTAGTATGCATTCTAATCCTCATAATGTACGTTCATAGCAGAACATATCGGTCTAGAAACCAGCATGAATCGCACAGAGGAGCAGAAGCTCCTATTCTTTAAGCGGGGAAATGAGAAGTATTGATTGAACAGTCACATAACAAGAATCGGTATGTCGTTTGCATCTGAATTAGATATTGGCTTATTTAGGCACAAGGCTTGCCTATTCGTGAATTCATTCCTAAACATACGGTCATATTTTTGCCAAATTTGAACAACGGCCAAAGTGCCTGAGAACTGACTACATCTCCGAGCAAACATCACAAGTGGACCATTCGTGCTGAACGAAGGGGTGAAAGAGAAGGATCTCTAAGATTTGATCAAACAACGATGACAAGTGGATAGGCAGGACACTGAATGCTTGTCCTTCTCAGGTATTAGCGAGAGGTAGAATGATGGTGTTTCGTGAAACAGAACTGAAAATCTTTAGTTTCATTAGAATGGGATATCCTGGTCTGTGAAGATGGAATATGGGTCTTTAGTTCCCTTCCTTGAATATTAGTTCGATGTGTCAATGGTTTTTCGGACATTTCAACTTCCATCTGTGAAGGAAAGGTTACCAGGTACACTTAGGCCTCGAGAAACACGCCTCAGATCACATTTCTCTAACGCGGTTAACGTGATCTTTCCATGACTACGCACTGTGATTGTGATCGCAACTTTTACCTGCTCATTGGACTAGCATAATCAGAAGGCTCATAAAAGATAAGGATGATTTCCAAGGCCATGTGTTGAAGGATCTGAGTTGATAGCTCTAAGGATTCAAGTAATACAAGCTGTAAACGTCAAACAGAGCATCACTTCTCTACATATAATAAAAGAAGCTATGGTACCTACACTTGGGGCCTTGTTCCATCAATGAACTACCAGGATACCTTTTACCTCAACCTCATTTGCTTCTTACTATATAGTCAATCTTTCTCCACTAAAGCCTTATCTTCTTCTCATAGTCTCTTCCTATCATTCCATATACCAGCTATCTAAAAATGATGCAATATAGCAGAGTTTATCTACTATTCCTGTTTAGGTATATATCATGCCTTTAAAGAATGCAAAGAGTACCTCCTACTCCTCTGGCTTTGACTATGGATGAAAGCCGGACTACAAACTCTATGTAGTCTACCGTGGTTCTATATTCCGATTTACAAACTATATATTTTGTTGAATATATGAATACACTCAGCAGAAGGCAACCCGCTACCCTATATGGCATCGGAAGCACTTTGACCATGAAAAATAAGCTTTATTCACTAGAATCAGTCCGATTCAGGCATAGTTGATATAGTCTTGGGCATCGGAGCTGAACCAGAATTTGATCAAAAGGAAACATAAAAGAGCCCCCAAGTCGTCCGCACCTTCTGATTCCTTTTTCTCCTACATACTTCTTCCCCAGGTGGTTTCACAATGTGCCGTATGCCACTCTGGCTTTGGCTCTTCCAACAGAAGAAGAGCAGCCTCTGGGAGCTCTACGATGAGCTCCGCCATATGGAACCTGGTCATCTATCAAACCAGGTTACCAATATTGATATCCACTCGATGGATTTCTGGACTGGGGACACCTCCCTCATCGAATTCTTCATACCCGACACCGAAACCACCCTCAAAATCGCCAACACTGCACTCGACCCCGAGGACCCCCTGGACGACCAGTTCACGTGGGCTCGGCAGATGAAGGACGATGAAGACATCATTCATCGAGAGTTGCACTATGAACTCTACCGGTCGTTTGTAAACTACATGCGCCACTCCCCAGGGGGAAACAAAGTGCCCTGCTTCTGGAAGCTAGTTTCGTGAGTCTGAAGCTCTTATTAGTAAAAAGCAAAATAAGACTAATCGTTAATAAATATAGCATGCGTGAAGATGAAGATCTCTTCAACAGCAACGATCAGCACGGCTTCATCGTTGAAAAGGGAGCCAGAAGTGTTGACGGAACCTCCCATCAACTTGTCGTCATGAAAAGCGAAAAATGCTATTATGACACACTCCCATCAACTGGAGAACTCATCGTGCTTGTCCGGTGGATGCTTGGTGGGATCAAACACCGCAGGCACCAATTCGGCAGGTACCACCGACATATGCCTAAGCATCTTGAGTTCCCGGTAAGTTTAAACACTCTTCCAAGCCTAATTACCCCTATAGATAGAATATGATTGACTGACTTCTATTTAGACAATGGTCATCTCCTTCCTCCCCGATGCTCGAGTTCGAATTTTGCATGGGTACTTCGACGGCGGCCGACTCAATGTGGCCTGTACCCCAGCAATCAACTTCGATGCGGAGGACTATGCCGACAAAATGGATGCTTTGCTCCAGTGGGCATGGCCGATTAGTGATGGAGATACCACCAAGCCCATTCCTCTTCCAACCATCGAGGACGATGAAGAGGACGAGTGGGACGAGTGGGAGAAGTGGGAGCTACGATACAGGGAGGACAGCGACGGGGAGAGCGAATCAGAAGAGGAGGGTAACAGCACTGAGGTACAAGAAGACCTCGGTGACTGTGAGTCGGAATTCAGTGAGGATGATGAGAGCGATGGGTTAACCCAGGGCCCCATCGAAGAGTGGAGTGACGAGTTTGTGATGTCTGCGGACATCAAAAGAAAGATCATGGAGAGGTTGGATGAGAAGATGAGGAGTTTGGGGGAGTGAATTGAGAGGAGAGGGTGACAGCACTGAGGTACAACAAAACCTCAGTGCTGTGAGTCGGAATTCTAATGATGATGATGAGTGCGATGGGTTAACCTTGGGCCCCATCGATGTTTGGAGTGACTAGTTCGTGGTGTCTGCGGAGGAGGGTAGCAGCACTGAGGTACAATAAAGCCTCAGTGACTGTGAGTTGGACTTCGAGGAGGAGTGCGATGGGTTAACCTTGGGCCCCGTCGATGACTGGAGCGATGAGTTTGTGATGTCTGCGGTGGATGGTAACAGCACTGAGGTATAAGAAAACCTCAGTGACTGTGTCGGAAATTGAGGTGGAGGATGAGTGCGATGGGTTAACCTTGGGCCCCATCGATGAGTGGAAAGAAGAGTCCGCAGTGTTTGCGGCCATAAAAACAAACAATCATCCAAAAAAATTTATCGGAGTTTAGGAATTTGCGAGAGTTGACCTTAGCCTGAAGGCGAGGAGGCTGGGACCCAGAGGCGCCCTGGGACCTGGTCTATCTTCGTCCACGGCAACGGCAACTATGTTTTACTATGTTTGCATGTAGTGGCAACCCGCCACATAGTTCTGTATTTTTTATATATGCATGTACCATACACAAATGCATTGGATGAGAGAGACAATATTTTATAAATATAGAGTCGTAGAGTAAGTGCTAGTACGCTTTAGAGTTCCCTGAAGTAGTGGTAGTATATAGAATGTAGCGAGTGCAAGTACTTTGTCACTCGGCCCCCGGGGCCGTGAGACAACCCTAGGCCGGATACGGTTAGCCCATATATTAACCCTATATCTTACCATTTATCCTATGTGTTCAGGATATTTCGGGTACGGGCAAACAAACAGTGTCTAGTAAACAGCTTTTGAAATATGTATCACATAGTCTTGGTAAGATATTGTGGATGAAGGCATAGGGGGAAGGATAGGGATGATCAAGACAGATCACCAGATCTGTCCCAGTCAGCCGGATTAGCGCAGTTGGGGTACGGTGCCGGGGGCCGAGAAACAAAGTGCGAGTGTTCTAAGCGGCTGTTTACGAAAATCGCTGTAAGGCAAGGGTGGGACTTTTGGAGTACGTCTTGAAACGGTGCGGAGGACAGCAGAGGTGAGCCTACCATGTGTTTCCATGGCATTCTTCTTCTTTTGGGTAGCCTATGTAGTCTGATCTATGTGCGGAAGGAATACAGTTTCCAGTTTGAGTGAAAATCACTTATCGAGCTCAAGAAAAAAAGTAAGAAAGGAAGAGAAGAGTAAGACACACTTCTGTTATCAATCTGCTACAATAGGCGTGGAACGACCTCATTTTATATACAGTTCAAAGAAAAGCAGGTCACCCATGTACCATTCCATTGTCACTGTAAGGAATATTTCCACTTTCCTCGACATTTGTAAAATGATACAACAATGTTTCTCTTGGTCTCTTCCATAGGGGGCCGGCGAGCACAAAAGGTTATTCAAATCTGACAACAGAATAAGTTAACGTATTTCACAAGCGAGTGGCCACCACAAGCGAGTGGCCACCCCAACACTATATGCTAAATTCAAATCCATTTATCTCAACCATAACGCCATTAAATAATTTAACTAAACTATTCATCTATCTGGACATACGTCTCTTCTATGACCCTGATTTTTACATAGCCTGCACGTTAGTAATGCCCTAGTTCTTAGCTGTAAAGGTGGCGAAGGCCTTCTGCGTCGCGGGGGTATAGGTGCTACAATTGCTTCCACCGGCTTAGGTATTAATTAAGAAGCTTCTTAAACTAAGAGACCTTCTTCGGCGGGTATTTGCCTTTGGGATCGAGCACATTTTTACTTCTACTTCTTATTAGTAGCGCGTAAATCCTTATTTTCTTTGGCGAGTAAAATAGTACCTTATATTGTGAGGCGGAAGCCTTTTATAAGTTAATTTAATATACAATCGGAAGGACTTAGTAGGCTTCGAGATCTTATACAAAGTAGAGCTTTGATTAACGAAGCCTGCTAACGTAGGTCTTTCTTAGTAGCTAGTATTTTTAGTATAAAATTCCGGTTGGAATCACTACCCTAGTTAGGGGGGGGTATTAGGGTTCGAAGCCGAATATTAAGCTTTAAAATAACTCTCTCTGGCTTAAAGGGGACTAAACTAGCTACCTTAAAGCTATTTTTAATAGTCTCTATTTTAAAAGCTTTAATTCATATAAGGGGGAACGCTTCGAGGAAGTTAAGTTTATTAATATAATTTATCCTAACCTGTATTTTTGATTTAACTAACCGGCTATACGCACGTTTTAATACTGTAAAATAGCTAATATTAAGAGGCTATAAAAGGTAAGAGGAGTATGGAGGTATATAGATTAGGATAATCTGATTTCTTTTTAACATATTCGGTAAGCGAGCTGGCCATGTAAGCCAGCTGGCCACCCCAAAACACATAGTAAAAGCGATAAATTACAACTTGGTATCTAAACAACGGTATACTATATGGGGCTTTCCTTATCGATATATGCTTCTAAGGTGATATCTAGTACCTATAGGAAGTTTGAGGAAAGTTTGAGACTTTATGCTTGCGGTATATAGATATCCAGATTTTGGCAACGTAATTTTCGGTAATTTTTGAAACGACTATAATATAACCTTTTGCTGTTTTCGAAATTGAGATAGAACGCTAATTAGACTTATCAATGACTATTGTGAAATAAGGGGATAAAATAAAATAATGGTTGTTGAGATACCAAGTTGTAATTTATCGCTTTTACTATGTGTTTTGGGGTGGCCAGCTGGCTTACATGGCCAGCTCGCTTACTAAATACGTTATAAAGCTTGTCAAATTTTGGGGTTAAATAGCTTCTGTAACTATCGAGTACTAGAAGCTAATATCTCCCCTTTATATGTAAAGAAGTTGTTAGAATAAAGAGCTTTTTAAGCTAATAAAGTCTAATTTTATTAGAAGTCTAACTATTAGGACTAACTTCGAATTGTTAATCACTAGGAAGACTATTGAACTAAGATTTAATAAAGACTTTACCTTTAAAAATCACGCACGGAGGAAGTGCCTACCCTAAAGTATTTATATACTTAATTACTGTTACCTACTCGCGATTTCTAAGTTATAAAAGTGAGCGCCGACTGTAGTATTTACTCTTTATAATAACCCTCGTAGTTGTTGTTAATCCTATTATAAAGCTAGTCTTATTAAAGTTATAAATATTATCGGGGTCGATTCTATATTAAACGATTGTCTTTTAAATAAGATTAAACTACTCTTTGATAATTTTTAGGTCTTTATATTTCGTACGTTTATAATTATAGTATCTTGAGAAGCGGGAGGAGAGGATAGGGTATCGTTTTATGAAGTTCGTAACCTAGTTTTCGCTGACTAAAAGAACTGGGGTAGTTCCGCGCTTTTCGAGGAGAAGATTCGCTATTTTACGAATAGTAGAGGGTCGGGGAGCAGATCTATGGGAATCCATAGAGAGTATCCATTTTTGAAGAGACTCTTCCTCTATTTCAGAGAGTTTATATAAGTTGGCGCGAGAAATCGCGCGTTCTTATATGCCACTAAGGCGGCGACGAAGAGTCGAACGCGGTACGTTAAAAGTACGCGTAGTAAGGGTAATATTACTGATTTCTTGATTTTTAAAAGCCTGAATAGCTAATAAGATCCTACCCTCTTGCTCTGTTGATTTTCGGGGGTTTTGAGAGCGAATTGGTGGCATAGTGGGTGGTTGAATTAACTAAGTGCTAACTAATGGACGCGTTTTCGGGTGGGGTGGCCACTCGCTTGTGGTGGCCACTCGCTTGTGAAATACGTTAGCAAGATCTTAGCTTTATTATTCTTTTTAGTCCCTTAGGATTAAACATAATAATTCACCTAGTCAGATTTGTCTGGAGAGCCTGGATCCGCAGTGGTGTTGTTGGTCGACGGTCCCTCGAGCCGAGCAGCACATCCGCAGTAAGCATAACACATAGTACCGGTGGCTGATGGGCAGGTAAGAGCACTACCGTGGCAGAATAGTCTCTCTCGATCCCAAGCATGTACAAGCACAGTCCTGGATGCAGGCATCTGTTGAGACGGGTGATGAGCAGGACACCGATGCACACGTCGCATGCAGAGTAAACAGGACAGCGCAGAGGGCTGCACTGAGGTTGAAAGTCTTCATAGTGGTAATAGTCTGGTGAAAGTGATTTAAGATAGGAGAGAATGGTTGGATACGTGAGAAGTATAAGATGTTAATTTACTAGAGGGCTATAGAGAGTTATATACTCTGGACCACACACCCTAGGGTAGATGATACTAATTCATACCAACCTGAATAGGTCTCATGTTGGCGGAGTATAAGCACCACCCAGTCTTCCTAATTGATCTAGTTTCATTGAGCCCACGATTTCTCTTTGACTATCTAACTGGCTAGTATAGACTATAGTAGTGGACAATGTAGCTAAACTAAGTCTAACCTACATGTTGGCGGAGAATAAGCACCGCCCAGTGATTTCCAAAAGGGGCAATCAGGAACAGCAGCTGGCGGATGATCGGACCGCCATAAATATTTAGGTTGAAGGTAAGTTGTAAAAATGTAATCAAGTCAACTCACGCATCGTAGCTATCTGTCCATCCATTTCCTCCCATCATGGCAATTTTACTTAATCTAGCCTTGACGGGATTACTGTTACTCCTGAAAGGTGGCCAGGCGAAGAACATCCAACCGGCGTTGAGCGCCAATGTCGCCAGTGACATTTCCCAAGAGAACCTACTGGCTGAAACAAGTTTCTACCATCAAAGATACAGTACCACTCTCCATGTAAGCTATATCGGTTCTTTATAAACAACCCAGCCAGCTCTAACCAGGTTTCCAGTTCGACGATGTGCCAACTGATGCAAGGACTGGAACCGGAACCATATCCACTTATTCATACATGAATTTCACCAGTTTTACTGTTGTAAACACCCTCGCTGCAGCATCTCTCGGCTCTATCTCAGTCCACGACACAGATTGTGCTTCTTCCCAGACAAATGCGCTATTCAATGCCCGCACCCGGGATGACTATAAAGCACGGCCACGCTGGGTAGCCGACACAACCAAACTGCATAGTGTAGGCCTTTCGGGCTTTTTCAACCTTAATGGCCTTTCTTTTAAGCCTCTCGGAGAAGTGCCACGTGGACTAATCTTAGAGATTATTGCATGGGAGATACGCGACTCAGAAGCACAGAATGTGTACAATACTTGGGTTGCTTATAGTGAAGGAGGTCAGCAGGATATGCAGTACTATGATCTCACAATGTTTGGAGGATCCTGGGGGAAAACAGTTAATATGGTTGAGATTGTTATACGGGCTCCGGGTGAAGAGCAGAAGGAGGTAGATTGGGCTTTTTGTCTGGATGATCTGGATGTTGAATTCTTGGATAGGAGGTTAGACGAGTGACGGGATATATTACACGTTCCGTATCGTACTTCGGGAGCTCGGGAGCTCGGGACGTCAGATGTTTGGGTTCTTTATAGAGAGAGTATTGACAGACAGATGTCCGAGACAGAGACATAGTACAGCCATTGACGTTTACAGTATGTTCGATCATGAATCAAAATATTCAAAACAAGCTTGCAAGTTATCATACAAGAGATAATACCACGCTAGTTTTGAAGTTTGCTCAAGGCCTCGATAACTTTCTGCGTGGTAAATACATCCGCAAACTCACCGTCGAGACTAGCAACAGAAATCTTCTGAATAGTCTCCGAATCAATCCCAGCCTTTCCAAAGGTAGCCGTGGCGTCCTCGACAAGCACAATACGCCCCTTATCAACTTCCACCTCATTCTCATGAGTCCCATCCGACCTCAACCGAACAGGCCCATCCCCAAGATACCGATCCACAACCCCCAAATTAGCCGCCATTCGCACGGTAGTGGAAACACAATGATCAGTCGTCAACCCAGCAACGATAAGCTGACGAACGCCCTTTTCACGCAAATGCGCCTCGAGGCCAGTTCCGATGAAAGAGGAATTGACAGTTTTCCAAAAGATAGGCTCTGATCCATCTGAGGCAGGGGTCGCGAAGTCTAGAGGACGGATACCAGGGCTGGAAGGGTGGAGCGGAGATCCCGAGGTTGTGGAGGAGTGAAAGATGTGGATCACCTCTAGTGGCGTCGAGGATGAAGATCTTGCAGCGCGGAATGCGGAGAGAAGTGCTTGTAGGTTGGATTCATAGTTCGGGTTGGACCGGGTGGTGCCCCAATGGGATATTGTCTTCGGATCGCAGAAGGCTGATTGGTTGTCTATCAGGATCAAGGCCGTGGGGAGGGTAAATTCCAATGCCATTTTGTCGGGGATTTCAATTGTTGAATTAATGTTTTGAATTTGTTTGAAAGATGAAGTCGAATCTTGCAAGGCTTTTTATACATACAGCTTTAGGGTTGTGACTTCCAAAGTTTTTTTCGAGCGTGACTCACCGGCTCACTAATCAACTCTCAATGCCCAGGTGAGGCTAAACTTCAAAATCTGATAGCTTCAAGCTAATTATTTTTTAGCGGCTTAGTAGAAGCAATTTTCTAGTTCCTAGAATCTTTTACCGCTCTTCCTAGAAAATAAATTCTTTCCTAAGTTTTACTTTTCGCCAGTTGGTTTCATTTTAATACTTGGGAGCTCAAATGCTTGGCAAACCTATAGCCCGAAAGGCCATACAAGTTGAAATCGCCAACTAATCTAACACTTTTCTTTACATGTCGAACTTAACAATTAATCCATGGGTTGATACCTCCGTCAAGACAAGTCGGCTGTCGCATATTACTGTTACCGATTCCGGCTGGGATGTTCCGAGCAGCCAAAACAGTTTCATGCTAGTCTTCCAAGGCTTTCAAACTACTCAGTTGTTCGCTTAAAAAATATCCTCAAATTTTCACGATTCCTTACTTTGAATTTCCTCTATTTTGCTGGGCTTGGTTAGTTAATGCTTCGAGAATTGGCGGTCTTGCCATAGAGGTCTCTGGGCAATCAACGATGCTAAGCATACATAAGGTATACCTTAGTATCATGGTCTCAGGCCATGGTTAATGTGTACTCCTAGGCATAATTGGCATACGATTTTAGAGGTACCTAACTTTATCCTTCCTCCGCTTCTTCCCACTCTACCTGTATTTGTATATAGTAAATTGCTGTCATAGCTACTGCAATAGAGCGATATTAGAAAATATTTATGACTTGATGATTGCGATATATATATTTCTAGCCTCAAGGATCGTTATTTTCGAGAATCATTGTTGGTAAAAAAATCTACTGCATATGGAGAAACAGTGCATTTATACCCTGGAGATATGATATTCAACAATTGCGAACTTACTCAACGTTCCTAGAACCACCTCGTAAATTTTTTTTAAAATTTTGCCTAGATGCCCAGCAAAAGTCAACAAAAGGGGTGGAAATTAATGAAAAAGGTGATTGTATGGCTGTCTCACAAAAAGAGCCCCGAGAAAGTGATAGGTCTGAATGTACAACGCATTGTGTGTCAGAGCTTTCAAAAAGTCCCTATGACAACAAAGAAAAGCCCACGCTAAGAAAGCTACACGAGTCAGGGACACCCGTAATTCCCCACTCTGAGAAGGTCCGGGATATATAAAATTTAGTGAAAATGGTCGAGTATCTCTATCTATCCTCTGGTGTACACCCCTGTTGGTAAAAACGAAGACTGAAAAAGAGTGTGCTAAAAAGAAACTGAGAGAAAATACAACAAAACGTATTTACTACAAAATGGGCGATGTACACGAGCCATTAATTGGCAGTAGTGATCAGCAGCTTTTGGCGCTCGCCCCCAAAATCTGACCCCTGGTAACCCCTGATGACGAGGACAAGTGTGATGTTTTGGGCATGCCGCAGCAGGAACAAGGCAGAAATTGTGGCGCATTTCCTGTCCATATTCGCTCGTGCGCTTCTCACTCGTGCGCTAGATATGTTGTACAAAAATTATCTGTTCCCGTGATGGGCTTGATTTTTGTTTATGGGGCTGGAATGGTTGGGGCACCTTGGTACTTCCTCCACGACTTGGTATGGAATTATCTTTTTATTTTTTGAGATTGCAAAAACGACGCACTCGACTCTATCTTATTATTACGTGTTGATCAATGGTCATGTCGAGCCTCCCCTATGCAGGCACTACCAGAGTGACCAGGGTATAACGGCGTACTTAATAACAATAGCCGCCGTGCACACTATATAAGGAAAATTCGAACACATTGTTTGGGTTTTTTCCTTCTCCCTGAGACTCTTATTTTTTCACACCAGCTATCTCAACTTTGGGTTTGCCTTGGACCAGAGTCGTACTTGAATACCCCGTACCCAGAGAGTCCTTGAATCCTAATAAGAAGTATAGGAAACACCTTACTGTACTGTACGGGAGAGAATTGACTCAATATGATGTGCTGAACTGACTTCGGAAAGGCACAAGACGAATAACATGGATGATGCTGAATATTTCATCAGCTGGGGGTCAGAGAGATCTGTTCCACTACGACGATTCGAAAGCCTCCAGCCACATCTGTATGATCAAATTCAATATTATGCAGAGGTCCTCGAGACAGCTCAAACCTTCACTCAGCATCTTTCGAAACATACCCTAAAAAGTTACGATATGGAAAGGTCGCTGAGAAAGATCATGGGCCGTGACCCTTTATGTCTGGACGAAGACGTAGATAGAACGTCTATTTGTTGGTTGGACATTGTTCGTCACGGCGATTTCCAGGAACAAAATGATGGATACTACCACTGTTCTGTCCAAGGGAAGGTTTTTATCCACGACCAGGAAATACAAGATAGGGTCGAGTTTTGCCGAAGCCATGCCATCCATATTTCCAATTCGGGACCAAGTCTTGAAGATGTGCAAAGAGAGGTGAAAGTCACCAAGGAAATATTGGATGATATATCCAACCAAATAAAATGTCCGTACTCCTTATCCTGACGACCTTGTGCAAGCGGTACCCTAACTGGAACAGGTATGAAAGATCTACCAAAACTTAAACAAGCCATGAAGATACGACTGAGAAAGCTTCAATCGCTGGCAGAGGCTGCATTGAGTTCAGCACAGCTAAACTCTCCCAGTGACTCAAGCTTGTCGAGTGATTCAAGCGGGTCGGAAACTACTTCTGACGCCGACTCTGATCGATCAGTGGCGATGGATTTGGATGCTTCCCCCAGAGAGACAAGCAAGGATGAGTCGGAAGATGACAGCACGGGAGACAAAAGCGGAGAGGACGAGGGGACAGAGGATAGAGTGACAGGAGACGACAGTTCCAGAAACCAGACCACGCAACAAAGGAACAATGACTCCGAAAATGGAGGTAACGCGGCACCAGATAATAACACAGGTGTTCGATTAACCCTTGCATCGTCGACAACTCCATCTTCCATGCCTGTAATAGCAGAAGATGAAAATGTCATCTCAACAGGTCACACTTCTTCGTCAAGAGAGATTGGAGAATCTACCGCAATGAACTCCGTGCCTTTGCAAAATCCATCGTCCGTCTCTTTACCAAGGGAAAATCAAAATGGTGCTCCGATGGATTCTATATCATCACGCAATTGCCATCAGGCTCATACCTACCATTCACACTCAAAAAGCCCCACGGGCGACGCGCTTGCTAGAAGTGAAGGTCCATCTTCTCGAAGAGTCAAACGACGGAAGACACAGAAGAAAAAACCAAAATCTAATCGCATATCCACCTATGATGAGAGATCGACTGCTATTGCCTATATGAAGACCTGGATAGAGAGCCATGCAGGTGGGAAATGGACCCAGGTGGCATTCGAGAAAGATTATGCCGCCAAATTCGAACCCAGCCGAAGTTTTAACACCATAAGGACATGGAGGGAGGAAAGGGAGAATCCCCAAGCGAAGAGCCATATTGTGGTATTGAAAATTCCCGTTTCATGTCTACGTGAGGAATTATCGAATGACAATTCTTTACAGCCAATGCCCGGTCTTTCAAATGGCAGGACCAACACACCACCATCCATTCAACATGGGCCGTCGGAGAGGCCACAAAACTGGTCGGACAGTCATGATGCGACCGATTCCGAGCCCCCTGTCAAGATAGAAAGTGGTCTCCCGAACCTGCTAGACAGCAGCCAATGGAGCTATTCAGATTCTCTTCAGGGCCCGATATGGGAGGAGATATTCTAGTAAAATAGCACAGTCTGAAATTTTTTGGGAAGGGAAATGGAAAGGGTCTGGCCGCCTGGCGTTTGATATAATCGGAAAAGTCAACGAAGAGATTGGAAGGGTTAGTATCAGGGCAGAAAAAAAAACCTTTGCTTTGTTTAATATATTGCTGTACAACATAGTTTAGTGATTATTTTATTGATAAGGTAACTTCATACACCATCCATAGTTTGTGAATGCTGGAGAGATCGTTTAGTCTTTGTTTATTTCTTTGCTCGATTGAATTGCTACTATGCCTATTTGGGTAATAGGGCTGTTTCCAGCTCACGTGGATTAGCTCTTGCTATTTAAACCTCCTAGGGGTTTACCGCTTTGCTTCTTCTCTTCTCCCAATCTTTGATATCATAGTTTGAATACACTCTCCTAGTTGAATTGAACTGGCACTTAGCAAAGCAGACATCTTCCTCTTGCTCTCACTGTACTTTACCCTTGAAGTAAAAGTTCGCCAGTTGGCGATAAATATCCGCATCCGCATCATGAATGTTTTCTCCAAGTACCATACACTATAAAGAGAATAGAATAGGTTTCAAAGTTGGTTAGTTTTGGTGGGAAAATCGGGGGGTAAAGACTTGGTAATAGGGTCTGTATGGTAAGTATTAATTTTCCCCGAACAAGCTTAGTCTGTACGCATTCGCGGATAAAAACGGGAGATCAACACGCCTGGGGTGCCTGGCTAGGCGCTCCGAAATAAGGGGAAACGGCACCTGATAACAAGACATTGAAGTTGGGATGCATTGACTATCTATATTGTCTATAAAAACTCAACGTCTCAAGCACTTTTTCACGATGGAATGAAGTTGATTCGTCTTGCCTTCAAATACATGTCCAAACGCCTTTATCTCAGCGCTTTTCATGTTGCGCCGTGAATTAGACATAGCACTGTATTGAATGCCCCCCAATGATTCATCACTAATTCTGCCAACCGACGAACCAGAGCTGAAGCCCAACATCATACCAAGAATCATCACCGGGGCACTCTCGGGGTTCTGCACAATACTGTAGATATCAAGGGCTTCGTTTGCGATGGTCCCAGTCAAGGCAAGTATTGCATCAAGACCTTTGATGACATTTCCAAGCCCCGAAATTGGGCCAAGGAAAGGAATAGCCATAAATACACCACCAAGAATTCTCAGAATAAGTTCTTTCTTTTCTTCAGCGGCAACTTTCTCACCGATGGCGACAACATTGTATACACGATCGACCATCTCACTTAGCGCAAATACAGCGGTAGAGATGGTCTGAACAACATCATCTATCACACCGTCAAAGCTTCCAGATATAATACTCATCTGGGTAATAGAGATTGAGAGTTGGAGGTTGGGGATATTTGGCAGAGCCTTTCTCATGATCTCCCGTGGGTCTGGGATACTGATTTCTTTGGCTCGAACGGGAAATCCCTGCCACCAAATGCATCTATCCGGTGATGCTGCAGTCAGATCGCATGAAGGCCTGCTCCCATAGTAAGGCTCCTGTTTCTGACCAAGGAACAAGCCACCATCGAGTACTACCCAGTCTGGCTCCACGCCAGTTTCGGCAGTAAGATTCCCATAGAAGCCTTCCCGGTCCATGATGTCGTAGTAGATGATGTGTGTCTGGGATGATGATCCAAGATACTCATTTGGACAGCTTTCTCTTGAACCATTTCTGGTTAACGTGCTATACGTACATTCGAAAAACCGATTGCCCACGCCACTGGGCTCCGAAGCAATCCTGCTGACGTTCATGAAATACATGAGCTGAGGCTGAACCTGGTCTATCATATATTTTGAGTACCACTTGAAGTCTTCATCGTAGTTGGCTTCATGGATAAGGTCTGTATAGTTGGCCAAGGTAGCCTCCAGCTCCCCATACAGTGCACCCAGCGTGTAGAATTGAATACAGTAAGGATCCAAGTCGTCAATGTCTGCTTCCAGCGCATCAAGAGATGAGTAGTTGATGCTGAAATCGCAAGGGAAAGTGCCGGCGCACTCATCACTTTCCCCGTCCGAATATCCACAGGGATCATCTTCAGGGATCATGTTCAAGCATACCGGCAAAGGACAATAGTCTCTGGTACAGGAAAAGCTGCAAAGGCCGTTATCATTGGCCTCTGATGCCCAGCCGATGATGGAAGTGTTTTGAGCTGGAGGATTGATCAAAGGGCCCGTGGCTGTGCAAGTGCAATTATAAATAGGGCAATAGCCGTAGTTACAACCAAAGCTGCAGAGACCAGTCATTTCACCCTCTCCAGTGCCTGCGACACATGCGTCAGGAGTGAACGGAGAAACCTTCGGAATCGTTAGTGGAACCTCGACAGTTCCACAGGCAGTTGGCGGGCAATAGCCGTAGTTACAGGTGAACGAACAGAGACCAGCATAATTAGCATTTTTGCCTGCAGCTGGATAGCCGATGATACCTGTAGATTGGGGTAATGTTGGCTGAGGTCCTCTCTTGGTGCACACGCACGCCCCAACAGGACAGTATCCCAAGCTACAGGCAAATCCACAAAGTCCGTTGAAATCCCCCATTCCCCATCCGGAAATACAGACTTGCTTGACAAGGTCAGGAGATGTTCCAGCGAGCGAGTTTCCCATGGTGTAACCAACCCATGCATTCCAATTTTCGACTTCGCTACCCTCAGAACATCCACTGCTGATGTCATTGCCTTCGACTGTGAGCAAACCACTTGGGGAAGTCACGCTCAGTATCACGCCTCCGGAGTGACCGGCAAAAGAGACGCTTCCATGATAGACACCAACATTACCACTAGGGGTGTTGGTCCAGGTTGCGCCAAGGTTCACGCCATCCACGGTAACAGAGATATCTCCAGGTTGTGACAGCAGTGCTGAATAGAAGATCTTATCTTGCATCACATCTTTGGGCCAATACTCCAGCTGCAGCTGCGAGGCGGTATTAGCGGTGGTGCCGCCATCGGCGCACGCACCTGCTGCATTCAAACGATACCACGCCACAAGGCCCTCGCTACCTGAGGTGGTGTTACCAAACTTGTAGAGGTCAATGAGGTAGGGCAAGAATTGTCTCCAGCCGCTATGATCAAAGCTTTCAACATAGTTGTAAGGGGCATTCCCTGTTTCAAACGCCGTGTACATCGAATCGGCCAGTGGATTGTGGTAATCAACAGTGGGACCGATGTAGTGACTCTCCCCAAAGTCGTTCCAAGAGATGATCTCGATAAATTCCGGGGCTAGGTAGAGCGCTTGCTCCCACCGCGTATACCACAGATCATCACCACGCCAGAGCCAATTCTTATTATACCCAGGCATGTTTGTGAAGAACCACGGCGAAATTGGCATCATGTATGCCTTCTTGTCCAGGTATTGCATATAAGAGGCGTCAACATAGGTGTTCATATCATTCGGACCATTTGGCCACGCAGCCCAGCTAAACAGCCCGTCTGCAACGCCGTCTCCCAAGGCCATAGCAGCTTTGGCCCCAACTGACGACCAATCCGGAACAAAGAAGAACGACATCTCTGATTTGATATCCACCCAATCATCGGCATTGCCGGGTCCTTCAAATGTCGAGACTAGTGGATCTTCACCGTGGAAGTAATAGGTGTCAAGGGCGACATATCGCACCAAAAGAGCAAGCACGTCATCTTTATCCCAAGGTCCATTTCCTGCATAGTCGAACGAGAAGAAAAGCGAGAACCCGAGGTTTTGAGCCGCTAACCAAGCAGTGGGCATGGAAGTGGAGGTGGTGTCTTCTCCAGCGGCAATATTCAAAGCAAATGCGTCAATGTGAGCATCCTGCGCGAGCTTGATCTCATTTTCCCAGTCCGAGAGTTCATACCCGGCCGTGTTCGACACCATGAAATGAGCGAACACTGCACGGGAATAGACCCGGGGGTAGAACAGGCATGATATCAGAAGGATATAGCGCCACCATGGGAATGAGGAAGACATTTTGCCCAAGTATGGTACGAGTTTGAACAGCGTCCAAACTGTAAAGATAGAAGAAAAGAATGTGTTTGGAAATGGCTATGTCTCGTAGAGAAGATACCAAAGAAGAAAAGGAATGTGACTGACTAGGGAGGCAAGCTTCAAATGCTATCTTGTCATTGACAAGTAATAGTGATTTGTCAATTTTTGCCCTGTCTAGATCATTTGCTGAACTAGTTTTCCGCCGGAGTAATCTCCCAATGAGCCCAGATATTAGCTGGTGTCTTTGATGGTCGTGCCGTGATTCCGAAGCGAAATTACTTCCTGATCACAAGGGAATCCTTCCCACCCCTAGGCTACATAATTCTCCGCCTGGGATACAATAGATCTACTTAGTGCAATATGAACAAGTGTACAAACTGTTGATTGGTTTGCCTAGATCGCATATAGAAGTCAATGCTACATTGGCCAGGGATAAGCCTCGCCAACGTTTGTCTTGGCGTTCGCAAACATCCCCATAAAAAGACGCAATTTCCGATGTACAGTAGTTTATGGGACTAGATCAGATAGGCGTTAAGCTACCCACTGAACCCCTGGGATGTGGTCGGGTTGAATTGCCTAGGTAGCAGTCCAGTAGGCGCGATAAATGAGGCTAATTCTTAGCGCACTCCTTAGTGTAGATAATCAAATACCAGATTGTTACACCTCTCTGTAATATTCATACTCAACAGGATGGGTACAATCCTTTTGCTAATTATATTTGATGCATTCAAATAATTGTAATTTATCAGTGTCGCTTTCCTTGATTCCACTCCTACTCATTCGAAGTTGATAGACACCACTCCTTTGTCGACCATCCATTCTAGCTCTACATACTACTAGGTATCAATCATTATACCTACATTCTTTGCGTTGCCGTCCATATACCTCCTTGCTGTCAGCTAAGCCTCCACTACATCCTTCTTTTTCCAATTGGGCTTCGCAGTCCATCTTTGCTCCGTCAACATGAAGGCATTCGGGATTCTCCTCTTCATACTTCTGTCACTTTTTGATCTTGGCCAAGGATCCAAGCTTGCTGGCTCTAGCGAAATGCTCGCCATGTACAACGCATATGTGTTGGACTTTCTCAAGAACGGAGCAGCACGTACTTTGGGACCGAACCTTGATCATGAGTCATTGGTTGACTTCGGGACCTTTGTGTCGAGGATCTATGTGAATGCAAAGCTCCCTCGAGATGGGGTTTTCTTGAGCAAAACCCCAGAATACAGCCAGGATACATTGGGCCAAATCAACCAATTCTTGAGAAAGAAGGACCAATACGCCACAGATGAACTGCTACGAAAGGGCGATTCCGGGGAGGGTAATCATGAAACCATGCTACAGCGGCTCACTGATATAGTGAAGTCCACCCGGGGTAGCGACGCGTCGGGCTTCTCAGAAGCGTGGAAACTCCACCTGCCCGAATTCAAGCGAGCTTTGGCAGGTACCCAAGGAGCGCGGCTGAGTGACATGTTCAAGCAAAGTCTGAAGCCATTGTTTGAGAAAGAATATCCTGGGAAGACTCTGAAGTCTTCGTCGTTTCCTGTGATGGACACGGACGTTAGATTCGATCGCGAGAACTGGGGAATGACCTTGACGGCCAATGATGAACCAGAAACCATGGCTCAGAAATATAAGACTTGGTATGTTGGTCTCAGAGAGGATAAAAGTTGGAAGGCGAGGTCTTACATCTCGCATCAAAAGATTACCACCTCTATCGGTCGGAGTTTGACTATGTTGGATAGCTTAGATAGCTGTGATTAGAAGGTATTGCAGATGAGATAGGTGTTTAACGGCGGCTTAAATACTGGCCTCTTTGGGATACATGTATGATTGTTAATTGTCTATTATACAGATTTGAACTCGTATCTACATGGTCGCTTTGTATTACCTTCAAATTCACCTAGATCCATTATACAGAATTGAGCAATAGAAGTATCTGCCAAATGATACTATAGGACTGGGTGTGGCTTGGGTAGGTATTTGAAATGATAGTATTCTAAAGATTGATAGATTGTTTTATACATGTAGTTGCTGAGTGCTTTAGCTGCTAGCATCAATCTGTATCGTCCGGCCATCGCCAAACTAGATAATCTTCCGTATAGTTGTGCAACATATGTCCTTTTTCGAGAAAAGCCTTGCTAATATTGTCTCTCTCCTGCCCCATTTGGTTCCGAACCTCAACCGCCTGTGCGAATGCAGTTGAAGTATCCTTCCGTGCGTTTTCCATTGATTGTGACGTGCCAACCCAGGTCGGGTCCTGTGGGGGCACATTTCGAGTCGAGCAGATTCGATAATGCGGGTCTACCAACCACAAAGTTACAAATCGAAGGTAGCCTGACCGAGATGGATCTGCGAGACTGAAAGGTTCAACCTTGGATCGCAGTGTATTTGGCCAAGCAAGTAACTGTCCGGTCGGTGAAATCGGGATAGACCCCATGGTCTGTAGAGCCTTTGGGAAACAACCACCATTTCCATCTCCGTAATCCCAGGGGAGAACATCAAAAAGTCGATCCATTGCAGGATACTTTCTGTTATTGAAGTGAGAGTTATCTATCAATGTCTCCTGTTGAAATGACACCTTTGCACCTTTGATGTTGTGCATATCGAAATAGCATATAGCCGTAGAGACGATATGCTCGTTGAGAATACCGGCAACGTTGTGATGGGAATCACCACCGTACAGGGGCTTTTCAGGGGTCAATTCGATAGTTGACACTCGAGCAATGATTTGCAGACCCTGAAATTGATCTTGAAGAGATATAGAATAGTACTGATGATCTGGATCGGGAGGTGGGGGAGGCTCATCGGGCTCAATGCGTTTGGGCATGATAGCGCGGCCTGTATTTTCACCCGTCTTCCATTCATCGTATGTGAAGGAGATTCCCGGATCAACCCCTTTCGCGGAGCATAGCCGTTCCCATTTAGCGATGACTAGTTTTTTCAGCTCTTTGGAAGAATCCCATTGCCATGGCTCCATACTAGCGACAAGGTCATGGTACCCACTGTCAGGCCATAAGCGGTATCGCCTCTCAGGATCAGGGAGATTGAGATATTCTTTGACTCGCGATTGAACATCAAGCCATTCTTCATCTGTTGCTTTGACTAGGTCGTAATATAAATCTGGATACTCCTCCGAACCTTCAGTCTGGAAGTCATAAGTCCTGATTCGAATTGGTGTTCGACCTTGGTCCCCAAAAATCAGCATTTCATTCCATGGCTGTATGGCGGCCGAAATGAGCCCCTCGAGCGCTTTGTATATGCCCCTTTCCTTTGGATGCACACCATTGACATAAGAGGTAATTCTTGCTCCTCCTTGCTCGTCAAAGATAACCTCAGAAGGAAGACATTGAAAGGTGTTTGACCAGTATCTATGCTTTGACCCATCCCGGTAATCCGAACTGTTCCTTTCATGTCTCTCTTTCAGATGCATCTCATTATGCCTGTCGGACGGTTTCTCGGGAATCGGAACAACTTGGGATTGTGATAGTCTCCAGGACGCAGGTCTCTCCAGGTCAATTGTGCCACCATCGATGAGGACTGGAGTGCGCCCATAAACGAGAGGATACATAAAAGGGTCAACTACATGCCGAACTGGGCTCTCAGAATCACTCGCATGAGTATCATCGGAGGTAGAAGACGAAACAGGTGTCAGTTTCGAAAAAAGCGGCGACATGGATTGGCGAAGCTCTTGTAGCAGATTGTCAGGAACTTGAGATTTGATGACTCGTGAGTCTGCATCAAACACAGCAACGTAGCCCGTGCGTTTGAAATCAGACGCTTTGTCTCGTAGCTCCCTTACACACCACTGCCATGAGGGTTCATCGAGATCAAAGACTGAATCGGCGTGCTGATGCCATTCTTCCAGTGTCTGGGGGTCCTCGCACTTGTTTTCCCAGCCTGGCTGCTCTGTGACATACGACATGAACTGCAGCATGCAAAGTTCTCGCAGAAACAACTGGGGAGTTTGTCTCCAATCAGCGATCCCATGCGCAAAGCGATTGTCTTTTGGCTGCTCATAGTGCAGAGGTACACCATTGAAGCCAGGGACTCGCAAAGGGCCTGCCCCGCTGTTGTCTAACTTTACAGTTGGAAAGTCCGTCTCTGTCATCTGCAAGTGGCAGCGAAATGAAGAGAAGGGGCTTCGGGTGGGTCTAGCGAGACTAAGTAGTCGGGGATGGAAGTGCAGCCGTTGGATCATGGACATTGAGAAATTGTGATAGCTGTCAACTTGAGGATTCTTCCATGAGAGGTGAGCGACAATAATGAGAGAGATGTAAGATAGATAGTTGTAAGATTCCAAGGGGGCGCCAAGACGGTAATTTTGATACAGGATGTGGACAGGTATCTCGGGATCTCGGAACTTCCGGCGGAGACTAGGCTGGTCTTAGCGCGGATGTGAAGCTTGTCTGTGGCTTATTAGCTCTGTTTGCGAGATACACAAATTATTCGCTTCACTGACCACACACGGAGTTCCGCGGAAAATTAATAACGAGCATTGTCAGTGGCGTCAAGGCGAAATTAAGTCGGAAATTGCCCGAAAAATAGTTCACTATCAACAGATCCATGTTGGATCATTCTTTCCATATCTACCCCTATGAAAAGTGCTGAATGGAAGATTTCATCTTAACTAAATCCCACTGTTGAGCAACACCCAGAGCTGCGTTAAAAATGCAATCAATTTCAATCCTTGTTTTCACCTTTCTACTGGTTATAGAGGGACTCTTTTCCTCGGTATCCGCTTCTTGCTTCCCCAGCGCTCAGAATCAAACTATTGGATTCTTCAGTAGTGCGCCTCTGGCCTATGGGTACACTCATTTATCGCCATCTGAATGTGCCAATGAGTGTGACAGTTTAAGCACCTGCCAGGCGTGGCTCTTTGTCGTCAATGCGAATGAATGCCAGTTCTATCGTGCAGCTCCTGTGTCACAGGCAAAGAGTCCAGGTTTCATCTTGGGATCGTGTGATACAAATAGCACCCGACTGAATGCATCGACATCAAAAGCACCTCAACCAACTTCGTCCTCCTCCGTGGTACATGGCTCGCATACAGCCCAGTCCTCCTCATCCAAAGTACGGCCCTCCCGTCTGTTAACACAACTCTGTCTTTGGGGATTTATTCCTAACAGACAATCCAGATTCCAGGACAGAAAACTCATCTGAACAAGCACAAGCGTGGTCATCATTATCGTCATCATGGACAAGACTAGTATATCTAGGGCGTCTACGGGTAGATGGTTGTTCCATGGCTCGATGTTCACGCCTGATGTTTTGGCCTGGGTTTTTACTTTCACACTTTTGTTTAAAGTATGGAGCTATATTTGATATTTAAGTGTACTTAATACTTGGATGCATATGCTGCCAAGAACGCGAGGTCCGGGCCTCAATGCACATCTAGCGAACCCCTGTGAAACTCATCTGTGTCCGACAGCTGGCGATAGCTCTTGAGAGGAAATTCGCGTTCCCAGACCACATCTTCTTTCCCGTCGAGCTCTCTCGGTAAACAATTTTCTACGGAACCATTTTGGTATTATATTCATACAAATTTTCTCTGCCCATAGACTCTAGAATTTACCATGTGTAAGCCCATACATGTGAAATACATCTGTTCAGACCGGATTACTGATCTGAGAGCCTTTCTCTTTCTAGTCTAGCAAAGCAAAACAATACAGATTGTTGAATCTTACCACAAGTCACTTGAATGATGTCCATAGTACGGAGTAGCAAAAGCTTAAAGGCTCTGTTGCTTTCATACTATTCACAATACAACCTACATATTGGCATCACTCCCTTAATCTACCCTGTAGACTCAAATAGGTTATTAACTCGGGGAGCTCGTTATTGATCTGATCTCACGGTCTGTTAATCCTCGGCCTTTTATGCTGCTGCAAGAGGATGATTGCCACTATACAGCACGTCCCCGCAAGCTAAGATTCATCACCCGCCAAGCCAGGAAGTTGCCTATTTTGGTATCATGAATAGCTTCAGGTTTACATTGGAGTCAATGAATATGCATCCCTAGGGGTGACTAGGAATTCCCTCTATAGAGACTTGTCGTCGCCTTTGGACAAGCCCAGGGTTGTGAGGTATAGCACCGGCTTGCTTTCTTGCTTGCTCGCGTAGCATTGTTTCGTTCGTTTGCTTGCATGCATGCATCCTATCTCAAGGGAACCCACAGATCAAAGTTTTTATCACTGTCAACTCTTTCTTTGTGTAGATCCTGCAGTATCTGCAACTCGCAGATCTCTTTATGCTGATTTCATCGCTCGACATCTCTTTTATGTCTATAATCTAGACGTATCTCCAACTGTTGGAGTCGGGGATCTTCATCTCTCGGGATCATCGTGATCATCATGATCATATCTCTCATTACCTTCCTCATCTACATCGTCAATCCTCGGGATAATCAGTCACCATGGCTAATCGATATGGCATCTCGGAACCCGAGTTCTCCAACTTGGTCCCTAATCGCAAAGGGAAATCAAACTTCTTCAGTCAAGCTAGAAGTAGGAGCCTAGAAGCGAAGACAAGAATCTAACTTCATGTACACGGAGAAAAAGAAGCCCATTATCATCAGCGATTTGTCTATCTAATGATATGGTATGCTCTTTTCACAATTCCCTCCGCACTGTTACAACCTGCCCCTGGACTGGCGAGTTACACACTAGGCCAAAAAGACCACTATACCTGAGCATTATGCTCAGATATTCCAGGCTCCGATATATATATAGTGCATGACGTGACACGCACTCACTTTTTCCTGATAAAATACTGACAATTATATTGCTTTTCTTCAGACAGTCTACTCTCCATAATTTTACATGATAAGCCTCCATGTCTGTTACACCATGAGAGACTCGACATGCGCCTCCTCCCGCGCGCAGAACACATACGTAATATCCAACCGAGTGACAGACCTTCCACTGACGACTTGTTCCCAAGACAAATTCTCGATCCTCTGCGACATAGCAACTTGTTCCATGCTGTGTATCATCGGTCCTTCTCCAAACCCGCCCTCTTCAATCTCGATTACCCGCTCAACCACCCTGGCAGCAGAGATGCTATCCCAAACCGCCTCCCGTATCGGTTGCTGTCGCAGTATACTCAAGACCTCACGTCGGAAAATGGGATGTCTGCATTTGACACCGATTATGTAGAGCACGGGAACAATTCCGATCTCCGGTGTAAAGGTCGGAGTTGACGACCCTGAATACCGCTCATGCGCCGCTGCTACATCGCTTGCCAAGGCAATGCATTGCTGGAACTGGGGCAGGAAGTTGTCATAGTTCATTTCCCTGCCAGGCCCGTGACTACTGAGGAGAATCCATGCGATAGTGTGTTGTAAGCGCAGCAGTGAGATGAGCCGGTAAGTTTCAGAATCTCTTTCATAAGAGCTGCTCGGTTGGAGTATGTTTTCGAAGAGACCCGACCACATTTCCAACTGTCGGAGAACAACATCCTTAAGTGACGAATGTGATGGCAACGTCTTATCAATCAGGGCCATTTGCTCCGTGTTGCGCAGTCTCATTACTCGAGCGAGGAGGACCTGGAGGTAGTCGGCAGCTTGATCGAGGGACCAAATGGTGCCGTCGAAGGGAGAAAGCTGGGACATAAATGTCTCTTCCATGTCGGCTGGAGCCCAGTCGACCAGAAACGTTGCGGCCTGCATATCGAGACGGCGGATCTGTCTTGTGACCTGGCAGATAATTGTGTGGACCCCTGAGAGTTTGGCATCGTTGGCACTGTTGTTGTACAGTATAGACTTGTCAATGTTGCGTGATAGCTCCACACCTCCGCGCAAGTGCTTCACTGCCTGTACGTAGTTGCCCGCCAGGTGATCGAAGCAAGTGAAGAGATAGCAAGCCAGAAGGGTAACGGCTGTTGATTGAGTACTATTACTATCCTGGCTTAGAAGAAGCTGAATGGCCCGATTATAGTGAAGCAAGGGAGCCTTATCCGGTGGCCAGTCTTTCAAGGATTGGCCTTGATGTGCACAGTCGCTAGAACCGCGATCCAAATAGTTTCTGTGGACCAAGGCTAGAGCAATAGCGGCATACCGCACTGATGGTACTGTTTGCGAGAAGAATATTAGAGTTTTCCGCCATGATTCGCAGGGGTGGTATTCATTCAGATGCTTTATCGAAATGCATTCGAAAAAGCACATTGCTTCTGCCTGGACTGGCCCAGTTACTGGTAAGATCATGAAGGATCCGAGATTTTGCAAACTGAGGCCATGGTATTTCTCATGTAATTGTTTCGGCTGATATGCACTGGTTGTGGTGCAATGGTGGTGACTGTCGCAGATCTCTGCTCTGTCGGCATCTTTGTGGTAATACTGACTTGATTCAATCTTGGTCGCCTGGAGATTGAAGGCGAGGGTCATTTCACCATACCCATCACAGGTGCGACCTGTGGATTGGCATTTCAAGCATGAAGGCTGAGATAGATCGCATTTTACTCGTCTTATCCTAAGAAGTACACCGAGATTGAGTTAGTTCTCAAGTCTCTTAACGCAGCCAATCACTTTGTAACGATAAACGGAGTTAAGTCTCACTTGCAAGTCTTACAGCCTAGTCTTGACTTTGGGGCGAACTTGCGACGCTTTCTTCGCCAAGCTTGATTGGCGGTCCTGGTGTTCTCGTCCATCACGTTGTTGTTAGCGGGTCAAGATTCGCAGTATGCACCGTTTCAAGTTGAGGGCAGTCCAGGAGCCACCACGGCCTCTAAGCCGCCAATTGCAGACAGGACTGGCTTGGAGCAGCAACTTAGATAGGGTACTGATCGAATTTCAAGAGGATCATCTATTCGTCTGTTCGTATACCAGTGGGGAAATCATGTCCCACATTTTTTGTGATGCAAACTTGAATATAAAAGGATGGATGGTAGTGAAAAAAGAAGATCGGACAAAGGCCGGAGGGCTCTAAACTCATCATTATAAATCCTGAGTGTGACTAGTGCGTATGATAAATAGAACCTTGATTGGTTAGTTCGTACAGGCGGGCCGCCAAGAAACGATAGTTCCCACTTGTGGAGAAACTCCGACGAGCTTAAAGATAAAGTGTGGGGACAATACAAAATATCTTACCACTAGACCATAACAGAAATCAACCTTGTTAAGCTTGGTCACAGCCTAGCGGGGTCATATCTGCCGTTCGATAAATCAACCGGGATTCTCTTAATATAGACTGGTGGGTATCGCGATATTCATTAGCTAGCTCGTACAAGTGGAGGGCCAAGAAGGTGCGCGCGACAGGTATCATAGGAGGAACACGGCAGCCTAAGGAGCTGGGCAATTGAGATCGACAAACTGGATTGTCAAATCTCTGAGGAAATTCAATTGGTATAAATAGTTCCCTCGTATCGCAATTATGCCAGCTGCAATAATCAAAGTTGTCCTTTTCTTAGAAGTACCATAAGAGGAACTCCATGGGAAACCTCCTAGGGTTAACAATGAAACGACTTGTGAATGCGGTCATTCTTTTCATAAGCTTGGGATGCAAAGCCCATAGTTGGCATGATCCGGGCATGGCCTATGGATTTGACAATGTAAGTCATGGGCACCGCTGAGCCACATGCTCTAAGACTTTCAGTTTTTCTGACTAGCTATCCAGATCGAACCTTCATCCAACCTCACCTGGACACCATGCTTCGATGATTTCACATGCTCTAGACTGGAAGTTCCTTTGGATTATTCAAACAGAGATCTTGGCACGACATCAATCGCCTTCATCAAACTGGCTGGCAAGAATGCTACTGTCGGGTCCCCAAGCATTGTACTCATCCCCGGTAAGATCTCGACCAGATCAGCCATGTTATCTGAAACCCATGTGACTGGACTGACACTTCATCAGGTGGTCCGGGTGGTTCTGGTATTGACCTCGTCCTCACATACCGGACCCTTACGGGGCAAATTTTCGGAGAGCAGTACAACTTCGTCTCCTTTGACCCTCGTGGTGTGAACAACAGCGAGTTAATCCTCGACTGCTTTTCGGGAAATACAGAAGCAAGATTAGCCTTCAATCGACTGCACAGTACAGGCGCCACCAACGTCTCATCAACATCGCTTGAGGAACAGTACTATTCAAGCTCTATCTACGGGGAGTGGTGCAACGATGCTGTCAAGAACAAGTTGCGTAATGGGTATTATGTGACTACACCGGCCGTCGCCCAGGATTTGCTCACATTTACGGAAGCCGAGGCCCAGGTGGCCGGTCAATCACCACTAGACGCCAAATTGTGGTGTTATGGCATCAGTTACGGCACTGTCATAGGAAGCACTTTCGCTTCAATGTTTCCTGGCCGAGTTGGAAGAATGATACTCGATGGTGTTGTGAACGCAGAGCAATATTACAACAATGACTGGCGAGACAACGTCGATCAGATGGACGAGGCAATGGAAAGTTTCTCGAGTTTCTGCCACTCCGCAGGTCCTGAAAAGTGCTCCTTCTGGGGACCCACGCCAGCGCACATCACGACCAGAATGGACGGCATCATTCATCACCTTCAGAACCATCCGGTGCCGGTGAGCGGAGTCCAAAGTCGAGACCTGCCGACACTGGTCACATATTCAGATCTGAAGGCTCTTTTCCTGAGCAGTATCTACACCCCACTGGCGAAATTCCCACTCATGGCGGACATCCTACACCAACTCGAGCGTGGGAATGTATCTGCACTTGTGGGAATGTTTGATGGGTTGAATTCTACGTCTGATGCCCGTCTCGCCATCCAGTGCGCAGATTCGTACCGGAGAAATGGGCTTACTACCATTGAAGAATTCAAGAGATACGTCGAGTACACTATTTCCAAGAGCAAGTATATCGGTGATATATATCCTATCTTCTTGGAAACCATCTTGTGTAGATCATTCCGACCGCAGTTGCCTGATAGCATGGTGGTTCAAGGTGGGTAGTCCTCTTTTTGTTTCTTCTTTTTCCACATTCTCCCCATCATTGGAAAATAAAAATATTCCTTGGAAGCAATGCCTAACCAGTTTCCTTTCTATGCAGGCCCAATAAGTGCACTCGACAAGCCTACATCCTTCCCGATCCTATTTGCGAGCAATACCATAGACCCTATAACGCCCTTGAAATCGTATGCTTTGGCCAATTGTCCTGCTGTCTGGGATGTTGCTAATTGACTTTACCTGTTCTCAGGGCGCGCAAGATGTCTTCTCGGTTCGCTGGATCGGTACTTCTATTACAAGAAGCCGTTGGTGTAAGTTGCTACCAAATCTCAGTCACATAACCATCAACAAGAGCCTAGGCTTACCTGCGGGGTGTTTCTTTGGATACAGCATACAGTTATCAACCAGGGGGCCTCAGACTGTTACTTTGGACATGTTCAGGCATACCTCCAAGGCATAGTTCCATCGTCCAGCATTACTTGCCCGCAGCAACACATACCTTTTATAGATGATCCCATTTGAAGATTGTCAAAGCCAAAGAGAAGGGGCTTTCTAAGTTTCGGGAAAGAATTGGCTATAGCCACCACAGTACTTGATAGTCTTTAGCACTACGGACATGGCTGTTCTATGCGTCAGACTGGGAGTTAGGGGGTAGATATATTGTGTTTGAATAAAGTGTTCATTTAGATGGATGGCATTCATTATATACATATTCTTCGGGTCGTCATCTATTTGCTACGTAGTTGGAATATTTTTCTAGCCAACATTGAACTTAAACTAAAACTAAATATCTGACAGAAATCTAGCTGTGCGACAATTTGTATTTTTAGGCAAATGTAACTCTTCCAACTAATATAATGTCATGAAGTAGCAATTTCAACAGACAAACTGATAAATGAACTTTTCCAAGTGTGGGATTTCGAATCTCATAGTCCGATGGTATTCCGGGTAAATTATACTCCACTCTTGAGTTGTGTGGGGGATCGCCCTTTCGGGACAAAATCGTGGAGTGTATGAGGCCAGAGCCCACCAGCACCTGTTCCCATAACAGCAATGTTAAATTACTTCAGTGGATATACAACAAACCTCGGCATTTTTGCCAAGCAATGCGTCATTTCAGAATTTTCATACAAGATTGACCGCCTATCTGACCGCCTGTTTTCAGTAATAAAACTTTTCAACTTTGGAAGGGTCGCCCCTGTCCTGACTAATAAAAACCCGGCCCGGCGTCACTGATCATCACCTGATGATTGTATAATCATTAGGCCCGGCCCGGCTTGTGGCTGCACGGCTGAGATGCCCTCCAGGGCTGATTTCTATTCTAGAAGGCTCGTTGCCTTGGCATGTGCAAAGCCACCAGCTGAGACCTCTGTTTTGGACAGAGGCAGGTTAGTTAATTCAGAATTTTCACGCAAGATTTTCTGTGTAAGAATTTTATGCAAGCCGCATACGTATTAACCAACTATGAAATAAAGTTTTTGACGCAAACGGCATCAAAGTCGCAATACATAATTAATCTTTGTCTATTGCACAGTGTAACTTTACTAATGTAGGTAGGTATCCAAATGTTCTTTATTCTGGCCTCAAAGCCATGACTCTTCAATATTATTAGTGATATATAACTTTTTACTCGAGGATCTTAGCGTTGCCCTGAGGCAACGATCGAGTATCAACACTTGATAAATTAAACAATGCTCGCTATTTCCAAAACAAAACCCAAAATGCATCATGCTCAAGCCCAGTGAAGCAATTCCCGGCCTCTAGCCTTGAACTTCGAGACCATGAATCCTGGACTGCAATTTGACTCCCAGTCCTCGTCGAACCCTGAGTCGGGGTTGTGTGGGTTGGATGTTTGCTTTGTGAGACCGAGGCCTTGTGATTCGGCATCGAAATCGCCACAGGAACAGGTCAAGGTTGTTCTGGCTCCTGGTGTGGTGCAAGGGCAAGGGCCCAAGTTGCGATTGCATGGGACGCACTTGTAGTATGCCCGACTGCCGGCGTCATTGGAGCCTGACGTTGTTGATACGCGCACTCCGGGGAGTCCACATTGTTGGCACTTCCGGCCTTGTGAGGAGCGGTTGAGTTGGAGAGTCATTGTGAAAGATGGGGGACTCTGGGTCATTGACTAATGAATGTATTAGTGACTGTCCGGTATGGGGAGACAGGAGACGATAGTACTCACATATGACTGTAGTATAGTGGAATGAGAAGTATCCTGAGATAGTAATAGAAGCTTGGAATTCAATGTTGTTCTCAAGTCCGGGGAACAAGTCCCCTTATAAAGAATTTGCGGGGGATATCCACGGGTAGATCATTATAACGCCATCTGGACCAAGTCTGACTCTGGTGCAAATATGAGACCAAAGTTCTAACCAACCATTGTCGCGATCTTCATTGAAATCACGTAAAATAACGTAAAACCATGGGATTCTAGACTCGAATTTGTTCATAAAACGTAAGGAACGTCTGAATCGAGTTAGTATGTCCCCGAAGCAAACCGAGTTTTTAGGTAATATCCCGCAAATGGATCAAGTGACCCCTGGGAAACGTTTACGTTTCTCGTCTTTAATTAGCTACTCTATTTACAGAAATTGCAATGAAGTCATTGCCACAGGAGGCTTGAGGCATTATTATCCAATTCGTTGCTCGGCCCGAACGTTCCCCGCATTTTTCGCCATTTCGCTCTTCTCAGGTGACCTAAGCAAACTCAACAAACAAAGCACGTCAACCACATGATTTGAGAATTTTCTCAACATTTCCCCTTACCTATACATAGAAAAAAAAGGAGAGAGCTTGGCATTTTGTCTGAACCAGTAAGCGATCGCCAAACATGCTCGTGAGCTCGTCAAACACGCTCGTGAGCTTGCAAAAACAGCCATTGAACAGAGATTTTTTTTCGGTGGCGAGGATGGTCATAGTTCGGAGGGAAATGACGATTCATCAACCCCCTTTCCCGGTTCCCAAGCTTGGTCAGGACCGGATAGCCTGGAATTATTTACAGATCGGGAAAATTGTTCCGCCTTCAGTCCGGTACATTATTGTAAAGCTACTTTTTTTATGTACATAGCTCTCAAAGATCTAATTGCCACACATTATTTTTTTATAGAATATTTTGTAGAGAATTACTATTTCTGTATCATGAACTATGCGAACTATCTATAGAATTGGGGCGATACTAATGTGTTCATAGGTACCCTCATTGCGAATTATATTGCGGGCAGAATCTGGCCAGGCGGTAATAGACTGCCGTGCTCCCGCCAAGCCTGTGAAATGCCTATTCGGGTAAAGTAAGAAACCTCAGCATCGTGACTTGTTGTCACCATTGAGGCTGCCGAGGAAGAGAGCACAGATCTTTTAGCTCCAAGTTTTATTTTTCATTTAAAACAACCTCCCTTTCTTCTCTCTTGCATACCCTACCTCTTCGTTGATATACCCTTTCATAATTCAATCTACTGATACTTTATCAAAATATCACCATCTTTACAAGGCATGGATGTACCTTCTCACAGTGGCTGAGTCACAGGAGGTTTCCAAGCCCAAGCTCACTGATCTGGCCCCTCTTAGCGTGGAACCAATTGGGAGCTCTGGAACCAAATGATGGAATTCACTTTCAACGCCAAGGCCTTCCATACTGGGAGGGTCACTTGGGCCAAGCCTTGGCCTCAGATCTGATGATCTCAGTCACTACAAGATACATCTCATCGTTAAAGACCTTTAATGGGTCTTACCTAGACACATGTCCTAGCAGTCATCGCTGTGATAGGAGAAGATTGGAACATACACATCATTCTGCAGAAAATGTGCAGAAACACGTAGCCTTATGAAATCCCTCACTGCAGGTTCGACAGCTCACTTTAGATGAGCCCTCCCGAGGTCCCGAGGCCCGAGATCATATTTTGCTTACATGAGATACTCTTGGCTTCAGAACCAGAACTGCCAATATTTCTCTACTTCCGTGAGAATAACAAGCCCTGCTTGCTACCCTTGGATATATGTATGTGTATGGAACCAAATGCCCCGCTTGGGGTTGGGGTTCAATGTTGTTAGCTCAACTTCTTTTCCCAGAGTTGTGGGACATTACATTCACCAGGACTTGCTGATCGTGGTAAACCGACTTACACGACAGCATACACTGGGACCTCCGAAATATTGGGCCAAACCAAAGTACCTAGATAAATCTCCCTATATACTGCCTTCTATATTCTGCCAGTTCTACTAGTCTAAAACTCCGATATAGTTAGCTTCTATACACGTGATATAAGGCTGTGATGCTGGTAGAAAAGTTATACAAAATTCACTTGCACAAATGAAGCCTTTTCGCTTTTTTTTTACCGTCGGCCTATTTAAACAGAATGATATCTGAGAAGACTATTAAATATACCACTAAGTACAGACCACCGTATTCTAGCTTGATATTCAGGAGTTATCTGCGCAACCTCGTGGCAAAATGCCAAATCCATTCTGCCCAATTATATTCTTACACTGATAGACAGCAGTCATTCTAGAACGTTGAGTTTGATGTTCTTCCTACTCGATCTAGCTATTATGGGAGGTTCCAGGATGTTACTGTTGATAAATATCAATTACATCTGACAATAGGCCAAAGAGGAGAGAAGAAGGAGTGATTCTCTACCACAAGCAGAAGCTCATTAAGTAATACATAGTGTTGGATGATCTCATCTCCCATTGTTTCCAAGGTTGCTTGCATGCTAAGCAGCTTGTTTGTCAGAAGCAGGGTAAAGCTATACCCTGCTTATTGCTAAATTGAACAATAATGATTGTTCTGCCTCTTCCTCCACTTTGCCAGTAACCGTATAGATAACTAAGTAACTCGTAGCCCGGGGGAGTTTTCAATTATCCTGGTGGTACGGGCGATTGTTGACCCAGGTCTTGCCAGTAGTCCAATCCCACCAAAGGCCGCTAGCCCGAATCCCGTTGTTGATATACTGATTCCCACAGCCTGAAAGGAACGGCTTGTCAAAGTCGTCCTTGAAGTTGGCGGCCTGGTAGAACTGTACTGTCTTGTCAGGGTCGCCTTCACAGATCGGCCCGCACCAGTATGGGCGTTCGTCCCATCCGTAAGGATGGAGGATGTCCTCCTTCCTAGAGTATTTCCAGCTAGGGTCGGCAATGGGTTTACTGATATCGCACACGGGGATAGTCCAGAGGCCTTCCATGGTCGCACCCTCCGTGTAAATGTTTGTGTCCTTTGCAAGCATACCACCAATGTGATCGGTAAAGGTCGACTGGGTGTAGTTGTTTCCAGCAGCCCTCCAGGACTTGAGAGAAGAAGTGATGGCATCCTATAGATAGGTTAGTATATCGGGTGTGCTATACAAGTTTCTGGATCACATACCTGTGGCTTGAGCTTCTTCCAGAATGGCCCGCTACCACTCTCTTGTTCCAACCGAGGAGATGGGCCCATGCGGTCAGATCCCCAGGGCCTAGAAACCCAGCCCTGGCGCTTCCTTGTTGACCCGGCCTCCTTCTGCCAGAAGTATAGGTACCAGGCACGGCCATCCTCACAGATATAATTGTCGTCGGGTGGAGATATACCTGAGCCGAAGCCCTGGCCGTCGCCGCATGCTCCACCGCCGATAATGAACACACGTTGCATGCGCCACATAGAGTTGATCATCATTGACTGCATAACAGAGATCAGCAAATCCTGAGCTTGGCCCTTCTGCAGTCCCGGATAGTTGACCCAGGCTCCACCCTGAAGGTACTTGCGGATATCATCGCTAGATGGTCCGTATCCATGACCGTACATCAACTCGTTGTTGATGCCAATGAATGATTTAGCAATCGCAGCTACTGCTTGCGCCATCATGTGGCCGAGGTTGCTCTGAGTAACGTCGGTCGAGTCTCTACACAGAGGTAGGTTAGTAATAGTAAGAGTCAGAGATCTCTCTCTCCGACACAGAGGAACTTACATCGAGGAAAGAGCATTATTGCCTGCATTCACTCCACCAGTAACTAAGGCCGAAGACGCTGCCGCAATGGCGGGGAAAGCACCGAGGGTGAAAACAGGCGCAGCCAAACCACCGGCAATAAAGGCAACCACAGTAGAGAGGATATTCAGGAGCTGCTTCAAGAGCGTTCCATCCCAGTTATTCTCGTCGTACCAGAAGTTGTTCACGATCTCATCGTTCTCCATAGCCGCGACGACGGCAGGGATATTGAACGACTGCTCTAGACCGACGAAGAAGCCGTGGATATTGTTGAGCGCCTGCAGCACATAGTACGCCTCCTCGGTGTTGTTACCGAGGGAGTTAAGCTTGGTATTGTCACAAATGGGGATATCGCAGTTTCCATCGTTGCCGTTGTTCTGGCACGACCAGCCGGGCTGGCCTAGTGCGTACTGACCGAAAGCACCGGCGAAACCGTGTGGATTGCTCGCCCGCCTCTCAGCATTCACGGTCCACCATTTGTCAAGCCAGGCGTCGGTATCGGCCTGGTTCCATTTATCGACGCTGGGGTTCTCCGTGTACTGCGAAACTGGGCCACAGGGGTCCTGCAGCTGTCGGCGGAGGTTTGCGAAGTATGAGGGGCCATGGGGGACAGCGGTTGCCTGGAGGACAACCGCTGCCCATGCACTCATAGAGAGCAAACGAGATGCGAAAATCATCTCACTGTAGCACACTGGGATTGTAGCTCTGACAAGTTCTGATGCGAAAAATGAGTCTTCTAGTCATTTCGAAGGTATATATATGTCTTGATGACTGCCGCTATCAAGAATCAGGAAAGTGGATTTGGCATACGGTCGATAATCTCCTTGTTCTTTGGCAGGCTATACGAAATATGCAGCAAAATTAGCATTTTCCAAAAGGGCACATTGTGCAAGGATGAGCAAGAAAGTATGCCAATCATATGCTTTTCTGATGCAGCTTAGAATATGAATAGAGTGCTGTCTCGGGAGATCCACTCTCCATTTTATATTCTTCATGCTCAATAATCTCTGTCTTACGTACGTAGAATCGGGGCCTAGGTACTTAGTAGTGGTGGTTAATCGCCATTACAGTCAACCTTGTTAACTCCAATTTTAGCTAGATACCGAGGTACTTATTCAGGGATGTATAACATCGTTCAGAGCATATCAAATTACAGAACCTCGACAAAGTTGTGGGAGGTGCCTCGGTTAAACAGATTTTAGAGGCGTCGTCGATGGTACCAATTTCGTCCAGTTCTGTCTAAGCTAACCTCTTAATGTCCCGTGGTGGAGGATCTATTTTGCAGCGGTTTTGGAAGGTCGGCATGAACCAGCCGATTGGCCGATTGTATCTAGAAAAATACCTCCAATATATAGAAAGAAATAGGGGCCAAAAGACACTGTAGAAGAGAAATCATGCGAAGCAGGGGGTTGAATGTTCTTCTTACTGGTCCGGACCATATGTGTTTGGATTGAAGGATAAATTTACTGCCCGGGTTCTCAATACTTATAGAGATGTAACGATACTCTTAAGAACTATGTACAGGTCACCAATTGAATTCTGAAAGCTTCTCGATCATGGTTTCAGCCCCACAAGGTATGACTGCTTATCTCTTCCTAGGGCCAATCTATGTTCTTAACAATAGGTATGACAACAGGTAGATATTAGTATAAAACTATGTGACTGGCTAGTTAAACCCCGCAGGAGGATCCAACCCGTCGTAAGTGCGGCTTTAAAAAAAAACTCTGAACCCTAACACAACCTGAGAATATGATTTTCCTAATTCGGTTATGCCAAGACTCAAAATCTGCTGATTCACTACAACAATTACCTTAATCAATATGTAAATTCCCGATGTTGTTTGCACTGTCGAGGTTGATCTATGGGCCGGAAGCACAAAGAAAACTCACTCATACTCAAGGAAGCGATGCAGCAGCCGTATCGCATGCGAACTAAGCGAATTAAGATATATACCTGGAAGAATCTTCAACATCACTTGTACTTGCATCAATGCAAATAAACGCTCGGCAAATAATGCTCTATAATATTATCCTTGTTAAGTGCCGCTAAATTCCAATCGTGCACAAAGTTATACATACTCCATCACTCTAATGTCAAGTGAGCTTGTAGTAGGATACATTTATTCCACTCACTGCTCTCATGGCGTAGAAAATGGGACCTTCTGTGGCTGTTTCTTAGAGGAAATATCAGTACAGAATAGCCTATGCCAAGGGTTGGTTCTCAAAAACTACTCTGCAGAATGTCAGTAATTCCAGTCCGGATCGTCGACTTCCAGATCGGCGTATAAATCCTATCCCATCTCTTCAGTTCAGAAGAAAGGAAGAGGTTGGTCATACAATCACAATGATATCGGAGCCATTGGTGCCGTATCGTCTGACCTTTGAGTGGTGGCTAAAGGGTAGAGTATAATCATATGCAAAATAATGGCCTTTAGGACCTTCAGTTGATCGGCTAGGAAAGGAAAGGCGGCAAGAGGGCAGTTTCTGAATGACATGAAGTCAAAAAAACACAAAAACATACAACAGTGAGGATTCGCTGGTGGTCACCCACCCAACTACTAACTCACCGGCGTGTGGCTTAAGTACGGCTGAGCGGACGGGAAGCCCTGTTTTCCACACCCTATGGTCGTATGTGCTTGATTGTGTATGGAAGAGGATTATAGAGTAGAGTTCGTTCGGAATCAATTAGTCGTTCGTGATAGGGGACGATAACAGGGCGCAGAGTGAAGAATATGCATTGGGTGGCTAAGGCTGGGGAAGGAAGTAAAAGAGAGAGTGCGAGAGAGAAGAAACACTAAGAGAGAGGAAGGACGAAAAAACAGGCATTGTTGGCCTGGATAAACAGGCAACAACATAGGTCACATGACCGAGGCTCCATCAGTTCGGAGTTGTCCAAGCGGGTTGAGAACGGTGCACGTGCGCTATAGATAGGGTGGAAATCAGTGGGAATAACCCAAGCTGCGAGATACACAGCATACATACTCCGTATTGCATGACCTGTTCCACGTCAAAACGGCACTTACCCAACTACCTTACAGGTATATTACTCTATACGGTTAATCCTCGTGGATCCTTGAATAATAAGTGGCAAGGAAATCTGTCCTACAGCGAGTGTGGGTAATAAAAGGTAAGAACTGATAACGAACGAATTAAGAACGGGCAGTCCGTAGGGAGTCGTACAAACGGGGTAAAAGGCGTAGCTGAAACGAGATTTAATATATATACCGGGGCTGATAAAACGGAAATACTATGTTCCATATAAGCCATATACTAACAGCTTATTAAATTTGACCTGATTGGTTCATTTCGAGATCCAACTAACCAAATCGTGGACAAGGATGCGGGAAAATTACAGCAAATTTTACCACTAGACAACAAAAAGCCTCGGTTTCTATTTAGTGCCCAGGGCCATATCCTAGTCTGCCAACGCCCCACCCCCCAGGGGATGTCGATTTCTCAGGACTGCTACATGTGTATATGTACTATTGTCTCCATATCATTCATCAGGCCACTCCTTTCGGTCCAAAAGAATCCGGGCCAGGCTCTTTCATCCATCCTCGGCATCTTGTAGGTTCTACAAGTGTGAGGGGAGCTAATACTTGTGTATGGATCGATTAGAATCGACTTGTACCCAAGGGCATTTAGAACAATCTGGGCCTATAACTGTGGGAAATGATACAGCCAATTTTACCACTAGACCACAAGAAAAAGCCTCGGTTCCTGTTTATGGCCTAGCGGGGGGCCATATCCTAGTCTGATCTGAGACTGCTTATTGACTTAGGGCCCATGGGAGATCATTGAGTTATGGGAGAGGGGCCACATAAAATCGACAATTCCCAGTCTTATTCTTTTTTTCTTACTTGGTCCTCTCTCTCATAAACTTCATAATGAGCGAATTACCTGACTACGTGCTTGATTCAGACGCGGTCCTTAAGGACATCAGTGCAGCCTGGCGCCATGGCAATCCTCCGGATTACTCTAAGACAAGAGCCTTTTATGAAAAAAGTACCCCTCCTCTTGTTCCTAGTCATCTCAATTCTATTACTTACATCATATAGCTAAGACAAAGACCCACGAACCCGGCAGTCTCCCTTTCCTGGTTGAGAATCTCGTGAAGAATTGGGAAATCGAAGCCTCCTTCAAGACAAACCTATCCGACTGGCGTACCATAGATCACGATGTATACACAGTTTCCGTGAATGGTGGTGAACGACGTACAGGTCACCATATGTTAGAAGTGGGGACTTATAACGCTCTCTTGACCGCGAGCCAGTATTACGATCCTGCACACAACGATTTCAACGATTCGCACAAGTCATTCAAGCGGATGATGCCAACGTTTGCTTGGGAGGTTCTTGAAGTATACTCTGGTCCTCCCGTTGTTGCCTTCCGGTGGAGACATTGGGGAGAGATGAAGAATGATTACGTGGGAAACAACAGGTATCTTGTCACTGCTTTCCATGATTATTTGGTTACATGCTTACAATCCTAGCTCCGGTGAAAAGGTCAAGATTGAAGCGCACGGTGGCCCGATTGATATTGAAGGAGTTGTAGTAGCCAAGGTCAACGATAAACTACAGGTACAGAGTCTTGATATCTGGTATGACCCTATGGCGATGTTTCGCCAAATTAGCAAAGAGGGCCAGATAAGCAGCGAGGGTAGCGGTAGCGGGTGTCCATTTGTGCAGGGTTAGAAACTTAGCCAAACCTGTTCAGTTATAGAAATTGTTACACAGAGACGCGGATAATCGTCGCGGAATTGGAAAACCTTCGCGTGTGCCAGTAACTAAGAGTGACACGTTAATAGTGCTATGTGCATAGCTGTATAAGGAGGTAGGCTCGGTTCTTAGGTAGGGACCCGTATAGCGTTCTCGTGTGCTTGTATATGGCTGGCAGCGTATCCTACGAAGGTGACCGCCATTTTAGGACTACTAATTCTCTTCCTGATTGGGTGTATTTTCCTTTCCAAATAATATTCTTCTTCCATGATATATTCGAATGTTTGGCACAAGAATTCACTAGATCAGAAGGAACAGGATGGGAGGGTAGCTATCCAAGGGTCAGGAAGCAGACGGAGAGGATAGTACAGCTTTTACTGCTATTAACCGATGACCAGGGAAGACAAGGAGGACAGGAGGAGGGGTAAACTAAATACAGTCCTGGTTACAAAATATGGCCACTACAATCTCCATAAGCGTTGAACTTTCTGGCGTAGTGGGCGCTAAGCTCGCGGTGACAGATGATACTATCTTGGTGTTCTTTTTTTGATATATTGATGGAATGTGTACTTAGTACTCCGTACAGATTGGCGGATATTTTGTATGCGGGGTAGCCCCTGTACGCCTTGGCTTGGCCCTCTAGCCTTGGAAGTTTAGAAGTGGACTTCGATAACCAGAACAGACCCTTGCGAAATCAGGTCTGACGTGAGCCTCTTTGCCATTGGAGCCATCTTATCACAAAACGGTCACATCACCATTATCATCTCCCGGTCGCCGACAAAAGGAGAAAGCAATTAGACTGAAAGCGAGCTGCATGGGGTCGTATATGCATTATATTATGTTACGCAAGCTGATCTGATATCCAACAGTCTCAGCCTCAACAGGCTGCATTTGGTAGTAACTCAGCTCAGCCATGCTGCAGCGCAGCCTTGGATAATTTTGATTGGTCCGCAAGGCTCTCATTTATGTAGCTCGGGCGCAGCTCAACCTTATTAAAGAGAGGGGAAGTGCAACGGCTCAATGGTGGTAGTTGAAGAATTTCCTACGTTCTTTTTTTTCTTTTCCAATTTGAACCTCTACAAGAACGACAACACACATCAACCCATCACTTTACCCACCTGCATATCAATATGAAACCTGCAATACACAAAACACCTGCAAATCTCTCTCATCCAGGTACGAGCCATCAACGGATTCCGAGGGCCAACCCTAGAGAGATCCATGATAGCGGTGTTCTATCGGCTATTATCAGCTTTGTCGAGCACAACCGCCAACAGATCTGGCACCAAACTGGCATGAAAGGCGGCTGGGAAGGCTGGCTGCAGGCCGAACTGGCCAGAGTCATTGCCCACTCGAGTCCATATCTTGTTGAAAGAGAACAACACGTATTCCAAAACCCAAGCCAGTCCATCGACCTTTGGTGCAAACATCGCACGGAATTTTACGATCCAAAAACCAACCCCCACCCATCCCAGCGCCACAAGAGAATTGGTGTCGAGTTGAAATGCGGAGGAGAACATCAGGATTTCTTTAGCAACATCGTGGCAAGCTTTCAGGGGCGAGTGATAGCCGACATAAACAAAATTATGGCGGGGATAAACCCTCATGTAACTGGCCAGTCCGGAGCTCGGGTATATGCAGTCGGTGTTACCGCCGATGTCGATGATTTGTATGGGTATGAAAGCGTCGCGAGAACTGGAACGCAGGCTCGTTACTGGCAATCGCCGCCGTTGCAAAACACAGACTCTCTTTACGTGATATGGTGGCACCGAGATTTCCACTAGGATTGAAATAGGATCCTCAAATGTCTGACCTATAGCTTCCTTTGAGAGATATGGCTGCGATGCGAACGAATTATGGGTCATCTTTTCTTCGACGTCTAAATCTGATCGCTGAGCAGGTACCGTTGCATGTCAAATCTTCACTTCTACCATTCAATATATTTAGTATTAGCTATCTACTACTAGTATTACCTATTGATTACTACGAAATTAATATTACAAACTAGTAATAACTAGTATTTACTTCAGAGCGTTAATGTACCTTCGCTGGCGATAAGCGGGTTGACCAGGTCGCCAGGTGAAAAAAAGAAAAGGAATTTAATTCCAGTCCTTACTAATCATAACTAGTACTACGCCTATTATTTGGAGGACTCGAGTCCGTAGTCCTTACCACTAGGAACAACCGATGGTATGACCTAGTAACCTAGAGATACTCGCCAGGTTAGCGAATTTACCTCACTAGGTCACCCCCAATTCGTAGGGATAAATTACAGATAAGGACTATTGTTCAGACGATTTAAATCACACTATCATATATATCACAAGAGGAGGATTTCAAACGCCCTCGACAAACAGTTTACATAGAATAGTATAGTTGAGCTTAGTTCTTCAAGCGAAACGAGATCTTCTGTCTCAGGGAAATATATTCAATGCCAAATCTATAAACTCTTTTGTAGATACAGGAAATCAGGAAGTAGATAAATCTATCTATCGGACATAGCTGCCGAAACCAACACCTTTTATTCCTTCTTTTTCGAAGATGGTTTGGGGATCTTTCGCGTCCGACGACGTAGCATCTCCACTCGCTCTTCCATGGTCCAGTTGACTTGATCGCCGATGGGGATTAGACATTTAGCCAGGTATTCGTAGTTTTTACGAAGCAAATTCACAGTAATGAAGATATAATCGACGTTTCGGAAGACCAGAGCGTTTTCCTTCGCATAGCGATCCTTTTGCTTAAGGAAAGCGACAGGATGATCTCTCCAGTGGCGGCGCGGGTTCAGATGGTGAGAAGTGTGGTAACCATCATTGAAAGAGAATCGGTTACTCTGGTATCTTCGTCAGTCTCGGTTCCTGATATTAAGCAGGTTTATAGAAACTCACCGGAACATCAATTAGTGTAATACTAGACAGGTAATCCGAATCAGGATCGGCCGGATCCACCAAAGCATGCTGGCCCCAGTTACCGACCATCAAACCCACGCGCATGACGGTGAGAGGAAGAATGAACACGAACATGGTAGCGCGTGCATTGACGTAGTTGTAGAGCATATAGAGGGCAACGTAGTTACCTACTTCCCAGAAAGCACATTTGACCGCGTACTTGAACTGTCCCTTTCTCCAAAAGTACATTGGGAGTTCTAGCCAAATGAAAAACAGGAACCGGCCAACATAGGTCAAGAAGTCTGGAATACTGTCACGGTCGTAGTACATCGTTGTGCTCAGATCGTCCCCACCGTTACCCTCAACGTGGTGGTGCTTGATGTGGTGGTAGTAGTAAGAGTTCCATGTGTGTCCGTGCATTGGATCTAGCAGGTATGGGAAAAGCATATCAAAGAGATATAATTTTGGGGCCAGGACTCCATTCTGGTGAATGTGCTGGTGTTTCATTAACGTGAAAGCACCGCAATAAAATCCTGACATGAGCCAGTGCAAGATACCATGGAGGTAAGAGAATCGATAATATAGAAGTGCAGCACTTGGAACAATAGTGGTGAAATAAAGTATAAGGTGCGTTAACATGACCACGTCGGTCTGGTATCGCACCATTCCCTTCGCCCAATTGATGTATGGCGTGAGAACATACTTCTGGATGGGGGCGGGTAGCTTGGCCCGTAGCAGCGGGGTATCCCAGAATTGGGAAATGGTGGGATCAAATTCTACATGAGAAGGATCATTGAGATTGTGAAGCTTTTGGACTGTTTCTTCGGTGCTTAGCTTGTCCAATGGCTGTGCACTTTTGTCTGCAGGTTTGTTAGTTTGGTGTTTGATCGACAATGCAGGTGTTTTACCATTTGAACTAGGCTCAACGATAGCATCAATCACCAATCGATCTTGGTAGGTGAGCTGAGGATCTGTGTATGTAGAAGGATCCATGATGTCTTAGTTCGGTAGACACCTAGTTTTTGTCAATCCTGTCAAATGTAATCTAATGGGCGTACACTCACCCGTATCCAAGCTGATTATGAAATTTTAAGATGATTTCCGGGATTTCCGAAGTTATAAAGATAATAGATGCCTAGCAAATAAAAGTCTCCTCAGACAACGCGTCAGGGGGCCGAAGAGATTTCTGGAGCTCAAATTGTGGGTCCAAGGAGAAGTTATGTGAAGTGTCAAAACAACATTTTGAACATTTCTAACATTTGATCTAGTATTTTCATGTATATCTTAAGCTATCCGTTGTCATCCGAGAGTAACGGAAGGTCTCGTTGTCAATTAATCATGACTGTGCTATTCCTAGAATTTTTATCCGATTCAGGGGCTCTGCGGGAAATATTTCCCCTGAACATCACTAAATATTTTGTAGCGAAAATTCCATCCAATTGTTTAACATATGTATGTAGAAATATAAAGAAGCATGGTTTTATAGAAAATACTTCTCAATTTTTAGTAAAATAGGATATTTACGATAATTCTACATTTGTTGAGGCCCCTGGCGGAAGATCGTCACTAAAATTAAGCAGTGGGCCCATAGCAATTAAAGGTCTAAAGATAAAGGCTAGATAAGGAGTATACAGAGCATGATTAATAGAATGAAAGAATGGTACTTTGGGGGAATATGAATATTTCGACAATAAAATCTGTCATTATAGTAGACACACGGACTGTAAGCATAAAAGACGAAAGAGAAGACAGAGGGACATCTGGCCTCAATAGCCAAGAGATGCCAAGATGGGGACATTTTTGGCAAACAGCGGAAACTTCCATCTTTTCTTCTTATATGTACAGGATTTTAAAGACCCTGGTGTATAATACCTTGTTTAGTGTATGATGCATACATGTTGTAGTCGGTCTTGTTCTCGAGCAAAAATGAGACAAAGAGACTGACTTTCCTTGGATATGGAAAAGAGATATCAATATGGTTGATTCATTGGGGAAAAGAAATAGAGGAAGAGAGGAAGTCCTGACAAACAAAACATCCATGGATGTCTCATATTGTAGTATCTGCCTATCACGAGCTCTTGTTTGTCCTCTTTCCACGCCCTTCGAAGCTCCAGTCGATTTGTGTAGCCATCCTCACCTTCACCCCTAGCTCATTAGCAAAAGCACGAACCAAGCCAGGGTTCTGTTGGAACCACCGTCCAGCCTGCACTGCATCAATACCAGATTGCACCACCTCCTCAGCCAAAAGGCCCGTTTTGATCCCACCAACAGCCGTTACTAACAGTTTGTCACCAACAGCTTTCTTGACTTCTTGTGCCAAGTGCACTTGGTACGCGGGCCCCGGTTTGATAGCAATCGCAGACTTGGGATGGATGCCACCTGAGCTGACATCAACCAAGTCAACACCACGCTCAGCCAAGAGAGGAGCAAGCTGCACCGATTGAGCAACTGTCCAGCTCTCAGGAAAATCTTTCTTCAGCTCATCATCGTCGCTGAACTCAAACCAATCAGTAGCACTAATCCGGATCAATAGAGGCATTGTTTCTGGGATGCTGGCACGAATTGCCTCGGACACTTCCAGCAGTAGTCTGATCCTGTTCTCGAAACTACCTCCATAACGATCCGTTCTTTTGTTGCTAACAGGGCTCAGAAACTGGTGCAATAGATATCCGTGAGCCGCGTGAATCTCAATCGCATCAAAGTTGGCCTTGACAGCCCTTTTCGCAGCCTCCGCGAAGTCTTTGACCAAGATCTCAATATCTTCTAGCGTAAGGGCCTTGGGAACGGTGTTGATTCCTTCCTCGAAGGGGATTGCCGACGGCGCAACAAGCTCATCCCATCCGCCAACTTCCAAGGCAGCCATAGCGTTGGCACTCAACCAGGGCGCAACGGCACTAGCCTTTCGACCGGCATGAGCTAACTGAATAGCGATCTTTTGACTCTGACTGTGGGCAAACTCGGTGATCCGCTTCAAAGGCTCGATCTGATCATCGTCGTAGAGACCGAGATCTTGAGGCGTGATACGGCCCAGTTTCTGCACGGCGGTGGATTCCATAATTGCCAGCCCTGGTCCGCGCTGGAGAATTCCGCCTAGGTGTGCCAGGTGCCAATCGGTGACTTTGCCATCGTTGTAGTTGGCAGAGTACTGGCATAAGGGAGCAAGGAATAGACGGTTTGGAAGCGTCACACCACGGATGGTGAGAGGGGTGAACAACTTGGTTGACCCCTCTAATTGCGTGCCTGCCGGAGGCTCTTGTGCTGGTGTGTAATAGGAGATGTCCTTGGCGGCGACATTGTTGATTATGCCTGTCATAATGGCAGTGTTTGGATAGTTGAATCGGAAAAAGAAAACTCGGATACAGCGCACTAAGTACAAGACTTAAAACCAATACTCAAAAGAATATATTGAAAGGAATGTAGACTAACTGTATACAATTGCTGATTACAAATTCAGAATTTATGCCCCCACAGGTGATATTATTAATGTGATGATCACGAATCTCCCCTGTAACGGCATCAGATACAGATACATTATTGGATATGAGACATTGAATCCAATCAGATCGTCTTATACTCTGGCCGCAATATCCACTCAACTTATTTTATTTGATTGCCTAACTTACTCCACCACCTATGTCCCTTGAGGGTAATGTTACTCTTGTGAATCAAAGATCAAGAATTATCTCCTGTTAAAACCACCCAGATGTGGGAAACTATGGGCGAAGGAGCTGAGTACGCGGCGTTAGACGCCATTCCGACCAGTTGTATGCCTTATCCAAATAGCTCTCTAACAAAGTCCCCGAAGTCTCACCGATACTCCAAATCCCCCACAAATCTGGCATCTCTTCCATATGAAGCAGGGCTGCTATTATCATGTCCGCTCTTGAGCAGCGAGGGCGGCTATGACATCTTGTCTCCCAATACCTTTTGCAAGATCCAGGACAGTTTCGCCGTTGCCATTCAGAATAGAAAAGTCCACTTTCCGAGTTTCAATGAGCAACTGTATGATATGCAAGTATCCTCTTTGTGCAGCATGGAAAACAGCGGTTCTACCCTCGTCGTCCTGCAAATTGACATCAATATCCTCAACTTCCAACAATTTCTCCACAATTTGCCGATCATTAACGGCGATAGCATGCATGAGAGGAGTTTCTTTAAAGATATCCTGTGAATTGACATTTACGTGCGAGGTGCGTAGAAGAGCCTCCACAAGTTGAAATTTACCAATTGCCGCAGCCCAAGCTAGAGGGCTTTTTCCCTTCGTCCAAGTCAGAAGGTCAATTCCTTCTGCCATTTTATCCTGCTCGTACCGTGCCAAGATCAATCGCCTCTTGTTCTGTTGTTCCAGGAGCATGAGTTGTAATCGATGGTCTTGTTCGGCATAGCTTAGTGACATGCTGGGCTCGGGAAGCCATGCTGGGGAGTGTCCCTCGGGTTCTGTGAAAGGGAGTTCTTGTTCTGGGCTAGCTGGATTGCCGGGGAATACAGGTGAGTGTTCATCGGTAGTGTGTGTGTGTAAGACCCTTGCGGGCGGAAATGTCTCGTCCAGGTCAATATCGGAGGATGAAAGGAGGATTGCGAATGCTGGGCTCTCCCATATCCCGGATAGAATGGCGCCCCACAGTGCCGCGTTAGCAAAACCATTGTCAACCCAATATTTTATAAGAGCTTGATCTGTAGATGCTTGGGAGTGTCCCGCCAATGTTTCTTCCGTCACCTCGCTCGGTGGAATCTCCTTGGGTAGGTAGAAGAATTGCTTGACAAAAGAGAAGTTGCGTGAATTGAGACACGATAGTATCGCTCGGTCCCAGATTGCCCTTTCCACTAGCGATTCTGCCACTTCAATAAAAGGCTTCAGAGCCTCCGAGCTTGGATTGTGTTGAAAGAAGTTGCAAAGCAACACCCAAAGTATTGGCTGAGGCATGGATTCGTTCGTTATATCATTATCCAAGATCCATTTTAGACCATTCGTCTCATTCACTCGGATCAATAGCGGCAGAATGGAAATGCGTGCAGCGCCTTGGACGAGGTCGATCACTTGTTTCACAAGAACATCATCACCGAGCCGAAGGACGTTTTGGAATACAGGCTCTAGATGAGCTCTATGGCTATTAATCGGGGACGAATCAAGAGCCTCCTTGGACAGCATATCTGCCATGACCTGGCCCTTTTCAGAGGCGAGAAACTCGGAATTTGCCAGCAGGTAGAGAAAGGCAGGCCAGTCATCTTTGCCACAAATCGTCAACCTTATATCAGGGCGCTCGATCAAAATAGCCAATATTTCCAAGTTGTCTTTCTCAGATGCATTTATCAAGGGCATCTCAATCTCGTCGTCGATCTTGATCCTGCAATTTGCGTCGGCCAAAGGTTTGTTGCCCTCAAGCAATAAATTCACTAACCGAAGGCCAGCGTTGTGATCGGCCTTCGTTGCAAGAAGCAGGGCGTAGTCAAAAAAGATACGATGCAAATAGAGCTTCTCCGAGCGCCTGACGAAGATGAATCTCTCCCATTGTTGAAAAGCTGCAATATCTCGTCTGGGGAATCCTTCGTTTTGGAGAATTTCAAGATCACTGTCTTGCAGGTGCTGATATTCGAATGTTTGAGTTCCGATCAAGAAGTCTGCGATTTCATGAAAGCCCAGTGAGATAGCTGTCTCTAAACAGCGATGTTGCGTTCCCATTCTGCTGTGCGGCCACAGTAGTTTGACAATCTCGGCATACCCTTTTCGAACTGCGAGTTCGAGGATGCTACGTCCTTGCGTTTCCACGCAAGCTCCTTGAGCAATCAAAAGTTCGCATGCATCTAAATAGCCTATCCGTACGGCGTACCATAGAGGAGTTGCCTCATTTCCGTCAAGGGCATTGATATCGCACCCTTCCTGAATTGCAGATTCTATGTCAGCGATGCTGCCGAGTCTCACGGCTTCGTGAAGATCCATTGTTCCAGGTTTGTTTTGATTTGATTTCTGGCATAAGAGCAGGAAATTTGCGGGTGTCTATAAATATTATAAGTGAATACGAAGCGGCTCAAACGATGTGACAGAAGTACAAATACCGGGCGCGTAGGCGATGACATGACTGGGCCAACGACCTCGGGAGAAGGGGGCTGAGCGCCATCAGATAACCCCGCTAGCCGTACATATGTATTTTACATAGCATGGTATTATTTCAAGCATCTTACAATGAATTAAATATACAGATCAAGGTGAAACTTGCATACTAATAATTGATTATTACTAATGAATAGTATTGGTATTACTTACAAAGAGTTTCTGGCGTGCATTGTCACTTATCGCCCGAGCCGGCAAGGCAGTGCATATAGATCGAGCAATAACACAAGATGAAAAGAGCAAAAAAATTAAAACATACAACAGTGAGGATTCGCTGGTGGTCACCCACCCAACTACTAACTCACAGTAGTATTCTTACCGTCGGGTTTTGGTCCAGCCGATTCACTGTATAGCGTCTCACCAACAACAAGATCGTAGAAAGGACCCTTCGACACCGGTCAGCTCAGCTTCCACGTTCATGAATATCGACATCCAGTGTGCCTCCCAGAAAGTCGAATATAGGCCGGACGAGCATGCCGTTCCGAAGTAGCGCATGAATGACACATCACACGCCGTAACGAGTGGGAAGATCCAGAGACTCAACCCAATCATCAAGACTGTCTTCATCATATCTTTTGTATTCGTCTAGTCCGGGAACACTCCTTGCTCGATATGGCGTCATTTGCGATCGAGTTGTAGGGCCTTTTCGATGATACCCTTGCGAGCGCGTCGCACTTCATTAAGCTCACACTCCTCGTCAATCACCTTGTCGTCTCTTCACTTCCCGGGACAAAGATCGAAATATCGATGTTTGAGGATCGTCTGCCAATACAGCGCATACGGGTCTGTGCAGTGCTGGAGCAAGGCTGTCGTAAGTTGAGCGATCTCGGGCTTATCGACAAGTCCGCCACCGCAATCGAACTCCCCCACGACTCCTCGAAGGGGAGGTAATTCAGTTGGGTCAAATTGGAACAGAGAAGGGCTAGTTTTCACATCACCAGCCCAGTCATCTGCACCTCCCGAAAAGGCAGACTCTAGGTTGTTAAATCGTGCATTTAGGTCGACACCGTCAGCTAAAAAAAGCTTAACACAGTCTATGCACTCGTCTCCGATGACCCCTAATCCTCCCCGACTACTTCCCACAACTCAAGAGCCACCGTATCTTGCACTTCAAGTCGTATTGGGATAAGTGTAAAAGAAGAAGAAGAAGAAGAAGAACAGAGCAGAGAAGATCTCCTCCCCACGAACTCTCTTATCATCCTCCTACAAAAGTATATATCAGACGCTCGTAGGGTCGCACGAACTTAAAATCAAGAATCAAGGTGGTGTGGTGTGGAGTGTCTGTAGCGGTGACATACGCCCAATAAACCAATATGAACTTGGCCAATAGTGCCACAGCGGCGGATTTTGTGACCAAGAAGCTTCTGGCCTATACTAAGATATGCAATATGAAGATGGGACAACCACTATTTGCCTGCTACCTATCGATCATTAATAAGCTCGCCTAGGGGGATATGTTACTGTATAACAAACAAATGCAGCTCGACTCAAGGATAGCTTTGGTATCTAAGTAGAGCTTTAGAAGGTTTTCACTCATGATCACCTATAGCTGTATATCAATAGTATTCAACAACCTTACGCAACTAGTATAAATTAGAATTTCCGTTTGAAATCAGCGAATATTCGAGGTCCTCGCTTTCAAGAACAGGTCTACACTATATACTGGTCGACTTGCCTAATTGGGTAAACAAGAGCGCAATTAACTATGTCCTATGCGCGGGGAACCATAAAAGAAACTATTAGTCTTTATATAGACATTAAAGTTACTAAAGTGTTTAAGCCATTTCCCTATCTGCTAAAAGGCTGAGGCAGGGCTGACCTAACTGGGGGTCTACCTCTAGTACAACGATAGGTGCACTTCTAGCCTTCTGGTAAATCGAAACAGTATTGGTAGCAAGGTAAACTTATACGATGTTATAAAGCTATAGACGATAAGGTATAAGGTTTCGAGTCAGGTTAAAGGGACAGCACAGCAATCCAATAATACCAAATGACACGCTACTGACAGATCCTCTGGATCCAACAAGGCGTGAGCTCCAAATCCGTTTCTTGTGGGTTCTGTGGCGGCCGCCCCATCAAAGTCTGGAAATCGATTTCCAGCGCATTCCCAGACACCACTCCATTCCTGAGCCTGGCCGACTTGGTACACTCCAGGACGTGAGTATCCCGGCCCCTGGTGGTAGCCCCAACTCTTCGGTTAATAACCGGGGTCCAAATCTCAATATCTGCATCGTGAGAGTTAGGATTGGCGGAGATAAGGACCACAAGCTGGGTTTGGTGATCCGAGTTGGAGTACCACCAGCGGGCATCCGTCCGTAGCTGAGGGACGGACTCCGATAGGCCGACCTCTAGCACAAGAGAGGGCCAAGGTATGGGTGCTCCGGCGGCTGGTTCCCTTCCAGGAAAGAACGCGGTATCTGCCTCCTTGCTACACACGCGACCAGTCGACCGTCCAGCCCCTCCAAGCCAAAAGTCATAATTGAGGAAGTTCAACCCCATATTACCAAGAGCATTGTTGATCCAGGTATCAAACTGCCTGCTGACTTTCTCATGGTAGTGGTACGGTATGATCTTATATAAGATCTCGTGCTCGTGGTGGAGAATTGTTGCACGCACCCCTTTTGGAGCTTCATGGTGTTCAACAAGCGCCGAAAAAAGATCGGCCGGGATCCGTCGCACCAGAAGGTATTGCGAGCTGGGAGGATCGTCTGACACGAGCTCGTTTTTGAGTTTGTCAAGATATTTCCAAAGCCGGTCGAGAGAGGAGGGTCGGTCGAGGATATAGGCGGTCAGGAGAGTTGTGGGATCGACTCCAAGGTCAATACTCTCGGGGCTGAAGGATGGAAGAGATGAAGCGGGAGATTGGGGGGTGAATGTTACTGGTGAAGTTGCTTTCAGACTCCACATAGACGTTTTAGCTTTTGAGGAGCTACTGGACTCAGAGCTTTGGGCCTCACGGTGGGATCGAAGATTGGTCGGGAATGAATCGGCGTTGCCAGAAGGCATAGTGGAATAGGAGGTGGGAGGTGCAGAGTTGGATTGGTGAGAAGTCTGAGAAGTTCGATAGGGCGCGAAGGAGGGACGAGTTTCCATCTCGGTCGTTCCTTCCTCTTGTGCACGCGCTGCTGGATGACCCGTGTTGGAAGAGCACATGATGGCTAATTTGAAGGAGAGTCCAAAAGGAAAAGAAGAACGGAGAGAAGATATCACTGATCGAAATGAGATGGAAATAAAGATCAAAATAGGCCTTAGGATACCTGTAGAGCGTAGTGCACCATAGCACCATGTATAGATAGGATCCATGATTTAAACTAAGCCTGTTTAGGACACTTACAAAGGCGGGTCTGCCGATCAATGACTCAGCCTCGAAGTGTACCTACCTACCTAGGTAGGCGGTATGTTTACACTAGATGACTCGCCACAGCCATGTGCCAGCTCGGATGAATCTTCATAAAGTAAATTGTGAAACTCGAGTTCTCTAGATATGAGTCGCGTGGCATTAGGAAGATAAAGAATAAGCACAGAAGATCTTGTATAACAAAAGGAGGGGAGGAACATCAAATGTAATATGAATGGTGTGAAGATGTGCTTGTCTAGCTGTATTCAAAAACGGGTTCTTGGGTATAATATTGGAGGACTCTACCTTCAGAGTGGTTGATTCATGATCCATTCAGAGCCATCAGGTTGAGGGCCATCCAGCCATTCCTGGGCTAGTGACAAATCGTAATCTAGCCCCGGAATGGCAGCAAATTCACCTAGCTCATTGGGGAAAGATGAGAAAAATCCATCAAAAGAAGGAACAGAATTGGGCGAGCGCTGTTCATAGGGCATGTCCAAATTCGTGGAGACTAGGACATCACTACCATCCACCGGATCACTTCGCCAAAGTCTGGCCCATTCTGTGAATTGATCATAACCTGTTGTATGATCTGTCTCACCACTCTGCTCCGCCATGGTATAATTATGCAATCGTTGTCTTGCCCGTTCAAGGGCTTCGATCACAGCCACCTCAGATCGCGCGGATTCCAGCCCGGGACAGATCTGACGGATAAGCCCCATGCCTTGAGTCAAGACACTGGATATCCTGGTAGTTGGTTCGTTGATACTGTGGGCAATGAGCGCCAATAAAGCAACGCGACACCCATTGAATTCGGTGTACGACACACGCGCGAGGCCGACAGTGTCCTGTAAAAGCTGACAAAGCTCGATCACTCGAAGTGCCGCATGAAGTGAGTCACGTCGAAGAGTGTTCACAATATCTGAGACCTCATGAACAGTCGAGACCGAGTCCAGGTTGAATGACCCAGGTGTTGCTTGGGATATAATGAAAGGACGGCCCATGTAGATCAAGGTTGTCGTGTAATAGATTTCAAGGTGCACATTGCAACGGAAGTATGTTCCAGTAGGATTGAGATCTCGGCAGTGGGTTTCAGTGGGAAGACTTTCCCACCATGCGCTTAGTTGATCGCGGGTTGCGGCAAGTCTCCGAATATACTTCTTCTTTCTGGCTCTCTGGCAACGCCGGAGAGACCTCATCGCGTCCGCCGCTTTTGCCAAATGATTTGTTAAGACAATCGTAGCGGTGAAACTGGGTAGGTTGGTTAATTGGTCGCCTGATCTTAGGGAGGGAAGATCGACAGGCATGGGGGTATCGATTTCGGCAGGAGACACAGACCCAGGACGGCCATGTAGAATACTAATGCGACTATTCGGGCTGTTAAAACATTTTGGACGCGATATCTGGAGATGCCAGGCTATCTGTGGCATTCTTACCTTTCCAGCGAATATGCTGACCACCAAAGTCGATTTCGCACCTCAATAATCTCTGGGGCGAGGTTGTCTTCCAATAGCTTCCGATGCATGCCATTTTGAATTGCCATCTTAATTGCAAGTCCATAGTAAACGTATGCCAACCCTGCCGTATCGATTGGCAAAGTATACACACCCAGAAGTAAGAATGCCTGGACAGTCTCCACACTTGCAACCGTCACAAGATCGGGAATGAGTCGACACGAAAACCGATAGAGCTCCAATCCTATTTGGTCATCAGGACTAGTTTCAGTGGTAGACGCACTGCTACCAGGTGTCGATTTGGTCTGCATATGGGCAAACTGTGTGCCAACTGCAAAAGTCATGAGAAGAGTGCATATCCAACCAGCATCATTGATCGACAGTGGGTGCTCAGTAGTATAGTAGAAGTCCAGTTTCTCGCGGAAAGTAGCTTCGTGAAAGTAAAAATAATTGGTTTGGCTGAATTTCAAAAAAGCGCTTGTCAAGAATTCGGCGATATGTCTTGGGGGAAGGTATCTTTTTGCAACAGCAACACAAGAGCCAGGTGACTGCAGAGCAGTAGCACGAAAGAAACCCTCGGCCTGATCGACGCTCTTGATTCTCTTAATTAGTATAATATACCACAGATTACAAACTCATTGCTGCCAAGTTATGATGGGACTAACTAGGCGTACCTTGCTTTGCCCTGTCCTTTCCCCAATACTTTGCAGTCGTCGTCCGAGCATTCTAGAGAAGTTCCAATGGGATAGCTCCCCCGAATAATCTGTGGAGTACTGTGAGCTAGGTAGAGATCTAACTAAAGATAGCCACATACGCATTGTGTTAGTTGAAAGGGGATCTATAGAGTAGTCATTTGTCGGGGTGGCATCGTTTGCATGAATTGAATCATCATCCGACAGTTCCTGGCCCTGAGCTTGATCTAGAGTATCTGCAATTTTCTGGAGGTTGGTGGTCTCGAAGGAGACATCACCTAAGAAGTGAGTGATGATTCGTTTCATATGAAGTTCGTTGGCATGCGGTTTTGACGGCTGCCCATCACTTTCACAAACGTCAGTTATTGATTATACACGGAGCAAATTTCTTGATAGAGGCTTACCTAGATGGGCCATTCTGTACTGCCGGTGTTTTCCGAGGCCTGGTACTCTCAAACCGGCATGCCCTTTGATGCTGTTGACATCGAGCACAAGGATTGCCGCCTCCGCCTTTTCAGCTGGATTAGTCACTCACTATGCAAAGTTGATCACAGGTTCATACATTTTTCTTTTTGCTGGCGACAAGGCAAGCATCTGAGGCGGCGACAGTTAGCCCCATTGGATGACTCGATCAATACAGGGCATGTTCTTACGCTTGTGCCGCTCTCTTTCGCAGTGATTCGGGTACACGGGGTCGCCTTTGTCTGCCCTTGAGAATCTTGGTGCTTGGCTCAGTCATTGCAATATAAGGCAAGAACCTTGATGTTTCAGGCACTTCAAACCAAGGTGGTGGGGAACAACGCTATCATTGTGGTGTTGATTGCTGGAAATTTGGCCTTAGGCATAAATGACGTAAGCGATTTTTGATAACTAATCCATAGATAACTAAGCGATAAGCGATAACTAGTTAACCTTCAGACAACAGACAACAACCTTGAGAGAACGTCTTGACGAAGAAATGTACAGCTTCAAAATCGAAATCGGGTTCTCATCAGTGAAATAGGCAAGAAGGAGGCTTCAATTATATCTGTGTGCTTGCTTTCTATATATTTGAGAGGCTACTGGTAAAAGTTGGAATATACAAGCCAGATTTTGCCCTGATTTATGTCAAGATCAATAATCGTGCCAAGTGTCGGCACGATTATATCTCTATTTATCGTCTGATCTGCCTTGCATTTGAGTCGCAAGCACAAATGAGGTGTCCTCTGGGGTCAACGCGGGTACGTGTACCCGGGTCGGGAGTCTGAAAAGGTCCGAATACCCCAACATTGCAATATAATAGCATGACTCTTGCTTGAGGACTATCGCAGCATACTCAATACAGCTTCATACCTAGTTCTTTTCTTTGTACGTCTCTATGGAGGGAGGATTCCACGAAGGTGGCTTTACGCCACTGCGGCCGCTGGGTAAGGATACCTACTTCCTTAAATCTACAACTGCTGATAGTCAGTAGGACATGCCGAAAAATATTCAACAACGCGGAGCTCCTTGGCGATTTATCTCAACGTGGGTCTGACAGCTCTCTATAAGCGACCAGACGGAGTCCCCGTGAAACCGGCCCTCTTGCACGCTCTCTCGACGCTCATCTCGAAGCACCCTATTCTTTCGGCCATTCCAGTTGCTACTGATACACCAAATCCGTATTTTGTCCGTCTTCCTAAGATTATACTAAATGAGGTTGTGACTTTTATAAAGCACGATGTGACTTCCCCGAGCTCGGATTGGAGCGAAACACTCGACAAGGTCCTTGAGGAGGAACACAATCACCCCTTTGAGGTCAAGCCAAACACGACCCTTCCATTCTGGAGATTCTGCGTCCTAGAGAGCAGCAATTGCCCTGAAAGCTTTGGCCTTGTGTTCATGTTTCACCATTCACTTATGGATACCAAGAGCGCTCTATCATTACACGACGAACTGGAAGGCTACATGGCTCAATACTCCGGTCCTGTGCCAAGCGATACAGTTTATAGTCCTTCTCTTGACCTTATCCCTTCGCTAGAGGACTTGTACGGACTCCCCGTTTCCCAGAAATTCTTGCAATCCCAAGAAAGCTATACCGAGCCATCTCCCGATAGCTGGACGGGTGCTGTCCAGTTCAGACCTGTGAAGACTCGTTTTGCTTCTTTATGGCTATCTGAAGTTGAGACAAAAGGCCTCATTGCACGGAGCAAGAAAGAGCGAACCTCTGTCACGGCCGCGCTTCAAGCACTCATCGCGACCTGCATCTTTTCTGTTCTTCCGTCAACGTATAATACACTACAGGGTGACTGTGCAGTATCACTACGACAGTTTCTCCCAGAGCCAGTCACTGCGAGCACTTTGGGTTGCTATGTTGGATCCACATCCACAACGTACCACAGAAAATCATCTTTTGATTGGGGTGAGGCTCGCCGTACCAAGGTGGATATTGAAAATGCTATGGCACAGAAAGGAAGCGACATGTCCGTTGGATACTTGGCATTCATTCCAAACCAGCATCAGTGGATGCTACAAAAGCTTGGTCGGAAAAGAATGAGCGCCTTTGAATTATCCAACATTGGGTCGAGTTTCTCTTCGCGAGAAGCATCGAAGTTCCAATGCGAGGGTATGTTGTTCAGTCAGAGCTCTAGTGCTTGCAGTGGCGCGATGAAGGTCAGTGCTGTGACAGGGCGGGATGGAAAATTGGCGTTAGGCTTCACCTGGCAACAAGGGGCTGTAGAAGCCGACATGGTTGAAGGGATCAAAAGGGCTCTCAAGGGTGAGATAGAAAGATTAGCAGTGTCTGCTTAGAATTATCGAATGGATGTGAATGTATTTTGTACTTGAAACCTAATTATTGATGCGAATAAACATTTCTCACGTATCCAGACTCTAGTTTGGTAGGTTCTTGCCAACTTCACCTGATACAACGTGCTATATTTGTGAAAGAAAGAATGAATTAAAAATAGCATTTAATATGAAGATATCTCGACTCGTTGGATTAGATCAGTATACATAAGAGAACAATAGGTGAAGAGTGTTGAACCTACATGTTCGTGTAGTAGTATGAAAGACATGAAAGGTATTCTATGTGTAGCGTAATAATGTCAAGAGATAGATAGGCAATAATTTGGTAAAATTATCTTTGAATTTTCTAGAACACTAGAAGTCATCGTGGTTTATCGCGACAAGGGCTTCACCATCGCTATTTCGTCAGTTTCTCGGGTCTCAGTACCCGGAATGGCCCAAATAAAAGGCAACACCCATCTTTCTGCGAGCTTCAACCTGTCCATTCATCTTGTCATTGATTTTATTACAATTAAAATCACATCTTCAGAATGACTCAACTTTCTGACTACCGTGTGCTTTCCTTCGATGTCTACGGCACCCTGGTCGATTGGGAGGGAGGCATTCTCGCCGCATTCCAGCCCACTTTGGACAAGACTAAAGCCGAATTCTCACGCGAGCATCTCCTCACTGTCTACCACGAGCTAGAGCGAGAGCAACAAAGCAAGACTCCCGATATGCCATACTATCAGTTGTTGGCCACTATCTACCCCAAGTTCGCCAAGCGTCTGGGTCTGGATATTCCCTCTCAGGAGGAAAGCAACCGATTTGGAGAGTCAGTTGGCAGTTGGCCCGCGTTTCCAGACACTGTTGATGCTCTCAAGCTTCTTTCCAAGCATTTCAAGTTGGTGGTTTTATCGAATGTTGATCGTGCTTCGTTCGCGAAAACCAATGCAGGCAGCCTAGAGGGCTTCCCCTTCGATTTGATCATCACTGCACAAGATGTGGGCTCTTATAAGCCCGATATTCGCAATTTCGAATACATGCTCAAAACCGTCAAATCGACATTCGACATTGAACCCTCGCAGGTCCTGCAAACGGCCCAGAGTCAGTTCCACGACCATCATCCTGCCAGCAAGATTGGAATCAAGTCTGCCTGGATTGTACGACCTGGTGCCACCATGGGAAATCTGCCAGATAATATTTACGATTGGCGGTTTGATACTATGGGCGACATGGCGAAGGCATACGAGGCCGGACAGTAGATATTGATGTACGAAGTGATGTCTCTCGTTGCTTAGATTTCCAAAGTCACAACCTGTTGTGAGATTAACCATACTGTTTGTTATATACTGTTTGTTAGTCCAGATTCTGAGACCTTTCTTTATTCGATTGTTTGCTATATGTACAGGGGTATCAATACCCTGTCTCTTCATAGACTCCCACGTTGCAGATCTTTCTTCCTTCATCATCTCTCTTTTGCTGCATCCTCAAGAAATCCTTTCTTCATATCCTTGCATTGTGTAGCCGTGGTTTATTACCTAAAATAGAAAGGTGCATTGACGGTTCATCCCAAGTTTGCGGCCTCAGTGCCTCATCCATGGGCTCCAATATCATAGTCTCCATGGATAGTTTGTCGCCTAGTCAGATTCCTCACCCAATAAATGGATTACTTGTACTACTCTAGTTTTACCTCATAATTTATCTCAAATAGTTATCCGCAATCTGGTGATGTTCTTATGGGGTTTGAAACCTCATTGTAAACTCTTGCACAGGAACTATCGATTTTAAACCTTGGAATTGAAATAGAAACGTACCATACTATCCTAAAATTTTCGAGATGTCAGAATCAGTGCGAATGTTTGACAGTTACCGAGAATGATCGCCATCGCCACTCAGAATGGCCGGGTACATGTACCCGAGTCCAGCATCCAACTATGAAAACAGGAACCAAACGCGGGCTTGTACTTCATTAAAATTTTCACCTAGTGTTCCACTGTATCCTAATATTTACCAAAATTGTAACGGAATACCAGCCGAGTATATGGCTGTCACGGACTTGTATATGAGCCCGGCCCGAGTCCACCGGCATTACCAAAGAACCTGGCAGGTAGCAACGGGATAAAATAGATCTCTAATGTAGATTATAAATACAATTAGGATATACATTTTCCTCGTTCGATACAAGGCATCTAGCACCTTCCTCCTACGTAGATGCTGCATGCGTCTCGCCGGTCTTCACCTTCCGCGGCTTTCACTTCGCCAATCAACCATACGGACGATCACCATGACTCATACTGTGCCACAAGTAAGTCAAGGACTTGTTTCTCTATTACTCTGAATTGAGATTCCAATGTTGACCTATTGGTTCAGTTGAAAGACAAGTCTCTGTTCATTGGAAAATGCCACATCAACGGTGAATGGGTTGAGGCCCAATCGGGCAAGACCTTTGAGGTTACTGGTAAGTGAAAACGCAAACAGCTGATGTGGTTAAGGTACTGAAAGTGTATGATTAGATCCGGCCACAAGCAAAGTCATCGGAACATGCCCTGAATTCAACGCAAAAGACACCGAGAAAGCCATCAAGGCTGCTTCGGATGCATTCCCTTTATTTCGCAAGATTGTAGTACGCGAAAGATCCCGACTGCTGAGACGTTGGTATGACCTCATTTTGCAAAACCTGGACGACTTGGCGACTTTGATAACTTGGGAAAATGGGAAACCGTTTGCTGAGGCCCAAGGCGAGGTCAAGTACGCTGCCTCTTTTATTGAATGGTTCAGCGAGGAAGCTCCCCGGTTGTACGGCGATACAATTCCTGTATCCGTTTCGGGTAACCGAGTATTAACAATTAAGGAGCCGGTGGGTGTGTGCGGATTTATCACTCCATGGAATTTCCCTGCAGCTATGATCACTCGTAAGATCGGCCCGGCATTGGCGGCAGGCTGTACAGTTGTCGCAAAAAGCCCCGGGGAGACTCCATTTACTGCTAATGCCCTTGTGGAACTAGCCGTTCGAGCAGGCCTTCCTAATGGTGTGGTAAACGTCGTGACTGCGCTAGAGAATACCGCTGAGGTCGGGTATACTCTCACCACACATTCGGATATCAAGAAGGTCTCGTTTACAGGCTCAACTCGTGTTGGTAAGCTCCTGATGGCACAGGCATCTTCTAGTATGAAGCGGGTGTCTTGGGAACTTGGAGGCAATGCTCCATTTATTGTCTTCGATGATGTGGAAGATATCGATACGGCAGTTGCTGGCGCTCTTGCGTCCAAGTTCCGAGGAACTGGACAGACCTGCGTCTGCGCTAATAGAATCTACGTTCACCGATCCCACTATGAAGCCTTTGCGGACCGACTTGTCAAGCGCATCAAGAACTTCAAGGTCGGACCTGGATTCGCTGAGGGTGTAACCCATGGGCCTCTTATCCACCCCACAGCTGCACAGAAGGTTGCCGATCATGTCGCAGATGCTAAATCCAAAGGTGCTCGTGTCCTTCTGGGCGGAAACCCGATTACTGAGCTCGGTCCCACCTTCTTTCAGCCTACAGTCTTGGCTGACATGACCCATGATATGCGCATTGCTTCTGAAGAAACATTTGGTCCTGTGGCAGCTCTGTTTCCCTTCGATACTGAGGAAGAGGTGATCCGGCTAGCTAATCGCTGCGAGGTTGGCCTGGCAGCGTATATCTTCAGTGATAACGTCAGGAGGGTTTTCCGCGTAGCAGAGGCGCTCGAGGTCGGCATGGTGGGTGCCAACACTGGCTCTATCAGTGATGTTGCCGCTCCGTAAGCATTCCCCAACCCCCTAAATTCTCGATCTAATCACTAGCTAACGCGACCATTGGTTTTGCAGATTTGGTGGCGTCAAGGAGAGCGGTTTTGGCCGCGAAGGAAGCAAATACGGAATTGAGGAGTTTGTGAATATCAAGAGCATCACCTTGGGTGGAATATTCTAAATCGAGTAGTATGAGCGATCGTTCGTGAGATACAAGATTCTGACTTTGTGGTCAATTCTAATATCAACAAGTCCCATTATAAAAGAGATTCTAGATTCCTACACCCGACATATAATGCATTCTCGCGTAACTTGCATTGGATATTGCGCACACAATATCGCCTTGGCCACTCTTATCCCTACAGAAACGCATGTTTCTAATGGCAGTTCGCTACCTTTGATGAAGACATATGCTAGGAGCAAATAAAGCAGTTGAGCATGCAGTGAGAGAGAGACGACAAAGGAAGAGAGATTTATCCTATAGAATCTATGAAGAGGGTATTGATACCCCTGTAGAATATACCTAGCAAACAAACTCGCAAACTAGCAAACGAAGGTCTCATAAGGTTTGGACTAGCAAACAGCATGTCTGATATCATAGCAGAAGCCGAAGCCGAAGACAATCAGTATGGAATTGGACAAACACTGTATGAGCAGTGGTGAGCCTTTGCCTATGATCTCACACAGTGAGGGCACCACACAATATAACAGAACTACTACTAGCAGAACCCTGGTCTTTGGATAATATGAACAGTAAAGAAGAGAAGTAAATGTAATTAACACGTAATATCAGATGTTACTAACGAAAATACATAGTACAATATGTCCTAGTATAAACATGAAGAAATTTCCCGGGTACAATCACCCGGCCATCTACATGCGGTCAATATTTAGAATATAGATCGGCAAGCTTCACTCATTACATTATGATTCTCTAGCCTACATATGTAAATCCCTGTATTGTAACTGGGTTTCTTTTTTTTTTCTCTTGTTTCCACCGGCCTTCAGCCTTGTCTACCCGGTCCGAGTCGGTTGGCGATGTGCATCAACGGGCATATAAACGCACCAAGTCACTACCCTGGGGATTTTGCTTTCCAGAAAATATCCGCAACAGATTTTTTTTATCTTTTTCTGTTTGCTTCTCTTATTTCCTTTTCATTTTCAACATGTCTCTTGTATCTGAACCCGCTGCGCCCTCAATGCGGACAGCCGTCCCCGGGCCCACGACAAACAGAACCAAAGAGGAGTTAGATGCGGTCATCGATGCCCGCACTGTGCAGATGGTCATTGATTATGACAAGAGCATTGGAAACTAGTATGTCATCAATCTACTTTGGTCCTCGTGGTACATTTCCCAACGGTCTCCTAGCATCGCCGACGTTGACGGCAACACCTACCTTGATGTGTATGCACAAATTGCCTCTATTCCCGTCGGATACAACAACCCCACTTTGATTAAGGCGGCAACATCACCGGAGATTGTCTCTGCCCTGGTCAACCGCCCGGCTAATGGAAATTTCCCTTCTACCCGATGGCTTACCCTGTTGCGCGAAGGTCTGATGCGAGCAGCTCCTCCGGGGTGCACACAGGTATTTCCAGCGCAGTCTGGGTCTGAGGCAAATGATCTCGCCTTTAAGGCCGCTTTCATGGCCTACCGACGCCAGCAACGAGCCGGCAGCCTTTGGACGGAGCATGAGGAGGAAACAGCAATGAAAAACCAAGCTCCCGGTTCCCCCGATTTGGCTATTCTCAGCTTCCGCAACTCCTTCCATGGTCGCAGCTTTGGTAGTCTGTCTACCACCCGCTCTAAGCCCGTCCACAAGGTGGACATTCCGGCTTTCAAGTGGCCCCAGGCCACTTTCCCCCAGCTCAAATATCCGCTGGAGGCCCATGTTGAAGAGAATGCGGAAGAAGAGCAACGATGTCTTCAGGAGGTTGAAAACATTATGTCTTCCTGGCACTGCCCTGTGGTCGGTATTATTGTTGAACCTATTCAAAGCGAAGGTGGCGACAACCATGCATCACCAGAATTCTTCCAGAAGCTTCAGGCCATTACCAAGGCACATGGAATCAGCCTAATTGTCGACGAGGTTCAGACTGGGTTTGGAGCAACGGGTAAATTCTGGGCGCATGAGCACTGGGATCTTCCTTCTCCTGTGGATATTGTGACATTCCCTAAAAAGGCTCAGACCGCTGGATACTTCTTCAGCAATGAGAATCTTCGCCCTGACAAGGCTTAACGACAATTCAACACGTGAGAAACCCCAAATTGAGAACAATAAGATTATTATGGACAATAAGATAGGCTGACCATATCAACTAGATGGATGGGAGATGCCGCCCGAATCATCATCTGCAACGCAGTCATTGACGAGATTCTTAGCAAGAAGCTGGTCGAAAAGACGGTAAGCCTCACCCTTCGGGTACGATAAGACCTTGTTATACCTAACGTTATTCTTTCCTCAAAAGGCCGAAGTTGGTACAATTCTATACAACAGGCTTGATGCTTTGGCGGCCAGGTACCCCAAATGGATCCAGAATCTCCGTGGCAAGAATAAGGGCACATATATTGCTTTTGACACGCTTAATTCTAGCACTCTGTTGAAGAAGATGCGTGAGCTGGGAATCAATATTGGGAGCTGCGGTGTCCAAACAGTTCGGTTGCGCCCTATGCTGATCTTCGAAGAGGCTCATATCGCTCCTCTTTTGGCGGCTTTTGAGACTGCCTTTTCACAGTTGGCATAGATCTAGTGAATGAATAGAACTTTTAGTCTTGCAGATAATCAGTGGCACGGTGTACTTGAATGTGAAATATCCAGGTGAATCGTCTAAACAGATCAGGATTGAAAAATGGAGTCAACACTGATGAGCCAGTCTGTTGGTTTTATTTCAAAACTACCAGCCAATAGTTAGTATACTTTGTCATTGGATGCCTTTGCAAGAATTTACCTTTTATTAGTAAGGGTTGAGGCCAAAGGATAGACCAGCATACAGTCTGCTATGCCATAGATAATGTCCACAATCTACCAAGGTTGGGAGCATCCATGGATGTGGGACAGAAAGTACAGGCCCACTTCGGCCCGACGGTTCGGGCTCAGCCGAGAGTGGCCCCGGGGGCCGGGGGCCGAGTTTATTGCTGGCCCCCACCCGGCAGGACTCACTACCTACTGTATCCGCGGATTTTAGGGTTTCGGGGCCAAACAAACTTCACGACATTACTTCCATGGATAATCGGGTTAATGCATAAATATACGCGATGGGGAGTAAGATAGGATTTTATCTTGCTTTTTCCCAGGCCGAATCGAAACGGGTGGAAGAGACAGGTGCGGCTGGCCCAGGAATCATAAACCAATATAGAAAATAACTTGACAGGCCCAACAGAGCAATTAGTATGGCTGATGCTATGACGAATGCGTACTAGTCTCCTTCGCTGTATCCCAACAGATTCACCCATCTATGACAGCCCTCTCCCAATTAACTCTCCTCCACGTCCACCACCCAGCACAATGATCGAAATCCAAACAAACACAAAATAGAGATGGAAAAAACCATCCCTCCTCTCCCGAAGGAGCGATTATCCCTCCCTCACCGCATAAACTGTTTCCTCCAACTCTGGCTGCTCAAGTCTCTCGCCACTCTCTACTTCGTCTACCTCCGACTCGTCAAACCCTATCAACCAGGCACCCAGCCAACCCTCACTAAGCGCTACGTCCGCCGCCCAGACCTAGAAGCCCGCATTTTCTATCCGCGCTCCTACAACCCCGCCGAGCGCCAATTACTCCCACTCTACCTCAACATCCATGGCGGCGGCTTCGTGATGTGCGACGCCAGCGTCGACGACACCTTCTGCAGCGCCTGGGCCAACCTTACCGGAATGCTAGTCGTCAGTCTCAACTACCGCAAGGCGCCACTCCACCCCTTCCCAACAGCCACCTTTGATGTTGCGGAGGTAGCCAAGTGTGTTCTAGCAGACGATTCCCTCCCAATTGATCACTCGCGCATCGCCATCGGCGGCTTCAGCGCAGGCGGTAACCTAGCGCTATCTGTCTCGCAACTCCCTGGTCTGAAAGGCGTGATCAAAGCAGCGGTGATATACTACCCCATCGTAGACTTCGGCCACCCACCTAATGAAAAGCTGGATTCAAGACCATATAAAGATGGTCCGCGGGATAACTTGGAAAGGACATCCTGGTGGCTGGACTGGGGGTATGTGAGTGTAGGGCAGAATCGAAGAGACCCACTGCTTAGCCCGGTCTATGCGGGGAAGGATGAGCTGCCGCCGTGGATTTATATGATTGGTGCGCAGTGGGATATGCTCCGGTTAGAGGCGCAGCAGATGATTCATGGATTGGCTGGGTTGGATAGAGTTGGGGTTGAGCAGGAGGAGGACTTTGAGGTGGGGAGGTATAAGTGGACTTTGGCGAGGGGGTGTCCCCATGGGTTTACCCATGCTAGTCCACGGAAGAAGGGGGGAAATAGTAGGAAGAAGAGAGAGGAGGTTGCGCAGGGCATATATGGAGAGGCGCATGAGTGGTTGAAAAAGGCTCAGGTTCTTTCTTAGGTATTGTACCTAGGGTTTTTTAAAATATTTCCCTGTACGGATTTTGTGTGCTTGACGAATATAGTAGGTGTTTTCAACGAGGGAGGTCAATGAGCATATATTCTGTTTATAAGTTGGGATGAAGTATAATTTAGCTAGGACTTTTGAGTGTAATTATTAAACCTCTCTCTCGGGCAGGAATCTGTTCAAGCATTTTAAGGGAATTTCAACGGTATGGTCTGACTTCCCGTTCCCGGTCTACTCCTTGCATGCTGTATGAAAGTAGGTGTATAGGGCTGACCAACATACACTAGTATTCCGATGTCGTCACTGGTAATATTTGTTGAAATTGTGCAGGAAGCAAGGCTCTAATTATCTTAGCCAACCATATGCGCGTTCAAGGGTTGTCCAATGTCCCACAATGTTCCACTACAGGCCATGATTTGATTTCTTTCGTTAAACGCCAAACTTCTGAGCTGGCAGAACGTGAACCCATCAGATGAGGATGCTATTGATGACGTTACGTCGAGAATACCCTTGTTGCAGTCTGAATGTAGGTAAATTGTCACATATCGAGTAGCGTTGACCATTTTAGGAAAGACATATTCAGATGTCTAAGCTAAAGACACAGCATGATTTCAAATATGTTCCCAGTTTGTTAGGGTACAAGGGAAATGACCAAACCTTTGGTATGGGAGGAAGGTCTGAGGAAGTTGCCTGTATTATTGTATCTTGTACGGGGTAGATCCATAAGCATAACTAAGGACAATATTGTTTCAGAATGCTAAGGCTACACTGCATGATTCTGCATGGAGAGGCGGCGGGTTAATTGTGATCTATCCGATGCAATTAATCTGACAGCTACAAGGTCGGGCCATATGTGCAGCTTTGAACATATTGATGACGCTCTAACAGTAGTTCCAACAAAGGCTTTTGCTCAGTTATATAACCGACCTCAAATGAGCTACGTAGCACGATCTTGCGTGGAGTTGCACTTAATATGGGCTACATATTAGACCCTACATTTGTATCATAGCCTTACCTGTCATTTAGGCGAAGCAAATATTAATAAAGCAATATTAAGAGTTTTAATTGGAGTTTAACAAAGATACTGTGACTGGTGGAGCAATAATTTAAGAGTCAGAACTTTTTACTGAGATCTAGTTATCTTCAGCGTATTGGCTCAGACTTGCAATAAGCTATGAGACTATAACCTTGCTATAGTTATAAACTTTGAATATCGATATTACCAATCTGAGGCCATAAAATCGGGATTTACAGAAGCAACCTCGGAATACAACATGGGGATATGAAGATATGCGGTGAGGTAGTACCTTTTCACCGTAAGGCGTCTTTGGAGGCAACATGCGAACTAGAGAGAACGTTGCGAACTCCAATCAATTCGAATCTATCAGAAGCTTACAGTAAATCCCCCTCTTTGTCTCAGCCAACGTTCTTTTATGATCATATGATACGTTGTAAATAGCCCGTGGGCCTGTCTTTTGCTTAGATCAATTCTCATTAACAGGTTTTGGCAAATGCGCTCCGGCGAAGAGATATATTATGTCTCAGCCTCGAGAAGCGATGTTACAGTTGACAATTGAAAATAGTGAATTTGATTCTCATAGATGCCCAAAAGGATAAATAGAAAAATGTCTCACATCCCCGCTGCCAATTCTCTAGTTCTTCGTAGCCCGTCGCAACCCCAGTGGCACTAAGTCTAGATGCAGTAAGATTTTCGCCACCCCGGCACATCACTGGTTCAGACCCAGTTTTTATTGCTCTCTTGACATCATGACCTTCAGCGATCAGGACAATATCACTTTATTAATGGGGTTAGCCATGTCTTGGTGAACGTGTTTTCCGGGTATTTAGAATATAAACCTCCGACTGGAGGGTCGAATGCAGGAATGGAGATATTAAATTCCTTAAGTGGCAAGTAATCAGAAAATCTTTTTAATGAAAGATATGTTGAGAGGATGTTCATCTCCACAGCTAGAAATCCCCTCAAAAACAATCTGTGCATATAAATATTACTTTGGTCCCTGTGATTTTTTTTCACTTCCAACCTTGGAACTTAAGAATCCCTGCCTTCGACCTCCAACCTCCAGCCCCCCAACATTTAAATCTTCAAACCTTCTCTCACTTCACAAAAAAAACTATATCAAACCCTAAGATGAAGTTCCTTACATCCCTTTTCTTGCTGGCTACCTCCGTCATCGCAGCTCCCGTCGCTTCCGCGAAGGAGTCCAAGCACTTCCACCTGAAGTCTACCGGCGCCACCAATAACAATCACAACAACCTATATGTCTACGCCTACCACACGGGCGCAGGTCTCAACGATGCAGTTCTCAGCAAGGATGCTAGTATAGCCAGTTCTGTCTATCTTAACGGGACAAACGCACTCTTCGATTTGAAGACCGAATTCCCTTGGGGAATGATCGCCACCGGAGACACCAACTATGCCTGTGAGTATTGCCACCTACCTTGGAAAATATATCTGTCACATTTCAGTGTAGACTAACCTGATATTTTCAATATTAGCTTGGGAGCCTATTGTTATCAACGCCGGCAGTGGCGGTAGCGCAGGATACTCCATCAAAGGCGACAACTTCCAATGGTCGGAACAGAACGGCTTCGGTGGTTGGCTCGGTAAGAAACCCCGCGTCTTTGTTCTTTCGCCCTCATTTTTGAGACTGGTATTAACATCTCTAAACCAGTCTGTGATTGGTTCCACAATGCGCCCCAGCTATTCTACTTGAACCGATACTACGAAGCCGTTATCCCTTCCTCCTGCTCCAAGGTCCAGTTGAAGGTCGAATACGTCTAGATATTCCACGGTCGCTTGGGATGATTTTCATTTTAATGGCACTTAATGACGGTCGAGAGGACCTAATATTTACTAATAGCGATTTCAGCGAATAATGAATATGAAATGCTTGCTTTCATGCTATATACATTCTGCTAGTTCAAAGATGGGGATATAAAAAAAAACACACTAGCAGGAGAAAAGATTGGATCAACCGCGTAACATCATGTTCTAACGTAAAGCGTTTTCCTTTTTTATCGCGCCCGGTCATGAAGCCGCAATTCCCTCACTGGGAGCACTCGGGTTCTCATAATAGCGCTTGTCCATTCCAGCCTGCAAGCGTGCTTCTTCGTTAAATGGCCCCCGGATCGGACCCTTGAAATGCTTCTGCACATTCGACCGGAACACCTGAACCGGATCAGTTCCCTCCTGTGCACAGATCCACGTCAACCACCGGTGACCAGTAGTGACATGTGTAATTTCGTCGTTGTGAATAACCTCCAAGACATCGACGCTCTCGCCGTCACCAGCTTTGCGGAACTTCTCAATCGTCATAGGGTTGACATCCAGACCTCGTGCTTCGTGCACAAGGGCGATAATACTGATTCTGGCCCGCAGATCGTACGCAGTTTCAGTTGCGGATATCCACAAACTGTGGTGTACTGGGAGTGAACCAAAGGCAGCTCCCATCTCCTCTAGTCTGGTGCGGAGGAGGGAGAAGTGTTTAGCCTCGTCGTTCGCGACCTTCAACCAGTCGTAGAAGAATGCGCGTGGAAGTTCCTGAGCTGTCCCTTCTGTTTGGAAAGTCGCAAAGCGGATGCAGATATCAATCGCCAGATCGATAGCCCATAATTCGATATTGGCCAGCGCATGGAGCATAGCAATACGGCTCTTCAAGGTCCCGCCTCGTCCTGCCTTCGGCATCTGGCCCGGGTTAACGGTTTCCATTTTCTCGCGTGGTGGCTGGTCAGGCGGAGAAACCGTGCCCTTTCCAAGCGGCATGGGTGAATCGGAAGCCTCTCTAGCAGTGAAAATGGAGAAAAGATGCGTAGCCAGCTCGATCTTGTGTTCTGGATTAGCGGTATTGAGAATGTGGGCAGCCCAATCACACAGTGTCGCGTCGTCGTCGAGATAAGTCGCCATCCCGGGGTCCTTTGGACTCGGAGAAACAAAAGCAGTAGCAGGAGTAGTAGCAACCTTCTCCGCTGGTCGCGGATGCTTAAGCTTGACTCTCTCACTAACAGGCTCGACACTAGCAAGTCCCACGCTTTCCCCATCCTCAACGGGGAAATCCAGCGCGACAAACTCCCCATGCACATCCACAGGGAATGTGCAGGCCTTAATACCGACGCTCGATTCGCCAGTCTCTACATTGAAATCATATGCGTGCCACGGACAGGACACGACATACGCCGAGTCCTCAATGTCAACCGAGGAATCGGCCATTGGACCGCCGGCATGTGGGCATTCAGCCTCCATAGCGTAATAGGACCAGCCATCATTGGTCTCGTTTGATTTCAAGCTTGATTTGTCGATCGTCGGTAGACGGAATAATACCACTTTCTTGCCTGTGTTCAGACGGACCACATATCGCGCCTGTGTGAAATCAGATAGTTTTCCGCAGTTAATCCACATCTTGAATTTTGCAAGCGTCGCCTGATGTCTGTTTGGCGTAATTAAAAAGGTTTGTTTGAGGCTTTTTGCCTCGATTGATTTTAATGATCACGTGATGGTTTGGCTAGTGCCCCACTCTTCTGGCCGCATTTATAAAACATCGAAGGTTTATAAGGGCGCTTATATGTGATTATGGAGATAGAGGAAGGGTTGTTTGTTGTGTGGTTTTAAATTTAGTTTACGCTAGGTCGCTATGTACCTAGACAATGAATTTTGTGAAGTTTGAACATGAAAGCCCTAAGCTGACCGTTAATATATTATGGCAAATTTTCGCCTAGCATTGGCCAGCATTACCCCGTGTTACCCAAGAGAAAAAGTGACCTATGTATTTACCCAATGCTATCTGTTTTTACTGCTGTTTTCAATTTCGCAATCTTAAGAGATGAAAATTATATAATACCAGCATGGGGAAACCCCCTTATAAAGTTGCGCAGTGCAAGTTACGTACTCAGCATGTCATCCAGGTACAGACCCGTGGACTTGGGCCAGCAGTACATATAACATATTGCAAAAAGAACCTGTATTTAATTAGGAAGTATTCGAATAGTACGGAGTACTAGAGCAAAAAAAGAGTATTGACTACGTAAAAAATAAAAGAGAATATCAAAGAATAATAGGGGGAAATATCCATGAATAGAAATCTGGTGATCAACGTACAAATGTGGAAAGTTTTACTCCATATTCGTACATAAAAAAAGAGATGGGGTTAAAAACCAACTTTGAAGATTAGTGATTTTCTTAACGATACTTGTACCTAACTACATAGTAACTACCATATGGTATTTAAGAAATTAGTACAGAGTACGTAGGGTACAGAGGAATATTGTTGAGCCTTTCTTATTGCACAAATTTTCCTTGATCTCCCTTTCTTTCCATATTAACCAATCGAATAGTCCAATATTACGACACTAAGGTTAATAGTGGTGAAAGTACTGGGGAGCATTTCGGCGAGTAAATTTAGTCTTAGTATGCAATACGGCGAAAACAAAAGCTGTCGCACATGACCGTTTGACACATATAACGATTTCTTTAGAGGTCGAATGGCCACTAATTACCAGGATAGAGTGTGATTGAGACACTACAACTATAAAGGAAGGACTTTAGGCGCCTAGTTCCCTAAATAATAAAAGTGGGCCTCGCTTGTTGGTCTCTACAATAATAGGTTAATTAATAGCGTCCGCAACCGAAAAATAGTGTTGCAGATTTTTCCCTCAATTCAGGAGACTATTATAATATCTATGTAGGCTATTACAAGTCATTTTGCAAGCTGTATTGGGCTCATATAAATTTACTTGGTGTGACTTAAACTAGCTTCAAATATGGTAGGTAGTGTGTGAACGGTTGAAAATTACGTGGTTCCATTACTGGTATTTTACCCCAGTGACGACTACCTTCACGGAAGCGCTGAGCACATTCTGCGACAGGGGGTCTAAAAAGGTCTAGAAATAATTCCAAGTGTTTGCTCGTCGCTCTTGTCGTCTTTCGAGACTCCAACTCCCTACATTCCAGTTCACGTGTTTATACACAACGGTCTGAACAAGTGACGTTTTTACTGTGCCTTAGGTGAGATTACGCCGACTCTAACGCTATCATAATAGGGACTAACGTTATCTACAGCACGCTGTCTGAAAATGGATGTGGTCAACCATCCCATCAAATGGGGGACTTATCGAGAGGGTGCCCTCTCCCAGCTACCAAAATTCGAGTCCCTGCCACAGGATGGCCTCGAGTTAATGCAGTCCTATCAAGCCGTCCTCGACCACGATGAAACTTTCACCCAATACTTCTCAGAAGAGCCACTTGAAAGTTACACCATCGAATCACGGCTAAGGGAAACTCTGGGTATTCCTCCGTGTTCATCTGACTCCGAGAATAGCCCCTCAATTAGTTGGGTCAACATTTTCCGGCATGGCAGTTTCGAAAAGCAAAGTAATGGCTCCTACCACTGTTATGATCAAGGAAACCTTGTTCAGATTGATGAGTCCCTACACAAAAGTATCTTGCTTAATAGATGTTTTCTCCCAGCAAACTCCTACCTATGGCCAAGTCCTGCCGACGCTGAAAGAGAGTCGGAGATCACTTTGGCAATAGAGGCAGATGTCTTGGAGGAACTCGACAAAAATATCAAATGTGCGTACTTCCTTACATCCAAAGGTCATAAAAGACATGCTAATAAAAGACAGATGTGGAGAAACTCAAGCGACTTCAGCTGTCACTGAAGAAACGCCGTAGTAAGCTCCAAGGTCTTCGAGATCCATTGAAAAGGTCTCGTACGCCGCAAACACCCGGATCACAGTATCCCACCCCGGAAGAGTCACGTCGTCCCACAGTATCTGTTGAGACGCATGATACACGTGCGCGCAGTTTTTCCGAAAGCTCGGGTGTCTCAAGTGGTTCCGACATCCCTTTCGCCCGCCCCGGTGGGGTCACGCAGCAAGTGTGTTATGATACCGAAGACTACGACAATGAGACGGCCAACGAAGAGCATCCAAATCTCATCACCCAAAGCAACCAGCAAGCATATGACAATGAATCGGAAGTGTCCGTGTCTGGACTTCTAAGCACCAGAAGGCCCGAGGCCACACAACACCAGCAGGATACACAGAAGTCTAATCAATTCCAAGGAGACGTGCCAGCGAAGCACCAGCTTCACGGCAACGAGGAATCCATCCAGCCGCCTGCGAAAAAGCAAAGGATCGAGACTACCTCGTCGCCAAGAGATATTGAGACCATCGACTTCAGCGAAGAACTGCCAATGTGGAAAGAAAATGTTGATACACCTCATCAACAGCAACCAAAATCTTCCTCTGCGGGAAAGCAACCCAAAGTACAAAAGCGAACACGGAACAACTTCACAGAATACGAGAAGGAGCATGCTCCAGCCTGGTTCAAGAGCCAAGTAGACGCAGGAAAACTTCCAGGCGAGATTGAGAAGGCTTATGTTGAAAGGTTTGGTGTCTTCCACAGCTGGCTCACACTAAAACTTTGGGTCAACCGATTGGATGAAAGGGCCGCTAAAGCAAAACGCCCAAGCAAAATCGTGGTATTGAAAGTACGACCCCCGCCGCATCTTAGTGAGGCCTTCTCGAATGACAATCTCTCTTAGCCGATTCGGTCGTTCCCAACGAGCCGGACAATTTCCGCAAATGTTCCCAACCCTGATCATGCCAAGACGTCCTATGTATCCCCGTACCCCTTATTCCGACCTTCCCAACAACCTCCAAGCTCATCTCTCTCGTACGAGCTGGACTGGCCCTCCCAAACACGAACGGCCGAATCAACCCCGATTAAGAGTGGTCTTCCGAACGCGTACTGAGTGCGGGGCTGTCGGTTATTGCAACCTTAGCCTTTCTCTCCTCGCCTTGAAACACATCCATTTTCAACACATCTTTACTCACAGTATGTTCCATCATTTGATAATACTATGAACATTTGACTAATCCATGTTATCAGATATTTTCACTTAGCGGGAGCTTTCTCTTCTTTTCATGCTGGTCTCGCCGGTTCTATGTGCAACTGATCAAACACTCATCTTCATATCAGCCACTTCAGCTGGTACTTACATATTGTCTAATAATACCTGTATCAATCCTGTTTTGTGTCAAATCCTTAGCCTAGCTTTTAGCTTCTTTAGCTTCCCATGTTAATCTCACATTTTCCAATCCCACTTACTTATCTCCGTAGACCTCTCTTGGCAATTCCCTCGGAAACTCCATTAACCTTCCTTTACATCTCATCAACGTCATCATTATTATCGAGGACACAGAGAAAGTTAGGAGAGAGAGAGCTCTGTATTGTAGAATCTATGTATGCAGGGACAGGTCATTTATCCATACCCCTGCAACACTAGCAAAGATTGTAGTCTGAACCACAAACAACATAGCAAACAACAGGGATATCACAACACCGCCTCCCGCCCCTATCCCTCGGAGTATCTGACGTGTCAAAAATATCATAAAGGTCAACAACATACGGAGTACGGAGTACCCAGAAACATTCTGGTTTACATAATAAAATCATCTTCAAAATCAATATTGAAAAGTTCTTTTCTCCCCAAATTGGTTTTGCCTTTGCCAAATCCTCGCGTTCTTTTGTAAACAATTAAGTCTCTCAATATCTCAATCCACCCTCGGAAGTGCGTTTGTCAGAGCATCTGCCGGACTTTCCTTGTATTGATAAGTTGTATTCTAATCAATTGCTCTTGCACAGCAAATTCGACCAATTGATATATTGGACGCCAAGCCACCCTGTACCTTTGTCCAAAACGCCTTTCTCCAAAATTGCAACCGCAGGGGAAATTGCAATTGGAATTGATACGTCACATAAGTCCAACTCCCGAATGATTTTCCTTTTTCGTTTTCGGCTAGAGGGCTTCCCGAACTGCGCAATCGAGAGCAATGTATCCAGCAATTGTACTGCCGTCGGCAACGATATCTTGTTTCCCCAAGTCCATGAACTTTGCGCTTCTCCGTAATAATAAAAATAAAGGATCCAGGACCTGCTATTTTCACAGTCGATGTATGGAGAGTCCACATATCCGATGGGATATTTTCCGACCAGTTCGTGGTTGTTGTTCCAATGTTCCACAATGGAATTCCATAACCAGGTACTCCTTCCAAATATCAAAGCAGTTGTAAGGGACCATCAATGTCTTTCGAGGATTTTTCGTTATTCTCCGTAGACGATCCATACCCAATGCAATATTAGGACATGCCCGTATCATGAGCCAACTAGCAATCATCCTCCAGGGCCTCTAACGAAGCCTCTCTTTCTTTAATGCACTAACCCGATAGGCATTCCACCTATAAACGGTGTCTCAACGCATAACTTTGGAAGCAGTGACTCAACCCTACATGCAGTGTCTGAATGTATAAAGTGGCTCAACACACAGAGGTAGTTTGCAAAAGTTTCCTCACATCCTTTGCCTACCAATATAGTAATGTCTTTTTATCCCATGTTAATGCTCTGTTCGGATTTGATCAAAGTATACATCCAGGCTCTCTATCCCCCCTTCCACCCCAAACACTCTAGGGCATGATCCTCCCCCGTTCTCACCCCCGGCACCTCCCCACCCCCGAGACCTACCCGAGCAACTCCCTCCTCCGGGTACCTCGCCCCGAGTACCTTTCCACCCCGTCTACAAGATTGATAGTAGAAAAGTACCTTAAATTACCATTGCAAGCTGTGTTTGGTTGTTATCAAAAAGACAAAAAAGGGCTCAGCTCAGAGGCTTTTTAACCAATCCTCCAATCAAACGTCTCAACCTGTCGCACCTCAGAGTGACCCTTCATGTCCTCCCCGTCGCCGCGACGATAATTCCTTCCCGTTTAATAGCCACACGCTAGATTATCCCATAACGTACGTTCCCGTCGCTACGGCGATAACTCCTTCTGTGTTTCAACCTATACATCAGTAGACTCCTCCTTTTCGCCGTACCATCTCTCAATTTCCTTGGTACGTGGCCAGCGCATCCTCTTCCATGTGCACCTCAGAAAACTCCCCTTCGATCGTCGCAGCTTCGTACCAATCGCTACCTACGCAGGTAATTACCTCCAGTCGTGTCTCTTCATGCAGCACCATATTCTCGATGGTCGTCTTGAGAATTGTCTTGCCATGCATCTCTCCTACATGTTCCGACGCCAACTCCTTCAGTCGCTAATACGATGTCGCTCCACCGCTCCGTGCATCGCTACCATCCACGCTTCCGAAAACACGATCTCCAATAAGGATAGTTTGAGTGAAGGATTTACAATTTGTGGGAGGACTTCGCTACGTGGGTTCATATCTGTGAGGGGGTTCAAACTGCATATTCTAGCTGCCAGCTGCTTGGACTACTCAGTCAATTCAACTCTCCACTATGCACGTGCACATCTCTGTGGATAATATAACTCTCCGCTGGTGTATTGAGCAAACTATCCGGCAACCCAATGCCATCTTCACAATGTAACAGAGTCGTATGATCCTAATGTGAATATCCACCTGTCTCTAGGTCCATATTCTGTTCTTAGCTTCTCACACTTAAATTCCAGGCCTCTTATGATGTTTGAATTCCTAGTTATGCTTCATGATATCAATCATCCCATGAAAGAAAGCACTTTCTGTCCAGCTTTGAGCGACAAATGCTTATCCTGGCGATTTACTTGCAAGGCACGTGATGAAACAAAACCCTACGGAAGATAGCTACATGAGTGAAATAGTATAGCCAAGTAAAATGCTTGTGCTTTTCTCTACATTAATCGGTTAGTCGTTTCTAATGGGGTGACCCGCTGAACTAAGCCCCAATGCCTACCAGCTAGTCATAATACCAGTCGCGAATAGCTTCAATCCCAAAGCCATCTTGGTTATAGAGCTACCATACCCACTTAGACTAACAAGATACTCCGGATTTGTAGATTTCTACTTAACATGAACGTAGAAATGTGACAATATATCATTATTCTTTATTAATTTAACTCTATTTGGTGGGGGATGGCGAATCGATTACATTTGACCCCCGTAATCCGAGAGTGAGGCCAAGACGCTCGCCGTCGCCATACTCGTTTGTATTGCTCGCGCCGCCCATCGAGTTTCTAGAAAGCTTTTACTCAAGTTCTACATTTATTCTCTTCTCATTCCACATCCTTTCTTCCTATCTCATCTCCCTACGGATACAATCCTTTCTTTCATCACATCTCTTTGCATCTAAGTCTTTTCAAGCTATTACATTACATATACAAATTGCACTCCAAAAAGCTTCAAAGAAGCTATGGACAATATACCTCCTCCTGAGCAAGCAAACCCGGCAGGGGCCACAGGTGCCCCCTCCCGCCGGCCTCTGGGTTCATTCGATGAACTGTTCGTTGACCTTTTAGAGGCTTACAGGAGATACCGGGAGTTTGCTGAGGCTATCTACACCGGGGATGATCTTTCTCCTCTGTTCCCTGACGACTCTCTTTGGTTATCTGACATTTACAGAGTGATGATGCTGATCTTTGGTGAGCCCCACCCGCGGGTGGTCGGAGACCAGGATCCAATCCAAGATACAATTCAGTGGACGGATGTTCTTAGTGCAAGGCTCACACCGGAAGATTTCCAATGTCAGCCGAACGGCATGTTCCAATGCCGCGTCCGTGGTGTCTTGATCGAAATCAGAGCTACCAGCTACTACGATATCCTTAGTGGTGTCGCTGAGAGACTCTTGCAGCCATTGCAAAACTTGTCAGGCCAAGATAGGGAAGTACGAATCCGCATGAAGCTGCACGTCGACTTGCTTCGTACATTCGATACTTTGGTTTCATGTAAGCTCGTTTGCTTCCATGGATTGTTTTATTTCGAAACTAAATTTGCCTTTCCTAGTTGCCCACAGAGTGGTGGAATCTCTCATGGATTTGCATAGAAGCCAGTTTGTTTATACTACTACAGAGGAGGAGGTCGTGGAACCTCGCACCTCGGCTTCTGCAAACCCCATTCCAAATGATCCCAATTCGGACAGCTACAACGTGAACAACGACTCTGACTCCCAGGAAGCTCACAATCATGCGGTCAAGGAGGAGACTCTTGAACCCGGGGTGGAACAGGCCGATTTGAACCTATTCGACATTCCTCAATATGACCCCGTTGATTCAGCCCACGATACACATGGTCATATGTCGGCAACCCAGTTCCTTGGCCAGGATCACCTTGATTCCGCCAGCGATTCGGACGAATTTTTGCCCACATTGCAGTCGGGTTCTAGTTACACTCATTCAAACGTCACCTCTGACTATGCTATCTCCGCTAGTGACGTTTTGGAGCGGCTTTCTAGTGATCTATCCATTGATATGGATGATGGTTCTAGCTACTTTGGCGATGTTTCTCACGATACCACTACTATTTCATCGGGTCACACGGACAATGATGACCATGCAATTCATTCTCCCCGAGAGAACTCCATTGATCCAGTGCGCGGTCCGGATACTATGACTGTTATTCAAAACAGCATCCAAGCTGCCGTTGAACAAGTCAACCGCATGGAAGCCAATGCCGCATTGCCCGATAGTGATACTATCCGCCCCGTGAACAACGATGCGGTCAGCAATATGGATTCCGCCGATGCGAATGCGCCTGAGCAACCTGGTACCCCACCCAATGCAATCAGAAACATGGATTCCGCCGATATGAATGCGCCTGAACAACCTGGTACCCCATCAAATGCAGTCAGAAACATGGATTCCCCCAATGCGATTACGCCTGAACAGCCTGGTACCCCATCAAATGCCGTTTCTAACCTGGTCGGTCCGTGGTTGGAGAACGTTTCTACTCCCGCCAGTGCAATTGGTAGCAACGCGAACCCATCTGAACCCGAGATTCCTGCCAGAACCAAAACTGAAGAACCCACCGGACCTACTGTTTCTGCTGCGGAGAATAGGGATAGAATCCGCCCTGGTGGTTCAAAGCGACCTCGCGTTGAGTCCCCTTCCCCTGTCCCCAAGCCACGAACTTTCATCAAGTACACTCAAAATGAGGAGGAAAACGCTCTTGATTTTGCCAATCGTATGATCGGAGCGAGATGCACAATCGAGGAATTTGAACGGGAATACGCTGAGGAGTTCGGTGTTTCGCGCACTGCTTCGGCCGTCTGCAAGAGATTCCAAGTCAAAAAATCGTGGGCTTTCTTGAAGCCCATTCGCGATGCTAAGAAGCAGAAGACTGAGGTACCGAGCCCATTATTCTACTCTTATAAACAAAGATTTACTAACAATTGCTTATAGTCTTCCTAATCTTGCTGCGAAACGCATGCTCACCCTATGAAATTAGAACACAATGACCTGATGATGATACTTAGGAGATGAAGGAGAAATGGAGAGAATGGGTTAGGCAAATGGGTTGGGCTAATGGCATTGGGATAGTTCGGAGGATTTTATGCGCTGGGGGGTCTAGGGAATGGCTGGTTATGCCTTAACGACTTTACGATTTCTTATTCTTAGCAGGCTTTAATTTAAGCTGCAATTTCCTTGCAAATTGTCTGAAATGATCTTTCAAACGTAAAGAATACACTGGAATAAGAACTTCCCAAGGAAAATGCAGGATAAATTGTTGATGGGCTCCCATTGTCATAGTATCCGTTTAGAATACATGGACATCGTTATCGATATCTACTCTGAGTTGTTTCCTTTCAAAACCCACATCTACTTTCTTTTCATCACATTCATCCCCATCACGTTTCGAATCAAAACCTTCTATTCATCTCATTTTCTCATTTCGGTACTCCCTCGACCCTTGTGCGTTATCGAATCAACAGTTTCAATCATCATGAATCCCACCTCCGATTCCGTTCCGCCTGCATCGAACAGCAACGTTGCCATTGGCAAACGTAAAGCATTGCACGAAACCCAAGACGGGGCCAATGACACAGACAAATCATCCAAACGTGTTGCTAAAGGAAGCAAGGCTTCGAGTCGGGGCTTAAAGTACAACCTCGAAGCTGCGCTTAACAAGTTCTTCGGCGGTCCACCCTTTTGCTTGATGATTCCCGATTCCATTGAAGATCATTCAGGGCCTATGACTAGAAAGAAATCCAAGGGTCGTCTTCAGCCGTCGACACGCGGCATTGTCACTTGGATGGATGTACTCTCAGAAGAAACAACTCAATTCCACCTCCAGGACAACGGCATGTACCATTGCTGCATTAAGGGAAGGTTGATTGAGCTGTCTGAAGATAACTACCGTTTCATCCAATCGGGTTACCCACAAAAAATGATGCAATGAGGTGTTGCTGGAGTGGAGGAACAAGATAACAGCCGTGCCAAGGCTGTCATGAATTGTGAGTCTGTCATCTATTCTAATCAGTTCTTTTGGGTATACGGATACTAATATTAAGGAATTATAACAGAATCGCATGAAACCCCGTGCCCGCCGCATTCGGTGAAGTCCTAAAGAGAATTACCACTTCATCGAATTGGGCTACGCGCGGCGCATGATGCAAAAAGAGGTTTCTGGGATGGGAAAACAAGATATCGGCCGTACGAAGGTCGTCGTGAATTGTGTGTTTACCGTCTATTCTACTCAATCTACGAGGTCTATGAATACCAATGGGTTATCACAGGATCGCCCGAACCCCCGTACCCGTTGTATTCAATAAAGCCCTAACTGGGGCTGCGCCGGATCTCTCACTTCAACTTGAGAAACCAATCGCGACATCAAGTGAGAGTGAGGAGTATATCAAGGGAATATCAGGCGTGTGTCAAGAATTCTAAGATGAGACAGCACGCCTTCGCTCCAATGGCGGATGGTCTGATTCCCAGCTCCATCACAACCAGGGTTTCTATGGGACCCCAATTCCAAGGGGAAACAGCCCAGTTAGGTTAGTATCTGACCCGATCAAACCTGATATCTCAACCTATCCTGATAATGGCTACGCAGGAAGCTCAAGGGTGGCAAAACAGTCCACATCTGGAACAGATAGTACTGGGAAAACAGGCAAATTGCTAGTTACTCCGGCTACTCCAACTACTACTCCGATTCGGGGCAAGGATAGTTTCATTCTCTGGGTCCTGATTCCGAAAAAGGAAATCAAGAGCACAGGGAATGGAAAAAAGAGGAATCCCCATTATCACATTGACTAGCCTCCTAGCGCCTGTTGATCAGGTGAATATGAACGGGATCGTACATCGGCCCAGGGGAAGCAAACTTGAACATTTTGTCGGCATACTCGAACTCGAAATAAGACAGAAACGTGGGAATAATACTAGAAAGAGTATATATGTTCACGGGTAATGTTTAAACATCTAATGTATGATACATAAGCGTACAATGAGAGTATGCATAGAAGTGATGAGGTTATATTGACAAAATTAGGCAGGGCAGGAAGTACGTAAGGTATAAGCCTAGTATGTAGACTCAATGATTCATTAAAAGTATGAGAACTAGAGCCATTTCGTAGCGAACGTATGCAGCAAATAAGCGAAAGACCGGGATCCGCTGTGCTTCAAAAATATCCAATTCGCCCTTACAACACGAGAGCAAGGCCCAGAACACCTGCAGCGCCAGCAACGCTCATAGCGATACCAGTGGGGGCGGCACCACCATCGGTAGTAGTGGATGAAGCGGAACCAGACGCTGAGGACGAAGCCGAGGACGAGGACGAAGCAGCGTCCGAGCTGGTGGGAGAGGAGGAGGATGAACCCGTGACAGTAGAAGAGGAATCGGCAGAAGTGGACTCGGTAGAAGACGAAGCCCCAGAGCTAGAAGCTCCAGAACTGGGAGCTGCAGTGGAGGTAGCCTCAGCACTGCTGGGGTTGGAGCTGCTACCGCCGTCGCTAGTGATCTTGGCGGCAATGGACGATGCGAAAGAAGGATAGTAGTCCTCAACCGCAGTGGTGACATACTCCTTCACGCTGTCGGGAAGACCGCTATACCATGTAGGCCAGGAGTTGGAGACCATTCCTTGTTCGACTTGGGAGAGGAAATTAGCGGTGTTGGTGGCTTCGGTCCAGAATGAGGTTGGGACAGCGGTTGCGAGAATCACAGCAATGGAGGGAGGCATGTCGAAACCCAACTCTGTGTCTCCAGATTCAGTCTCGGTGTTTGTGTCGGCTGGAGCAGCGATTGCCATGCTGGCGAAGAGGAGAGCAGCGAGAGACTTGTACTGCATGGTGATGGTTGGAGGAAGTATATGCTCGGAATATCGGATGAGAAGATAGATATTACTGCAGTGATTGAGGTGATTGAGTACTTGGAAGAAACAATTACTGTCTGGGGGCGTTATGCTTAAATACGCCGCGATGTGTTTTCGGAGACGCTAGAAGGCTGTGCTAACTAAAACTGTCGCGAAGCAGGGCATACTGGGGCTCTGGCGGTGCAACCCGAAGCCACGCTATGTTCCCGGGTTCCACTATAAACCGCCAATCGCGGCTTTTCGCCCCCAAGTTTGTCGATCAGACGGAAAAGGCGCACACGATCCCGTTCATGCAATCCTTCGCATTATCCCGAATGACTCTTTGCAATATTCCGAATATTGGGGGTTGGGGGTTGGGTCCGGCCCTGCTCTTACTCCTGCAAAATTTCACGATGCTGCCAGAGGCTAACGGATGCCCAACTTTTTCTGGTTTCAGCACACACACACAAGTCATGATGTTCCTCTAGATATTGGGGCTATTTTGTGAGTTTAAAGTGTGGAAGATTGTATTACGCACACCTCCTTTGCACGCGTCCTTATCATTGGGTTTGGAGGCTCTGGGGGATTTTTGTGACATCATTTCTGGGGGCCGGAAACTTACTTGGATATACAATATAATCATTGCTGCCTTTGTTTGTGGACATTTTACTAGTATTGGAAGGTGTCATCCCCGCCTAATTTGACTGTAGAGTTGTCGGTGTGATCCCAAGCTTCTGTCGGTGTACTCCGAGGCTTCGAATAAGACAATACTAAAGATACAATGTAGTACAGCACTCTCCGCACATAAGAACTTCATATACACTACCCATGCAAATATCCCCTCAATCACCACCCGTGGGAGGTCATTGGTGTGAGGTATCAAAATGGAGTTACAACATAGTACAGAGTACATAGCCCTGTGACCCACCTGGGCACATTTTTTGTGGGGGGAAAGAGGTCATCAATACTCCGTGACTCCAGTGGGATGAAAATGAAAATGTCTCAGCTACCTGGGTAACAAGCAGCAATGCCGAGACATAGTAAGTTGGGGGCGTTTGGATGCTTGCATTGAACACCAGCAGGTGCTTGGCATGTTCATATAGCCACCACGGGTACGTACTGTTCTTCTCGGCATTCGTAATGGTCATAATCCAATTTAGACCGGATTGCTGGCATTTTCCATGTAAGATGACGGTCAAAGACTATACCTATTTGATCATATTTACTGTTGCTTGCATAGATGTGTGAGGGTGATATATATATATCACTGGCGTAGTAGTACTGCCTATAATTATAGTGCCAATTTGGATGTGAGATATCATACTTCGTGTAGATTTCCTTATGAAAAAAATATTGAGAATATTCTCCTCACGTAGAAATTAAAAAAACGGCGAATTCCCGCCAAAATGTATCAGCATCTAATATCAAATTGAAGCTACTCCAGCCCCACTTAATATGTGCACATCGGATTTGATACTGTGTTCCTCCAATATTGGTGCATTGAAGTCCATTTGAACATTACAAAAGCCTCGAGACAAGACAAATCGTTCAAAAAACAAAGCAACACTCCCCCATTCATTCACCCCGTTTGAGAAAGAAAAATAAGAGCAAAAAGAAATCTCTCCCTCGGGGAATCGAACCCCGGTCTCCCGCGCTTATCGGTTTTAATGACAAGCGGAAATCATCACCACTAGACCAAGGAAGATGTGATGGCTGAGTTACTGCTCGGCCACTTGGCTGGTTGATAAGAGAAGGTGACACTAAATGATTCATGACCTCGGAAGATTTGCAAGCTCAACGCCTCTTTTCTCCCATCCAATCACCATGCAGTTTATTGGCCGGTCCCTGCAATCAATATCCCCTCCAGGTTAGATCGAAACGTACGTTGGACCATTCGCAGTTGAGATAGCTCAGCCCAAATCTTATAATATCCACCTTCAAATGTTCTTAAACGGAAAGTCCTAGAGAAATGCGGGTCTAATAGCCAAAGAGTATGCCGATTTCCCCGCGCATGAAGTAATAAATACTTCAGAACCTCCGTGTTTTTCTTTGTGCAGGTTAAAGTATCACAAAGCCCAGAAATCATGACCTCGGTTTTCAAGAACGGGCGCATCTTCTTGTCGGAAGGCTCAAATAATGAAGGGCACTTCGCCGATTGCATGATCATCGAGAATGACAAGATCTCCCACGTCGGCTCTCTTGACGGGATAACCATCCCAGAAAACGCAAATATCATTGATCTGGAAGATCGCACTGTCATCCCAGGCTTCATCGATGCCCATGTACACATCCTGCAATACGGACAATCACTGCGCAAAGCCAATCTCATCACATGTACCTCTCTTGATCAAATCCGAGAAACCATTAAAGCCTACGCCGAAGCCAACCCATCTCTCCCACGCATATTATGCAGAGGCTGGATCCAATCATCTACCAATGGAGTCGGGCTAGCAAGTATGTTAGATGGTATCGATCCACGTCCCATCTACATCGACTCTTTCGACCTACACTCCATGTGGTGTAGCACAGCAGCTCTCGATGAAATGGGAGCTCATACAGCCCCCGATCTTCCGGGTGGAACCATCCACCGCGACGAAAACGGCAGAGCTTCAGGCCTACTCGACGAGTCTGCTCTTATGAACGTTGCATGGCCATATCTAGAAAGTGTTACCTCCACAGAAGATAAACTGAATGCATTGGACACTGCAATTACTACCTATACCGCTGCTGGGTATACTGGACTAGTGGATATGGCGATGGAAGAAGGAACCTGGGAGATTCTAAATCTCTACCGTCGCGATCACACCATCCCATTCCACATCGGCGCCCACTGGCTCGTCCCCTTCTCAGCAGATCAAACAGCCAACTTCAAGTACGTGGATCGAGCAATCGAGCTACACAAGCAATACAACCAACCCGATTTCCATATCCTCGGGATAAAGCTCATCTGCGATGGCGTCGTCGACGGATGCACCGCCGCCCTCCTCCAACCCTACACTGGTAAATCTGACCCAGTCGACCCAATCTGGCCGGAGGATATGCTACAGGAGGTAATTGCCCGCGCCGATGCGGCAGGTATACAATGCGCAATCCATGCGATAGGTGATAAAACCATCCACCAAGCAATCAATGTATTGTCGAGAGTCGGCACGCCAGGCCGAAGACACAGAATCGAACACTTGGAGATGACAACCTCGGAAGACGCTAAGCGTCTCGGTGAACTCGGTATCACGGCCTCGATCCAGCCTGTCCACTCCGATCCGGTGCTTTTCAGGGCATGGCCGGGTCTTGTTGGACCAGAGCGCTGTAGCCGCGCTTTCGCTTATAAGGATTTCCTAGATGGCGGTGCGAAGATTGCTATTGGCACCGATGCGCCGACGGCTCGTCACTTTCCTTTCCCGAATCTTTACAATGCTACTACTAGGCGCTCCGCGCTTGAGACTGAGACGGTTGATACTGTGAATGTGCATTTTAGGTTGGGGTTGGCTGAGGCGGCGACGGCTGCTACGGGTGGTGCGGCTTATGCAAGGTTTGCTGAGTCTTGGACTGGAAGTCTGCGGAGTGGATTAGATGCGGATTTTTTGATTGTTGATATGCAGTGGAAGCCGGAGATGTTGCTTGAGGCCCGGGTCTGCCAGACTTGGTATCGGGGGAAGAGGGTTTTTGATTCGCGAAATGAGTAACAGTAACTAATTCCAAATTCAATTAATGAATATATAACGAGGATATATAAAGAAACTTGAATTGCTTTTTCTATTCCTTAGTGACGTTGGGTATTGCTTCTTTGCGGGGATATCATGGTGACATCACCAGTATGTGTCTTTGCCTCACCAAGAAATTGAGGCTCATCATACTCTACGAATACAGCAGACAGTAAAATGTATCGTATGGATTGAACAGTTCTTTAATTTACAGCTAATCATCGCTTCGTGAAGGCATCACTCCCAAGTTCCAATTTAAGTATTTCCTCTGAAACTTCCAGGGGAGTACCGAGTCCAACAAAGTATATGAACAATATTACTCCCCGATTTGTTCGGGATGTTCTTGTAGTCCACGGTCTGTACTTAGATCAGAGAGGAAAGAATCTGACGCTCGTTAGTACACAATAGGATCTTGGTCGGGAGAACGAGACATACTGTGATCTACCTCCTGCGAAGACCGACGCTCTGTGTGCTTGTGGAGATCGTTCATGGCATGTTGGTGTGCAAGCTCCTGGCACATTGCACGGGATGATCTATTATATCCGTCAGTTACAGGATACTTCAAAGGCTGTGAGTTAAACGCACGGAGCAACCTCTCTGTCCACCATGATATTCTCATCTCTGTTTTGATCTTGCTGTCCTTGATCCATGTTTCCAAGAGAGCTACGGCGCTTTTCGTAATTAGGATCTAGCGGGTTTTGATCGATGGTAGTGTTGACCATGTTGAATTTTAGTGGTGGCAAACCAAGGATTGGGATATATGTGAAGTGAAGGTAGAAGTATGTTGGAAAAAGAGAAAATAAAGTATTTATCTTATATTAAATGCGGGGGAAGCTTCGACCAAGTCACCGATGTCATAAGTTGGGCGTGGCAAACTTATGATATAAACACTTCGTGTGAACCTATTAGAGTCTGCTTGATCCTAGTATTTAAATAATATCACCAGTTCCTAACTATTGATCATGAGGAAATGGAAAAGGAGATTAGCTTTTGTGATACTCACACGAAGCCGAGTTGGGAGTTACACGAGGCAATGTGGTTGATGGATAAATATGTATGAGGTCAAGTGCTCGTCAATGAACGACGGCAAGATTAGTAATGTTCTTGTCTTCTAGACTGTGCTTGGGATTTTGGAATGTGTGAGAAATGGAGATATAGTGAGCCTCGCTGGATCATCATCTGTCCGCAGTAGTCACCATGGGTGAGATAGTATCCCCTTTGGTGAATGTTGGCTGTCGTGATTTTGGAGTTGTTGCCACAGCATCTTTCTTTCTCAAGAGAATGATTTTTGGTCAATTCACTCAATACAATTTGCGATCTATGGTATAGTGAATTGACCATGTCATTCTAAGTTCTTTTAAAAAGTTTCCCTATTCTTCAGATATCTGCTGAAGCTGAGGTGGGAGACCAGTTATCACGGAACGTAGGTTTCGCGATGAACTTGGAAGATGTGGTATATCATATGACAATAAAATAAAGTTATGCTCCCGACTTTCCGGTGTCACAAATAGGCTGCTAACACACAACTGGGCAGAGTTTGATAGTGATTGATGCCACAGTGATGTGGGCTGCTGTGAACCGGGAAACCATCCTGATTTTGAGTCGAATGACTTTTGCCCTATTTTCCTCTCGTAATTCGGAATATTCCGATTATTAACATATTAGCCTCTTTGTTTGTCCCTTCGTTTGTTGAATGTAGATACATGCAGAGAAGGAAGCAGCTACCTAAACAGGAAAGCAGACTAGTACATATTAGGCAATGAAATGCGATCACAGGAATAGAGTCGATCCGGAAGGAACATTTGGCATCTGAGCTCGGATCGGAAAGGTTCGCTTAGGAAGGGTTGGATTATCAAAAATGATTATGCATAGGAAAGTCATTTTCACGAAGCTTTTCCGCCATTTCTGGCTATCTATCTAAAGAAAGACAAGGTGGAGAAAATGTATTAAAGACATGGAAATAGAATAATTGAGAAGACCACTGAAAAGACCCACATAAGCGACCGACAGGTACGTATTCTTGTTGGAATATTTAACAGGAAATTGGACCCTAGAAGTTTGTAGATAGTTTATGTTCGGTTGAGATGACCTCTAAGTGCTGTTAATAGGCTTATGATTTGGAAGGATTGAAAGGAATTTGGACAGTATTCTAGAAAGTGACCGGCGGCTATAACAGATAAAGGTGCAATGCGGATATACAAGCTAAACAAACATTCAACAAGACAAAACTAACGAAGAGTCACCATTTTACCTAACACGCTCTGATTGATAGAGATTAAAGTAAAATAAGCCATTCTCTTGGCTTCATCAGACCCCACCAACGGCTTGGCTTCCTGGTGCAGCCTAGGTAGAACGACTAGCTATCCGATATTGAAGCCGCGAGATCCGCGAAATGCGAAATACTTGATGATAACTAGAGCAAGGGATTGTCTTCTAGGCCCGATCGACAAAGATCTGTCTAGCGTGATTCGCCTCGGGGTGAATCGCACAGGGCCGACAACGCCAATGTGGGGTGCAGAAGCAGATCATTTAGATAATTCCTTTATCTAAGCCCATCAAAAGAAGCCCAAAGAATAGCCGGTTAAAGTAACATTATAAGCCAACCACGTTGTGGGAGGTTGAAATCAACACTGGGGCATATTGTGACTAGTCCCGAAACGGCTATAATCTGGAGAATTGGACCTTTGGAGTGGAGAGAATCACTCTGTACGCTCAATTTCAATGCACAGAATTTTTTAGCAGCTCCGATTGATTTAAATGAGACTGCATCCTCTGTTCTCTGAAGATTTAAGCTTGAGAAATCAAATTGCTACTTGCGCCTACGATCTATATACAACTCAGTGGCGAAATATTACATCATACCTTCAAGTTTGGTTCACTTCGAACCCCGCGGGAGAGAACCACCAAGACAACAAGCATTTTTGAAGGTCTGCCCTGAAGAGTGTCGTGGTATCATAGTGGGATCGGAATGGTGTTCGCGCGTGGCGATGTCTCCGGCCATGATGAACCAGTAATAGGTAAAACCAGAATAACACCAGTACCCGAGATCCAATTCACTAACAACTACACAGATCATCATGATCCCAATAAAGATGTCACAATTGTGTCCTGGGATGGACCAAGAGATCCTGGAAACCCATACAACTGGTCCCTATGCGAGAAATGGCTTCTCACGGCCCTCGCCATATTTGCTACCTTCATGACCATGATCAACGGCACAATATTTACAGTAGCCCACGAAACTATGAATGAGCGCTTCCACCTTTCAGACGCTCATTTCCCCCATTCCTACTGGCCCGTCACATCGTGGGCCGTGGGCGGCGGCTGTTCCTCCCTGCTCGTCCTCCCACTCATGGAGGACTTTGGTGTGCGATGGGTGTTCCTGGGCACGTACATGACCTTCATTTGTTTTGTCGTGCCCCAGGCTGTGGCACAGAATTTTTACACCTTGGTCATAACGAGATTCTTTGCCGGAGGATGCGTCTCTATCCTTGCCAACACCTCTGGTACAGTGATTGGGAATGTTTGGGATACGGAGCGAAATCGAAACGTCCCTGTTAGCCTTTTCATCGTTGCCTACCTGGCTGGTAGTAGCATCGGTCCAGTTATTGGAGCTGCTATATACCAAGCTCTCACGTGGAGGTGGATTGGTTATATCCAGCTCATCTGGTATGGTGCTTTCTTCCCTCTGTACTTCTTCTTGTTCAAGGAATGTCGTGGAATTGCAATCCTAGGACAGCGGGCTAAAGCTCTGCGCCGTGAAGGCAAGAATGCCTATACCCAGCATGAAATCGACACACAAGGCCAGTCGATTTTGAGTATCGTGGGCCACAGCGCGAGCAGGCCGCTTTTCCTGTTCTTCACCGAGTCTGTGGTTTTTGTATCGGCGCTCTGGTCGGCATTTACTGTCGGTACATTGTATCTGTTCACTCAGTCTGTCGAGCAGGTATTCGCAGAGTTGTATGGTTGGACACCATCGCAAGCTGGATACGTCCAAACAGCAGTCGTGATCGGGGAAATCATCGGATGGGTGATGACCTTATTCTCAGGAAAGCTTTACTTCGACTCGGCATCCCGCAATAAGGAAATTCCCGGTACACCTATTCCCGAGGCTCGGCTGTACCTTGCCATTGTGGGCGGCATCTTCGGCATCTCCGGTGGCATGTTCACATACGCCTGGACGTCATACCCCAATTTTCCATGGATCGCACCAGCTGTTGGTCTCGCTATGGTAGGGGCTGGTAGTGTTATTGTCGTGACGGGAATCTCAGATTATGTGGTCGATGCATACAGCAAATACGCGGGTAGTTGTATGGGTATCATTGCCACTGGTGAGAACACCCTGGCGGCGTTCCTGCCTCTGGCTACTATGAGCATGTATTCTCATCTTGGGCTCCAGTGGGCTAGTACGGTACTGGCCTTTATTGCGTTGGTTCTGTCTTTTGCTCCAATACTAGTGCTTATCTGGGGTAAAGAAATCCGAGCACGGAGTCCGTTCATGAAGGAAGCCATGGTGGAAAAGAGAAGGAAGAGTATCGACTCTGTCTGATATGTTTGCTCTGTACATAATCGAAAGACATATTGCATATATCAAGAGACTTAAGACTAGGTTATTTTTGTATATTATCTCATACCTTAGTCCAGTATTTCCCCTAGTTTACGTGGACAAAATTCAAGGTTATACTATGCTACGAGGGGTTCCCTAAAGACCCCATTGAAAGCTACACTTCGGTTTATTCCCGTCTAAGAACCAAATACGAGAGGATAAACGTCATTCTCATGCCCCTGCAGCAAGAACACGTGAAAAGCTGAATCCACTGTGGATGCCAAGAAAGGCGTGGAACCCAATAAGCAAAACTTCAATATAGTTTGAATCAGGGGCAATTCTATATTCTCGAAAAACCCCCGGAGATATTCCAGATTGCGGTTTGGACGCGCCGCGATGCCGCTAGCCCGGAATGAACTTCCCCCCTTAACCTCCACCCCGTCCCTTTCGCTCCAAGGAGACAATTATTGTTGCATGTTTCTTGGAAATATTATACTTTTATCTACGGAGTACTTCGCACAAACTGACCATATAGAAGAAGAAAAATGCCGAAAAGTAAAAACACATTAACGTCGACCGGACTAGGAATAATTGCCGACGCCGTATTCCCTGCTCTTTCAAGAACAGGGGGCGGACGGGCTAAACCGCCCGCTCTTCCTCGATAAGTCGTCGAGATATTTTCCGCATGAGGTTCCTTGCATGAGTAGAGGAATAACGTCCCCACGTTTCTTAAACGGCTCAATCGAATTTCTAGATCGTTTCAGGGTGGACGATCAAACGGCTTGATCTCCGGGGTGCCTGTGCGATGGTCTGACTTGATGCATAGAATAACCTACTACATTTGGTCTAGTTGATTATCCCTATCGGTATCTGCTAGTTTTCCAGGAGGGGAACCCTGGTCGAAGTTGAAACCTCTAGCTAGAGTCTATATTGATGAGGGTTATACGAGAATCGTGGATTTGGACATTTCTCGGACCCGATCTGGTAGGGCTCCGCCTGGGCTAGATCAAGGTGGGAATCTCGTATAAATGTACCGGCAATACGTGCTGATCTTCGTTGTATTTGTATCTGTTTCTATATGGTCTGATTGCTGATAGGGGGTTCAACAGAATAGGGCGAACTTAGTCAAGATCCCGTTTGCTTTTATTGAGACATTTTGACACATAGATGGACATCTATGCTGATCTGATAACGATGATCTCTCGAATAGAGATAGTATTGTACATGATTGTGTAAGTTGTATGCTTGGGGACGCTAGGTGGTGCAACCATGTTGGAGTTGTACCAAGCTCTTTAGGCCATCTATCTTATTGAAATTTCTGATTACAACCTAGACCATACAGAAAGAGTAAAAATCCAAAGTCCACCGAGTCCACACGTTATGGGGTGTATCCAATGCCAAGCTTGAAATTTTGCCCTACTTCCTAGGTTACGTTACCTGTCAATCCATCCATTCGATGTGGTCTGGAACTTTGCTCATCTCCCTTTTGGATATGGCTGGCTAGTTAAAAGTGGACCAGCCAGGTAAGGCAAAATATCTGTTTGTCTTTGGTTTGCAGAGACAATGTCAGGTACAACCTTGACATACAACATTCTTGGAATCACCCTAGTCCATAATTCTTCAAGATACCACGTTGTACTCCGTACTCCGTACTTTATTCCTATTAGATGAAATCCTAGGCTAATACAAAGTTGGAATTGCCGGATAGACGATCCCAAAGCCACAACCGTCAAAGTACGGAGAGCTCGGAGAAAATACTAAAGTAGGGATAAATCTGGGAGGGTTTCAATATGCATGTAAGCGCCCACTTCAATTCTGAAACATCAAGGCGGGTGCTTCAGGTCCCAGCGCCAGTTTGATGAGTCTTGGCAGGATCCACCTATTTTTCCCGTTGGACTTCACGCGGGTTTTTGTCTAGACGGATCTCTGAATGTGGTAAGTGATATGTTTATCACTTTGTTATGCAGCCTGGTCACCATGTGGATTGGGCCAATCATCAATTTCGGAGATACATTAGAAAAAATATTATCATTAAGACAGGGGGGTTATTGCGCTTTGTTAAGAAGAACAGAGTCTTGGGTTGAATATCTAACTATAAAGACAAACTATTGTGTTAAATTCTTCTAACAAAGAGTAGTCACATTTTGTAGGTGGTAGAGTAGAACATTTGAAGTATGAAGGTACCTGAACTAGAATAAACAGATTCCTTGTTCTGTTTTGTAAATGACAGACAAATACCTTGTAAATAACAATGCAAGACAAATATATTACAAATAATACATACATAACACCAATAACAGGGGATAATATGCTCTCATCCCTTATGACTAATAATCATCCCAAAATAACATACTAGTTTATGACCGGTCAGACATCACAGGGCGCTTCCCTTCGAATTATTATTAGACTTGAACTGCTTCTGCTTCCCCCCCCTTCTTCTTCTTCACCAATACTCGAGATCCTCCTCACTTTCGTTTCTTTTCGCTGTGCGCAATCAAGAGGCTTACCGGCTGGTCCAGTTTCATTCTCTGACAATCTCTCTTTTTTCTCTTTGTCTACGAGGCTGGTTCCTCTTTTCGCGTCTAGAACTTCCCGATCGGATATCTTTAACTGGTTGGCGACGTTGATCCTCGCACTTCCGATATCTTTGTTGAACCATTCAGCTGGTGAGTTTGATTCCGAGGTCTTGCAGCTATGTCTCAGCAGAGTCGCAAAGACGGTTATTTTGATTGGACTCAGATCGTCTCTTTGTTTGCGCATGCGTTATCAGGCGGTCTCTTCCCCGGGGCTAATTATCCATACAGTGCGCTTCACAGAGAAAAATAAAAATGTATCCTCAGTCAGGTGCATCAATCCCTATGGCACCACCCCAAAAACCCGAAACTTTTATGCTCTCCACCGAAGCACAACGAAGCCTACCTCACGATGCACAAGTTGCTCTTCAGCAAGTGGATAATCGTATGTTTCTAGATTGCATCCCCCGCATCAAAGCAATGTATTGACATGGGCCAGTGAAATATTTCCTTCTGTCAGCTCCCGTTGACTGGCAACCTGATCAACTCATTCGGCGCTTCTTGCTTCCCACAGGCGACTATGTCTCTTGTGTTTACTGGTTCGTCCTACTTGAGAGCGTGTGATGTTTTGGGAAGCTGACTGACCACCCCGTCACAATAGGAGCGGCCTTTTCCACATCTCCGGTACCGATATTGTCCGGTGTCTCGCATTTCGATTCCAAGCGTTTGGACGTCCAGTGAAGAACTCAAAAAAGTTTGAGGAGGGCATTTTCTCGGATCTACGAAATCTCAAGGCCGGTGTAGACGCGGTCCTGGAGGATCCCAAGAGTCCATTCCTGGACTTCTTGTACAAAAACAACTGCATTCGGACCCAAAAGAAGCAAAAGGTGTTCTACTGGTACGGCGTCCCCCACGACCGCCTGTTTCTCGATGCACTGGAACGGGACTTGAAGCGCGAGAAAATGAACCAGGAGGCCACTACGGTCGCCGTCAGCGAACCGGCCATGTCCTTTGAGTTCGACTCGTCCCAGTCTCTGTACGAGCAATTGACCAAGTCACAACAAGTGAATCTGAACTCGTTCGCTGCCCACGCAAGTACGACATATGGCCAGCCCAACTCCCCCGTGGTTCGGACCGTTGACGCAATGCCTCCTCCGCAGATGGCTCCCCCAGCGATCCCTCTACTCCAGGACGACTCTGGGCATCCGATGTACAACCACCAACAGATGCCCCTTTCGAACAATCTAGTCCAGAGCATCATTAAGCGTGAACAGGACTACGGCCCTATCCAGTACGATCGCCACGGAATTCCCATTCCCCGCCCCCATCAGCGCCATTCTTCCATGCCGACCTTCTACGAGTACTCCCCTGCGCCATCCTTTGTATCTTCGCAATATGAGGATTACAGCAATCGCGGCCTGTCTTTCGAACCAGTCACCCCGCCACAGCATTCGGTCGGACTCGGAGCGGAACCGGCTTATATCGCCAACGAAGACACTGGACTTTACACAGCGATTCCGGATATCTCAAGTGGACCCGCCTATCACCCTATGATGCAGCTGCCTCCCTCGAATCTGGCCAGTTCTCACTATCAGCCTGCGCCCCGATCCTTCTCGGCAAATCCGTATCCCGTCATTGAGGGATCCCCGACATACAAACAGCGCAGACGTAGGTCATCTATCCCGCCTAGCACGGGTACTGTCACACCCAGTGGCGCAGCTCATGTCCAATCAACAACCCCAGGAGTTCAATCAGTCTCGTATGCTGCTCACAGACCAAGCGATCTGCGGCGTTCAGTTTCTAGTTCTGTCGCCCCAGTCACAGAGAGCGATGAAGCCACCCAGGAACTTGCTCGCACTTATCCAAGTGCGCTGCTGCCGCAAAAGGACCTTCATGAAATGTCCCGTCATGGCACACCGCTACGGAGCCTGGATCATAACAATGCGCAACATTCTGGTTCGATAGCAAACCAATCCGGTGATCTGACGTCTCTACCGAGCAGCGGTACCGTCGAGTCGGCTCAAAACACCACTGGTCGGTCGGAGCGCTCCGCTCCTGGTCCTACCCGCAGAGCTAGGAGTGCAACCATGATGGAGTTGGGACCATATCCAACCAAGGCCCATTCTTGCCCCATCCCGTCATGCGGTAGAACCTTCAAGAGATTGGAGCACCTCAAAAGGTAAGCTTACTTCTATTTTTGCACCCATGGTCGGGCTAATCTGCACCGTGCACCGGTGAGATTGTTGCAATAGCCGCCCACTAACCCTTGTTCTAGACACGTGAGAACACACACACAAGAGCGTCCATATCCCTGCCCTTACTGCAGCAAAGCTTTCTCGAGGTCCGATAATCTTGCTCAGTAAGTTATTACCATTCCCTTTGTTATACGACTTGCACTAATTATTTGCTAGACATCGTCGTATCCACGAAGCGCAACAGGATGGTCAGGCAATCGTCCCAACCGACGAAGATTTGGAGAACGACGCGCATGAATTCGGTTCCCCCAGGGAAGAGATGTCCCCACCAGAGCCTGCTCATACAATGATCAGCATGCCCAACATGACGTCGATGGCAGCTCCCTTGAGCATGCCGTCCGCCCTGACCGGCATGCCTAGTTCACACATGATCGCTCCGCAACTTCTCCAACAACACATGTGAGAATATTACACAGCACGGTGTGCCTACTGCAATTTGGTAGATGCATCACCTCATATCCTCTTTACCGGGGTTGTTCCGAGTAACTGTTTCAATTCTCCTTTCTCTTCGGAGTGTTCAGGGCGCATATAGGCGTCCTTTGGTTCGGGGTTTATACCGCCTCCTGTTTAATCGCACATGGTCCAATGATGGCCTTGCATATACCGCGATATTCGTGTATAGCTGGGATGTTATGTCCTTGCTTGTTTTTGACACAGTGTCCATTTCCTTTTGTTTTGGTTGCTTTTTGGGTTTTTGGTCTATGCGATGGTTACAGGAAACATTGTGTGTATTATTGGTGCCAGGCTGCCCTGCACGTGAATTGGGTTACGCTGGCAGACATTCTTTTCATGCTGCCTGGCGGGCACGGGCACGAGAGATGTCCACTATCCAGATGTCTCTCGATGGGAAATGGCTTGGGAAGGGAAAGATTCGGGTTGGCTTCTTGGATCGTCAGGCATTGTCCATCAAGACCGGCTGGGAATAGGAAGGTTATTTTGTATGCCTCACACTATAGACAGAGACATGTAACGACTTTGAATTGAAATCTGAAAAACGCTTGAAAACTGTACTATCAACTATTCCCTTCTATCCCGTACTCTTAGCGGCAATGATGTGGATTACTGGTCTATAAATGGCATATCACGTGCTGCTGACGTAGACTCCCCCTGCAGTTGTGATAGGAATATGTTGTGACATGTTATACCAAGCAGATCGCCCATCTGACACACCGCGCTTTGACTAGGAGGGACCCTGTCGAATTTTAACTTGTTTCATCTACCTGTTACTCCGTAAACGATGCGTGGCTCCCAACACCCAGCATAACCTCATCTTTCCAGACAGTATCTACTTCCCCACACTCCAATCTACAGTCTACAGTCTACACTACCTACCACGAACACACGAGGGTTGGAAAGTTAAGAAAAATTCTGCTCTAAGCACTGTCAAACAAGCATATCCCAGATCGGCTGAACCCCGAGTTACAGTCAGCAGCTGGAAATCGCATAAGCGCCAGCCCTTCCAAATACCCACCACCGGGTCCCATGACTTAATCCTGGTTGGTGCCAATTGGTCACATCGAAATCTCGACCTTTTAATTATCTGATGTGGAAATTGGACAGCAAACCTGCTCCTAGTCCAATCGACGAGACCTCGCCTCTCATGGTTACACCTCGCCCTGCAGATAGGCGTGGGGTACGCCCTCATGTCGGTGCCGATGAGTCTTCTAAGAATGCGCTATACATGTTTCTTTTGACTGTATCAATTGGTGGGTAAGTAATTTTGCATACGATGATTTGATTCGAATTTCTTATATCCTATCTTGATTTGCATATTGGCCATTTATTGATACTGTGGTTCTATTAGACTTCAGATTGTTTGGTCTGTTGAACTTGGCAATGGATCGGTAAGTACAAGCAAGGACTTCAGAACATGATGCGATATCAATTCTGCACCTTACCTCTTTGGCCCCGGAGCTACAATATTGAATAAAACGACACACTGACCTGGGTGCAGCCATACCTTTTATCCCTCGGGATGAGCAAGTCGCTTCTTGCCGTTGTTTGGATAGCAAGTCCCCTGACGGGTGCGCTGGTACAACCATACATCGGCATCCGAAGCGACAACTGCCGACTTGCCTGGGGTAAGAGGAAACCATTCATGGTCGTTGGAGGTGCAGCAACCATCGTTTCATTGCTAGCTCTAGCATGGGTAAAAGAGATTGTAGGAGGTGTTCTGTCTATATTTGGCGTTGAATCAACATCCTCAGGGTCTAAGATTGCTATCATCATCATGGCAACGGTTTTCATGTATTGCCTTGATTTTGCCATCAATACCGGTTCGCATTCCATCTTCTCGTTTATGGTTGCTTGTCTAATTGCCATCCTATAGTGCAAGCTGCAATCAGAGCATTCATCGTCGACAACTGCCCCACCCATCAGCAGGAGCTGTCCAATGCCTGGGCCAGTCGTATGGTCGGCATTGGCAACATCTTGGGGTATATCTTTGGCTACATGGACCTGCCGAAGATTGTCCCTTGGTTGGGGAATACCCAGTTCAAGGTCCTGTGTGTACTAGCCTCGGCCTTTCTGAGTGTAACCCTTGCCATTAGTTGTGCCTACATCAAAGAGCGGGATCCACGAGGAGACGAGCCTGTGACCGACAAGCTTGGTGTGATTACCTTTTTCAAACAGGTCATCAAGTCCATTCGGAGCTTGCCAACACAGATTTCCCGCGTCTGCCAGGTACAGATCGCGGCGTGGGTGGGATGGTTCCCATTCTTGTACTACTCCACAACTTACGTCGGGCAACTGTACGCCAATCCTATTTTCGCGGATAATCCTGATCTATCTGAGGGCGAGCTCGACAAGGTCTGGGAAAATGCTACTCGCGTCGGGACGTTAGCTCTCCTTGTCTATGCTATCATCTCTTTCCTCTCCAATACTCTACTTCCTCTTTTCGTGGTTCCATTATATGGACCACCTCCTGGGTCTGTTTCGCAACGGGATTCTCTAGACGCAGATTCAGATGACGAGGCAGAGTCTGGTGCAAGGAGACTATCATTTTCAAGTCTGCCAACAGGCAATGCATCCGAACCTCTACTCGATGCAGTTTCAATCGAAAATGAAACCGAAGGGAAATCGACGTGGCTTTCACGTCTGCGCATCCCAGGCTTAACTCTCCCGCGAGTCTGGCTCCTCTCTCATCTCCTCTTCGCATTGTGCATGTTCAGCACATTCTTTATCTACTCCCACCAAGCCGGGTCCGCGTTTGTAGGTCTTGTTGGTATCTCTTGGGCTGTGGCGCTGTGGGCTCCTTTCGCTCTGATCTCGGCGGAGGTAGCCCGGATTGATCCTTCTAGACGAAATCATCGCACATCTCAACCCGCCTATAGCGAACATGGAGCTGAGGCTCAGGACGAGGGTAGTCAACATGCCAACATCGATGGGAACGATGTGGAGCATGGACACCCGAAGAATCATCGCGGTGGGGATGTTGCACAGGCGGGTATCATTCTTGGATTGCATAATATGGCTGTTTCTTTGCCGCAGATTCTGTCTAGTCTTGTTTGCAGTGCTATCTTCAAGGCATCTCAGAAGCCAAGAGGGGAGCCGTGGGATGATAGTGTGGGCTGGGTGCTACGATTTGGTGGATGTGCTGCGTTGGTGGCTGCGTGGTTGACTAGAAGGGTTTCGGATGGGTCGAGATAGACTTGGATATGTTTCTAGATACTAAAAACATTCGTTGGATTCAATGTATATATATGGATGTGTGTTTGGTTCTTAGGCAATTCCCTTGTCTATAACATAGGGATTCCGAAGAGGATATTGTAGTATGTGGGTGATTCATATCAAACAATGACAATGTATTTCCCCTTGTGCCTGTGGATTTTGCCTGAATCCACCGGTTTCTTGGCAGTTGCGCGGCATTCGGCCCACGTGTAATTTTGAATGCAATACGACGCAATCTTACACTATCGCTGTATTATTCCAGTTTCACCACCAATTTGGCACCAGCCAGCCCTGTGGTATCCTGTATTGTACAACTCCGTACCTGACCTCATATCTGTCCCTCTCCAGGGCTGATGCAACTTAAGCAGTCCGTGTCCTATCGCTGCTAACCCCAATTCGACATTGTTGCTACCTTGGATCCTCTTTCCATCTCTTCGAGGATTATGTGCGCCTGGTCCTGCCATCTCAATTTCACTGTGGGAGTGAACTGCAAGTCCGCACTGGTCCTTGATACCTCTTAAGGCGTGAGCCGCGATGGCTAGCCAATATATGAACGATGCCCTACACGCTCTGCTTCGTATGTCCCTCCGATCGGTGGTCTTGAATGCCGCACTTTAATTTCCTGTTTGAACTACAAGCTAACATCTCTATTTCTATTCTAGGGCGAGCCGCTGAAGACTCCGATCCCGATGGTACGCGTGCCTAAACCCACCCCCTCATCCCTCCCTCATGTCGCAAGATGGCGCTATTCAGATTCGGAAATTTAACTAATATGGCGAACTATAGATGCTCCCGAGGCAGGGTCCAAGGAGATCACGAGCTCTTGGGCATTGTTTATTATGATCATGTTGTTGATGTTCGCCCTCTTTACGAGCTACATCCTTCAACAAAGGAAGATCCAAGCTGTCCATGAGACGGTCCTATCAATTTTTGCAGGTAGGCAACATCTTTGAGTGGCGCATACATGACATGGAGATATACAAAGCTTCGTTCGGTCTGCGCTAATTGGTACGGACTTGCTAACGGTCGCTAGGGATGTTCGTTGGACTACTCATCCGTTTCACAGACTCCACGCTCCAAGACAGCGTCGCCTTCGACTACCAATTCTTCTTCAATCTCCTCCTTCCTCCGATTATTCTCGCGTCCGGTTATGAGCTCCACCAGGCGAACTTCTTCCGGCATATTGGCACGATTCTCACGTTCGCGTTCGCCGGTACCTTCATCTCCGCGATCGTGCTTGGTCTCGTGCTGTACCTATGGACACGGATCCCAATGAATGGGCTGGATATCTCCTTTGTCGAAGCTATTTCGGTCGGTGCAACCCTCTCCGCTACGGATCCGGTCACCATCCTTGCCATCTTCAACCTCTATAAGGTCGAGCCGAAGCTTTATACAATCATTTTTGGCGAGTCGATCCTAAACGATGCCATTGCCATTGTCCTCTTCGAGACGGCGCAGAGATATCATGAGACAGGCACGACTGGCTCTTTGACATTCCTGAATCTATTTGAGGCTGTCGGACTCTTTTTGCTCGTCTTCTTTGGTAGCATGGTTGTCGGAATGCTGGTTGGAATCGCTACCGCACTGGGTCTAAAGTACACCCTCGTGCGGCGCTTGCCCAAGATCGAGAGCTGCTTGATCATTTTGATTGCATACGCTAGTTACTTCTTCTCCAATGGCGTACACTTATCCGGCATTGTCTCGCTCTTGTTTTGTGGTATTACCCTCAAACATTACGCTTACTATAACATGTCGCGTCGCACGCAGTTGACCACCAAATACCTATTCCAGGTAATGGCTCAACTTTCAGAGAACTTCATCTTCATTTACCTCGGCCTTGACCTCTTCGTGGAGCCTAACCTCCAGTTCAATCCCTTGTTCATCATGGTGGCAGTGTTTGGTATCTGCCTTGCTCGCTACCTCGCGGTGTTCCCGCTTTCCAAGGCTATTAATTGGTACTTCCGGTATCGAGCACGTCGCCGTGGCGTGGAAGTTGCCGACGAGCTGCCATTCGCTTATCAAGCGATGCTTTTCTGGGCTGGATTGCGTGGTGCCGTCGGTGTTGCGCTAGCAGCTGGTCTATCAGGAGTCAACGCCCCCGCACTTCGTGCGACAGTACTCGTTGTCGTGGTGCTAACTGTCATCATATTTGGTGGTACCACGGCACGCATGTTGGAGATTCTGGGCATTCGAACGGGTGTGGTCGAAGAGCTTGACTCGGATGATGAATTCGACACCGAGGTGACCCATGGCGGCACCTACTACAAGCGCTCCGGCACGAGCCTGGGATACACCCCACGACGTGCTGACTCGGTTATACCTTTGGATGGGGTCACCACCTCCCCACGCGCTGGAGTCGGGGAGCGAACACACAGCTACTCCAGCGGCAACAGTCGTCGCCCAAGCCCACCATATACCCATACGAGAATGTATTCCGCCGCATACAGCAACAAAGAGCAGTCCTGGCGCGACCGCCAATCGGCTGCGACGTTGCTCAACGGCGCAGCTGGGCCGAGCACCGGTGAAGGCAGCGACGATGAGTTTGGCCTCCCACCCTCAGGTCCTAGCCGTTCAGGCGACCCCGCCCACCCCGACGAATTCGACCTCGACGTCGAGGGCATCTCCGATGACGACCTCCCACCCGCTGCAAGTGGATCCTCACGTCTCCGCCGATCCCCCTCCCAACCCTCCCGCCCTCCGACGGCCCCACCCACCCATGCAGCGGCATCAACCAGCGTCTCGCCTACCCACCAAGGTATGTCCGCACGAGATGCGGTGCGGGGTCTGTTTTCTGGTGGTGCTACAGGCGACCATGCGGCTTGGTTCCGCCAACTCGATGAGGACTATATCAAACCCACCCTTCTGTTAGATCAGTCGAATCATAAGGGGCCTGGGCCGGGCGCGGTTTGAGATTATGATACCTTGGAATTCACGTCCATTTTCTTGTCTTTGATCTGAATGTATATTTAGCCTTTCTCTTGTTTGGGTCTGCCTTCTTGTTTATGTTCTGCTTTCTGCATTTTTGATTTTCATACATGGTCTATGAAGTGTAAACGAAACACGTTTGAATCTTATAGACATCATCTTCCAGTGGGAAGTAGTAGTTGGGTTTCTCCGCAATTTGTTTTACCCCATACTCGGCATATCTCAAAAGAATACCAACGAGTATATATATCTCCAGGTCGCTATGGCCTAAACGTAACGCAAGATAAGCAAAGGCTTACATCCTGCACGTTCCTATCTCTTCCTTTATCGACCACTCGGATCAGCGAGAGCTATCTGTGCAGGGACTCTCAACGCCATGCTTGTTTAGGGTATACTTACGCCTTCCTATCTTCTTCCCCACCCTGTACTCCGTGCTAGTTTCCAGGCTTGCGTGTATCTCTTTCCTAACTGGTCTCCCGCCGCTTTTACAAGGGTGCTTCGCACGTAGATGTCATGGTTACACTGGGTGACATGGATGCATAACTCTATGATAGAGACTACTATAACCAACAAATATAATATCATAGTTGGAGTGAACCTGAGTACGATTCTCATTTAGTATTTCATTAAAATATACGTGGTCACTTCAATTAGTGGCGTCGTCTATACCTTGCCAGCTCTTGCTAAGCATTTGAGTGTGAATACCAATTAGATATGATCCCTCGATATACTTACTGTACAAGGATTCCTTGGACGTTGAAATATTGATTGATTGCCGTCGCTGCGGGACATTAATGCAAGGCACACGAATTGCTGAAATACCCTCCTCCCCTTGCATATTTTTCTCAATCCCACATCACTAAACAGAAAGATGCACTACAATATATGTAAATAGCTGGGTAAACACGTGCATTTGGAGGTCTGCCTGCGTAGAGTCATACATTTGAGGTACCTTAGGACTTAATATTCCAGATCCCTTTGGCCATGGTAAACCTGTCTATATTGACTCGTGCCGTGGAAATTACCCCGATCCCCTGAACAACCTGCCAAACAGTTGGCGGACTTATGCCCGATCAAAAGGCAGCAAGGGATGAATCCTAAAAGGGAACGCATATAAAATGTTGTACTTATGCTTCCCCGCTTCACTAGGCTGGCATCCTAGGCCGATCTTCCTTGAAAAGAGAGATATGAGGATTGTGTCATACACCGGCATTTTACATAGATAGATCTGGCCCTTTGTATCTCGGAACAGGACGTTTCAAGATGATATCTATAGTTTTGGGAATATCTGTGCATAATGCACGTCCTATCTATCGACTCGGTGCTTATTTTACTTATATCTCCTCTTTTCGTTCCGATTTCTTCATTTCCATAAATCATAGTCGCGTTTGATCGCATTGGCTATTTATTTTCTTGTTTATTATCTCTTTTCCCTCTATATTCTTTACACGTAGTAGACAGCGATGGATGATACAATGGAGAAAGTGGTATCGAAGACAAGCAAGAGGCGTCAATCGACGGCCACCTATGACTCTAAGCCCCAGGCCGGGGATATGGAGCTGCTAGGTGTGTATGTCCTGCTTATTGGCAGAGTTAATGTAACCGTGAGATCGTTTGTCACTGACTGATTATAGCGACACTCGGGTACAAGCAGGAATTGCGGCGCCATTATTCGACGCTTCAGATATTCGCTGTCGCTTTTAGTATTATGGGGCTTTTGCCTTCCATTGCGACTACGTTGTCGTTTTCAATGCCTGCTGGTCCTGTGGGAATGGTTTGGGTAATATACTCCTCGCACTGAAGCATGTTGAGATCGACTGACAAATTGCTTAGGGTATGCAATTCTTTTCAGTATACTTCTGGCGAGTATTAATATGTTCACTGAACAGGATGGTTGGTTGCAAGCTGCTTTATCTTTATAGTGAGCTTGGCAATGGTATGATATACTCCATCTACAACCCTAGCCACAAAACTAATCCCTACCAGGCCGATCTGGCATCCGCCATGCCCACAGCAGGCGGCCTCTACTTCTGGACACACTACTTCGCATCCGAGAAATGGAAGAACCCACTCAGTTTCCTCGTCGGATACAGTAATACCCTCGGCTTAATCGGAGGCATCTGCTCTATTGACTGTAAGACAAGCCATATACAAGCCCAAACAGGAACCCCCATTAACACCTCCAGATGGATTCGCCAACATGCTCCTCTCAGTGATCTCTCTCGCCCGAGATGGCAACTGGTCCGCAACACGACCAATAATCTACGGCACATACGTAGCAACAGTAGTCTCACACGGCTTCATCGCAATCTTCTTCGCCCGCGTCATGCCGAAAATCCAATCCGCCTGTATCTTCCTCAACATAGCTCTAGTGCTAGCAACAGTCATCGCCCTACCCATCGGAAAATCAAATACAAAACCCCCAGTCAACCCGGGCTCTTATGTCTTCGGCGACATCCAAAACTCCACTGCCTGGCCAACCGGCTGGGCATTCATCATGGCATGGCTATCGCCCATCTGGACTATCGGTGCGTTCGATTCATGCGTGCATATGAGCGAGGAGGCGACGCATGCTGCGCGCGCTGTGCCATTGGGGATTATCTCTTCTGCTGGATTATGTGGTCTTCTTGGGTTTGTTTCGTTGGCTGTTATTGCGGCTTCGATGGATAGGAATATTGAGGGGATTTTGAACTCGAAGTTCGGTCAGCCTATGACTCAGGTTTGTTACATGTGTTTGTTGGCCTTTGTGGAACGTACTTCTAATCTGGATAGATATACTACGACGTCCTCGGCAAGAATGGTGCACTGGGTTTCATGTCCGTGGTGATGGTCGTGCAATTCTTCATGGGATTGAGCATTGTAAGTCCCACCTAACCACCTACCACCTACCACCGACCCAAATCATAGAACCACTCACTAATCTAGTCCAGGTCCTAGCCGCCTCCCGCCAAAGCTGGGCCTTCTCCCGCGACAACGCCCTACCTCTGTCCTCCTTCTTCAGTAAAGTAAGCAAACGCAAATTCACGCGCTACCAACCCGTCCGCATGGTGTGCGGTGTAGTCATCGCCTCAGTACTCATCGGCCTTCTCTGCTTAATCGACGAAGCCGCCTCAAACGCCCTATTTTCGCTCGCCGTGGCAGGAAATGACCTCGCCTGGCTAACGCCCATCCTGGCGCGTCTGATATGGGGCGGTGATCGCTTCATCCCCGGTGAGTTTTATACCGGTAAGTATCTCAGTAAGCCTATTGGCTGGGTTGCGGTCATTTACATGGTGTTTGTTATTGTTCTTTCTATGATTCCTTCCGAAGGGCCTAATCCGTCGGGTGAGTTTTATGCCATACGATCCTGGATGCTTTTGCTGATGTTTGAAGCGCAAACTATGAATTATACGGTTGTTATCAATGGGAGTCTTTGGGTTGGGGCTTTGGTTTATTACTATCTTCATGCGAGGAAGACGTTTAAGGGGCCTATGACCAATATTAGTCCCGAGGATGAGGGGGCTTTAGAAAAGGATCCTAATAGATAGATGTGGTTTGGGGGACTTTCCTCATATGAGGTCTTTGTTGTTCGTGTCAATCATATCAATGGCTACAAGTTAAGCCCTTCTCAGTGGAAATTTCAAGTTTCAACCTTCTGAATTTATCTTCTCATTGCCGCCAATTCCCCTTTCACCGGGGCTAAACACCGTCGCTATGTCAATTCTTGTTCTCGTTTCTCACAATGTCTCTTCTGGGTCTCGTTGCTCAAATTCTATGCATAGATGATGGTGCATCTATTCCGGAATCTCGAGGACGTAGCGACCGGCAATCTTGCCTTCCTCTGTATTGCATATATTAGTATAGAGTCAATATCATATAATCGGAATATTTGAAACATACCCATGAGCTTGAACACTTCAGGCAAGTCCTTCAATTGAGCAGTCTTGAAAGGAGCGTTGATCAAGCCACGTGCGAAGAAGTCAACAGCCTCAACGCCATCCTGGCGGTTACCAACATAGCTGCCTTTGATGTTGATCATTCTGACAACGGTATCGAAAACAGGAGCCTTGAGGAACGCATGGGCGGGAAGACCAATGGCAACAACAGTACCACGAGAGCGAGCGTATGCAACAGCCTGCTGGAAAGGCTTCTCAGAAACAGCAAGCAAGAGCACTGCGTGGGCACCGAGACCGTCGGGAGTGGCAGCCTTGACGTCAGCAACGAGATCGGTACTCTTGCTGTAGTCGACGAAGGCCTGAATAGTATATTAGCACGAATCCTAAGTCTAAAAAGGGAAAAAGACTTACCTCTGCACCAAGCTTCTCACACATAGCCTTCTTCTCATCACCACCATCAATAGCAATAACACGCAAGCCCATAGCCTTAGCATACTGCTGCGCAAGTGAACCAAGACCACCACCAGCACCGACAATAGCAACAGTCTGACCAGGACGCGCACCGGACTCCTTGAGACCCTTGTAGACAGTAATACCAGCACAGAGAATAGGCGCAACGGCATCAAGCGGGACATTCTTAGGCAGCTTCGACACATGCGCCGCCTTACCAATAGCGTACTGCTGGAAAGTTCCGTCGACGGTGTATCCGGACAACTGAGCATCGGGACACAAAGGCTCATCGGAGGTCTTGCAGAACTCGCATGCGAGACAAGAGCCGTTGAGCCATTTGATGCCTGCGTGGTCGCCGATTTCAATTCCCTGCGCGAGAGAGCCCTTTGCGACGACAACGCCGGCGCCTTCGTGACCGCCGACTAGGTTCTGCTTTACGGGGAGAGGCCAGTCACCGTTCATGGCGTGGAGATCGGTGTGGCAGACGCCGGTGTATCGGAGCTTCACGAGGACTTCATCGGGGCCGGGCTTGGGGACGGGGATTTGCTTGTACACGGGTGGTCCGCCTTTCTTTTCGACGACTTGGGCCCATTGGGTTTCTGGGATTGGGGACATTTTGAATAGGATTAGGATTAATATGTGGGAGAATAGTGAGGATGATGGATGGGAATATATAAAGAGATGTTACACAGGGAAGGAACGTGTTTTATAGTCGCAAGTCTATTGCCTGATCACAGATTATGTATCTTCCAAGGCTCTAAGTTTGTATCTATGTCATTCTACTTGCATATCCACTTCTTATCCCCGTTTGCGGTATTGTACATTGACGATATTACACAGATCTCTAGACTTTAGTTATACTCATGTATTAATTGACAGATATGGAAAGGATTATCCTATATCTGTTTAAATCTAATGAATACTCTCAACTTTATTTCAATGAACGAGTTGATCTACAACATATTGTATGGAAGATCAGAAGATCGTCGAGTGACATTTTCAAGGTATTGGGCGTTGAGAGTGGAGGACGTCATCAACATCAGGCAATACAAGGGATTTGAATATTTCAGTATGTTGTATATATTAAGATACATGTAATTATCTCAGAATCCGGTTTATATGTTCTATTAATATTTCTATTAATATATAACTAGTTCCCCCCTCGGCTCCGAAATGTGACGGGACATTGAAATCGGGGTTTGGGCTCTATGTGCCCAGAGCTTCAGAGCTCAAGATATCTTTATTTTTCTTAGGTAGTTTGTATATGTTTTATTATTTTACCTGAAATAGTTTACAATTTGTCTTAATTTTCCAGGAATATTGAAGTTATATGCTGATAATATTAAAATACCCGGAAGAGTGATAGGCGATGAGGCATAAGAAGACAACCTTGGAAGGAATATATGTGATTAGGCTAAAATAGAAGATTAATAGATGATCATTTCACTCTAACATTTTATCTACATGGCTGTTATAAAATGAGTAAAATGTGGAAATATTAAAGATGTTGGAAGATGAACGTGAAAATATTCAACGCCGTTCTTGCCGCCTCCACGGGGTGTTTGTAGATCAGAACACCACCTTGGAATTAACATCTATCTGAAAAAAAAAGAACATGATATAGAACACCAAAAAACAATTGAAATAGTCATCTAAAACCCAAAGAAATATAAAGTGATTGATACTATTCACACTATAAACAGAAGCAGTTCGGATCTAACCCCCGGGATGCCGGAGATGAAATACCCCAGAATGAAGAACGTTCACGAGAAAATGTCAAAATCTCAACTTTTTCCCCTTTTCACTATAACCCATTCTCATCCTTATACATCATATAACCATTATATATTCCCTTTGGAGTCGTTCGCGTTCCCCTCTCCTCACTCATCCTCCCCTGCATCAGCTCTCGCCGAGACCCGCGCATTCTCTTTCTTGGGCTCCACGGAAACTTCCCTCCTGCATCTTCCCACCACAAACGAATTCATCCAACCATCAGGTATTTATGTCTCGCTTTCTTTCCTTCCCTTTCTTTCATCCCTCTTCATTCCGAAATACCTGAAACCAACAACTGACGCCGCGTCACTAGCACACCGAAACCCCCTTGACAGGTGTCTCTGAGCAGGGGTTGATTCTCCGTCAATTCCCCCCAACTAGAGCTCGACCCGAGTGACCAGCCTTCGACTCGCTAAACCCGTTATCCGGGGACCGCGGCCATCATGACGGGCCCTCCGCCATACAACGCCCAGTCCCCGACTCAGCAGCAGCGGTATCCGGCCTACACCTCTCCGAGCAAGAACCATCCGTATTACCCAAATGAACAACCGCCACAGCAATACCATCAGCATCCTCCACAGACCCCACCCGCGTTTGGCCCATCATCCGTCGCGCGAAGCCCGCACTTTTCGCACGCGTCACCGATGCCCTCTACCTTGCCGCCGCCCTTGAACGGGAGCGCGCCACCGCATCCATCGCACCCAGACTCACAATATCAAGGGCATTCGGCAGGTTCTCAGCTACCACTTCCGCGCCCTTACTCCAACTCCGTGATGGCGGGCAATGGTGCCTCGCCGTACAGCTCTGCGACACCCCATGGCCATCCCAGCCGTCCAGAAGGTCATTCGCAATCTCCTACCAGGGAGTCCGAATCCCCATATCGGATTCGAGGTAATGGTGCTGGATATGGACCTCCAATGATGCGGGAGCCTCGACCAGTCTCGCCACAGGAAGCTGTAGGCATACCCATATCGCTCACTTATCATACCATTTACTAACCACTTCTTTGCCTCGCAGAAACCCGCCCGAGCTGCAGACCCCATGTCGTTTGCCAGTATTCTTTCCGGCCCGTCGGACGACCAGCCCACGAGAAAGCCATCGCCTCCCCCGGCCCCCATCTCCATCCACACGCCGCATGCTCCCCCTATCTTTACCCACCGGCACCTGGACCACAACTCTACGCCTAGCGCGATTCACCACAGACATGAGCACCACTTCGAATTTGATAAACGTGTCGAAGGTCCGAGACCACCACAGGCCACCAATGGGTTTGCTAAGCCTGATGTGGAACACCCCCCACCTATCCCTCGTGTACCGGTACGGAGACCCTTCCCGCCTGGTGTGGACCTGGAGCAGGTCAACCGGGCGGCAGCTGAGATTGATCACGCCGAGAAGAGCGATGTTGAAGATCCTGCATTTGATGCCGAGCAGGTACGATATCGGGAGAAAGGCTACAAGCGGTCGGTGGAAAGTAGCCGCGCAGAAGAAGTGCGAAGAAAAGTAGGTTATCTGACCCAGAAATCGTTCGTACTAACATATCCTCAGCGCCGCCGCAACGAGTTCCTTATCGATCTAGGTCGATCCTTCGAAAAACACGCCATTCTTGGCAACGAACGATTCCGAGCGCTCAACGAGGGTGCAGTCATGGCCGAAGTTCAACAAAAGGAGATCCAAGACGAAAAGGAGCGGAAGAAGGACATGCAGCGCAAGCGCCGTCGTGAGAACACTGTGCGCCAAGAAATGCAAAAGAAGCTGGAGGCTGAGCGCAAGGCAAGCAAGGCCCAAGAGCCTGGCGAAAGGGCCAAGTTCCTGCGAGAAGCCGAGCGAGCTCAGAAGAAAATCCGCACCACCAAGCGCGCTCTTGAGGGCGGTGATGGCCAGGATGAGCTTGGTGAGGTCACCCCGCTTGCTCCCAACCTCGAAGGTGGCACGACAAGTCAATTCCATATCGGCCGTTCCTCGCCCAGCCGACGCAGGTCAGGCCGCGCCGGTCCTGTCACTCGCCCTAAGAAATCCAAAGAGCAGAAGCAGGCCGAGAAGGATCTCGCCGAGGCAGCTTGGAATGCTGGGTTGGACGACGACCTGTATCTCACCCCGAGTACAAGGAAGGATGCTCGACGTTCAAAGGAGGGTACTCCCATGTCACAGCTACACTACGACAGCAAGGGCTACAACCAGATCTACGAGCAGATCTGGCGCGATATCGCACGCAAGGATATTCCAAAGGTCTACCGCATCAAAACTACCTCACTCTCCACCCGTCAGGAGAACTTGCGTAAGACGGCTCAGCTGGCCAGCAAGCAGTCTCGCAAGTGGCAAGAGCGCACGAACAAGAGCACCAAGGATACCCAAGCTCGCGCAAAGCGGACTATGCGTGAAATGATGTCTTTCTGGAAGCGCAACGAGCGCGAGGAACGCGACCTGCGCCG